TTGCATAGACTGCTTATATGCTTCTAAGCCCAGTTCAGTGTGCTGGGTTTAACACATGAGTCCTCAAACTACAGCCTGTGGGCCGAATCTGGCCTGTCATGCCCATTTATCGGGCCTACCTCAGAGGTTTTGGACTTGTGTGTGCGCAGTGAGGTGGCGGCTTGCTTGCGTGAAGATCTTTTTGGACTCGCTTGGAGAAAATGATCTCTGCGCGAGCAAGCTGGCACCATGTCACGCGTGCGCCTAGCTGCTTGCTTGCATGGAGATTATTTTGGGCTCGCTGGGAGAAAACGATCTCCGCGCGAGCGAGCCACTGTCTCGCCCTGCGTGCCCCTCCCCCACCTCGCCATGCACACCCCACTCCCTCACCAGCCTGCGCCCACCACCGGCACCTTCCAACTGGCCGCCTGTTCAAACGGTTTGAGGAACCCTGGTTTAACCTATAAAGCCCCTCACTGCTTGGTACCACAATATCTGACAGAATGCTTCTCCCAAATATACCTGATACCGTGCTCAACATCCAAGTCTTCCTTGGAGTGCCACCTCCAAGGGATTCTTGGTTAGTAGCAACAAGGAGGAGGACCTTCTCTGTGCTAGTCCCTAAATTATGAAATTATCTCTTCACTGAGGCCCATCTGACACCAATTCAGACCACTTTGAGTTTCACTAGTTTTAATATATCTAAGGTAGGCAGGACTTTTTTTGTCATAGAACACACCAGAACGGTGTTCTGGCACCTTTTTGTCCAATGAATTTTACAAAGTGATTTTGAACGGCATAGCAGCTCAGCAGCAAACATCATTAACATAGCGCCTGCGGGCTGCTTTTGTGTCTGCTATCTGATAGTGAGATAGTGAGGGTGCTGCTCGGCTTGGGATGCTGCTCCGCTGCTCAGTTTGGGATTGGTGTGTGTGGTTGCACGCTGAGTGCTTACTGCCGGCGGCGATGTGAGTTCTGGCACTTTTTTTTTTTTTTTTTTTTTTACAAAAAAAGCACTGAAGTTAGGCCATTAAGCTTCACATTCTTGCTTTGTCCAAAGGAAATGTACAGCTCTAACATGCTGGAAATAGATGTAGAAAATTGTCGTACTAGTTGTCAAGGAAAAGGATGGGGTTTTTTTCCTGCATGAAACCAATACCCTAGTCTCAGCTGTCACGTTTATATTGCCAGATGCTTTTTTCTTCAGCTTTATTAACTTAGAAGTAATATGTAAGACCTTTCAAAGGAATCACTTGAGAAAGCTGAGAAGGAAGAAGCATGAGTATTTTCAAAAAGTTGGTTAACTGGCAGTTGTAAGACTAAATATCTTAAGACAGTGGTGGCAAACCTATGGTATGTGTGCCACAGTGGGCACACAGAGCCCTCTCTGTCGGCATGTGAGCCATGTCGCCCCAGCATCACCCCAGCAGCGGAAAAGCGGATAACAACGCACATAGGAGCCATGCACATGCTTGGAAAGGAGTAGCGGCGTCAGGCGATGACATCATGAGCTGTGACTTATTAGCTGCAACTCGTCCAAACTTTTGCATGGCCAGTCAGTGCGCTGGCTGTGAAGTATTTTTTCTAAACTAAAACCTCAGTATTCAGGTTTTATTGCAGTGTTGGCACTTTGCGATAAATTAGTGGGTTTTGTGTTGCAATTTGGGCACTCGGTCTCTAAAAGGTTCGCCATCACAGTCTTAAGATTTTACTTGCTAGTATTTTTGTTAATGTTGTTAATGAAAAATGCTGTGGATTTGAACAGCATGACATGTTTGAACAGCCTGACAGCCCACTATGGTTTATGTGACTCACTGCAAGGCCATGGCTTGTATGGGATGCATGTGTATATGTCCTTTAACCCTCACATAACCCATACTGTTAAGGTTTGCATGGTATGAGAACCTCCAAACATGGGTTGTACATGTAATATGGTGCCTGTGAATAACTCATGATGAATTGCACATGTTGCCCAAACAGTCTACATCTGCAGCTTTGTTGCTATAGGAACATTTTATAAAACATTCCATATTGGAAGACTGTTGTGAGGGGAACCATCCTGAATAAGAGGATGATTCAGGCTGTGAGTTGTTGGTGAAAATGATTTGCTGATGACTTCTTGTTGCTGAAGTATGAAGGACAGCTTCGAACAGGCTTCCGTTTCCATACTCACTAATTTATAAAGGTGACTCCTGGTAGCTTAGATAAAAGCAGTGCTGCTGTTTTTCAGCATAGAATTGATGATATGCTGTGTTGTAGAATAGAATATTGAAATATCCTTGGGTGCCTTTAATATCTGCAATATCTTATAATGACTAATTGAGTTGAGCACTGGATAAAATTAGGAGAATGGGAAAAAGCCATCTCCTAATTGCTTAGCTGTAGCAGTTTCTAACATTGTCTTGCTCTTATTCTTAACAGACATGTTGCAAGATAGCAGAACATGCCCCAAAATTCTTGTTGCTGCTGTTGTTGTTGTGTATACTATTTGTTTCCCTCTTCCAAAGAACCAACAATGGCTTACATTGTAGTCTTCCTCTCCATTTTATCCTTGCAACCACTCTGAGTAGTTTAGGGAGAGTCAGTGATGGGCCAAAAGCAGGGTGGATTTGATTTGATTTAATCATCAGAAAGACTAGATTTAAATCATGATTTTCTTCATAATTTGCATGCATGCCTACCTTTAGCCTTAGAGGAACTTCATTAAAATGTTCCCAAACTGGGTCTGTTTTACGGCCTGCTGATGTTACAGGTTTTATTCTCCAGGGAAAGAATAATATGATAAACCTCAGGCTATACAGAAAAAAGATGCAAAACTTGTGAAGTATTTGGCTGAAAAGGTTTCACTTTCACTTTTACTGCTTGGTTCCTTGCACTTGGCTTCCTTTGCAGATTTATTCCACTCCCAACAATCTTCTTCTGTTTATTGAATTTTTTGAAACTTAGCCCTTAAGAGGTAAGGGATTGATTCTGTGTACATAGATTTGCAAAAGAGCAATGGGATTAAGGTCTTGTTCTCAACTCTGCATGTTTATTTTATAATATTTTTTCTGTGCAGATGAGGCATGTGATCTCTGCAGACACACATTCACAGTTTTGCGAACTGTAAAACCAAGCATCTGTGATAATATATTCTAGATAGAAAAATTGCATTAATATACAGTTTCATGCTACATAATTAAAAACTAATCTTTATTTCATGATAACTAACTTTTGGACTATAATATAGCTTAAATAGAAATCTGTCTTTAGATTGATTTTTCCTCAAAAAGCATTTTATTAAAAAGAAATCCAATTTATATCAAAAATCCAATTTAAATTTTAAAAAACTGATTTTTAATTTTAAAACACCATTGATTTTTACCCACCCTGTCTTTTCCTTGTGCTTCCCACCTCTTGAAAAAGCGTCTCTGAAGAATCTATAAATCATCCTGAATGTTTAGGATGGGATGTGGAGGGATGCTGGGGAGGGAAGAATTACCCCAAATTCCATGCTGGAACAGGCAGTTCTGCACATGCCTAGTCCCACATTTTTCTGGAAGCCTCCCAGGCTCTCTAAAGGGACTTTCCATGAAGTATATGGAGAAATCTTCTATACACTTTCTTAAGTTAAAATAAGCTAGCTAGCTTGCTTGCTTGCTTTGGAATGGAATACCTTAAAATGTAAATGTTACATTTTAAATCCCAATCTATGGCTTTTACTGTAAGCTACTCAGAGAGTCCCTTGGGCTACAGGGCAGCAAATTTATTTATTTATTTATTTATTTATTTATTTATTTATTTAGCCATGGGTTGTATCCAAAGTTGCTGTGCAGAAAAATTTTAGTTGGTAGAAGTCATGAATTGAAGGGCTGGTTTTTTGTTTTTTTTAATACCACATTCAAGATAATTGTGCTAGCACATTGAAAACAAATCCCCAAAAGCACTTTGCTGTTTGTGTAAGAGCTTGTCTGCCAAAAGCTGTTATATTATAGCATTGCGTTAACTTTTACACTAATGGTCATGCAATCATTTGTGGAAAAGTGTTTTGACTATCTTCGTTCTGCTCACAGAGGAGAGCAGAATTCTTTAGGGCATGATCCTAAATCCTACAATTCCCATTATCCCTCAGCCACCATGACTGGTTGTGGCATGCTTGGAGTTGTAGGAATTACATCTAATTATGCATAGGTAGAACCCAATATGTGTGTGCATGTTTATTTTTTTAAGAACTCCAGATTGAAAGTAATTAGAGACTGTATTTTAGTTCTGAGGAAAAACATGAAAGCTATATTATTTTTTTGCTATAACTGTACTTTTCAGTTTATCACTATTTAAAATTTAAGCTTATCACTATTTCACTACATCACTTATCACTTATCACTATAAACTTTCAGTTCATCACTAGTTAACATTTAAGCTGCTGTACTGAATATAAGAAGCAAGGGAAAGAAATGTGCGGAATAGCTTTTAGAAATTTCAGTTAAAGTAACCTTTATTAACCTGGTGTCCACCAGATTCTTCAGTTATCTCAAAATTCCTGACTGTTAGCTGACTGGAGCTGATAGCAATTGAAGTCCTAAACCTCTGAAAGGGACCTGGTTGGGAAAGGCTAAAGGAATGCTTGAGAATTACATATAGATATCTGAGACAGGCAGATAGAACTTTCCTATGCAAAATCAAATACTGTTACTGATACACGAATCAGGTGACAAGGCTTGGCCAATGTAGTAAAATCAGTGTAGCTTCTTTTCAGAAGAAAAAGGAAAAAGCTGTTGAATTACCCTTTTGTGGTCTGATTGAAGAAAGTGCTCTATTATACTGTTGCTCTCAGAGTAAAATGATACTTTCACCTTCCTTTTTGTGTGTGTAGGAATGGTATGGCTATATTTTAGGGCTGAACGAAATAGCTCTATTTTCTAGAAGAAGTTGGAAAATCAAACATTGCTTTTATTTGTTATTGTTGAATTGATATGTTGATGTCTGACTTCATTTTCCAGCATGACATGTTTTCCGATAGCTATAAGTAATGTTTTTGTTAGTTTCTAGTGCCAAACTAAAAAGAAAAAAGAACTGGTTTGGTGGAACAGCTATATATACAGAAATAATAGCAGATAGTGAAGTTAAGAAAACATCCAAATCCAACAGTTCCTCAAATCCAAAATGGGATGAACAGTTGACTGTGTAAGTAGATCTCTTTTATTTGTTTCTTTATTTGTTACAATTATATTCCTCCTTTTTCCATTTTAAGGAACTTAAGATCGCTTACGTAATCTTCCTCTTCTCAATTTTATCCTCACAACAACAACCCTATGAGACAGGTTAGGTTGAGTCTGATTAGTTCAAAGTTACCCAGTGAGCTCCATAGATGAGTAGAAAGCCAGGAGCCTGCTTTTCTCTATGCCAGGAGCAAAAACCTCTACATCTCCTGTTTTCATTTGTTTCCCATTAATGTTTTATTGTATTCACTTTTATTTGACTTTTGTAACCTTTGCAAATTTCAAATGGAAAGAAAGTTAGCCATGCTGGCAAGAAGAAAAATTCCAACTACCTTTGAGGCTAACTCAAAGGTAATAATTTTAAATTACTTTCATGTGAGTGTATATTTTACATTCATGACAAATACAGGACTTTGATGGTTGTGATCCCATCATGATTACTACTGCCCCTTCCTTGAAGTTTCAGCTTTCATTTCAGAAAAATGGTAAGGAAGTAGTATTCTGCCCATTTTCTAGGTAAAATTATCCCTGCTTCCAGCATTCTAGTGAGGGAACAAAGATACTGGGCAGGTTGACAAGTGCTTGACATTTTTTAAATGCTACTTATATTATTTTTGCTGGGTAGGTGATGCCTGGTAAAGTCTAGGCAAATCTAAAAATTGGAATAATTCATGTCTTTACATCTGTATGTCTCTTCCCGTGGGGTCTTATGAACACGCTTTGATAGCTATAACTTGTATCAAAAAGAAAATGTGTGCCGCTAGAATTTGGTTGAACTTCTTGGAGGATTAAAAGCCTATCACTTGCCCTTTATTGCTTTGCCCACTCTATTTTGTGAAATCAGCTAGAACTGGGCTGGGTATTTGGAACTTGGAGGTGGTCAGTGCCTCACCAAAGTATGGAGAGGTCCCTACACAATGAAGGAATTGGTAATAAGGTATCTTTTGAATCAGTGGCACATGTATGATTAGCTTACATATTGTACAAGAATTTATAATGGCTGTTTTTATGCTCTCTATGAATGCCTTGTGGTTGTAACTATTAATTATGATGTATATAATTGTTAGCAGCCACCAAAAATATCAGCAGAAAGTTTATAGAAGGTCAATAGTTAGTTTGGGTAGTATAATGTAGGAGTAGTAAGATTGTGTATATAATCTGTATTTAAGCCATATCCAAAATTTTGTTTAACTGGTTTAAATCTCAGATGGAAGATTTCTAAATTGAATGAAGTTAGCTGATATATTGTGTTCTTCTTGAGATGTAACTGTATTAATGAATTGCAGCAAAAACAAATGCTTTACAGCACCCTGCATGCTAACAAATTGATTGTGGCATAAGCTTTCATAGACTACAGCCCATTTCATCAGATGAAATCTAAATAATTTTAATGTTAATTCAAGGGGGTCCTCAAATAGGCCTAGCTGTCTTGCATGTTGAGTGTGATTAAACTGTTGCAATATATTACAAGTTTTTAATTATGAAAAGGAAGCTAAACTTGTCCTTTTACAGGAATGTGACTCCACAGACCACTTTGGAATTTAGAGTTTGGAGCCATCATACTTTAAAAGCTGATGCTTTATTAGGAAAAGCCACTGTAGATCTTAGACAAGCTTTGGAAATACATAATAGAAGATGTAAGTTGCATATTTATTTAGATAATATTTAATCAATGTTTATCTTGTCTGCTTTAATGGATACATTTAACTTGAACTTTATGTCCCATTTGTAATATGTTTTGTAGCCATATATAAATTCATGAGATGGTGCTTCCCATTGCACTGGCATATCATCGCAAACTGATATTGCTAGTGATATAGGAATGTTAAGATTGATTAATCATACCCTTTTCTGTTACAAATGCTAAGTATATTATTAGTTTCTTTGATCTATGCATTACCTGGTAAATGAAATTATTTTTTTCTGAATAGGTGAGATACTCTTCAGTCCTTCTCTATGTCAACTGATGTATTGGGATTTTCAGAAAGTGATATTTTAAGCAAGTGAAACCAAAAGGCAGCAGCATTGGTTCTGCATTGGTGATTTATTCTCCCGTTAACTGGTGCTCATTGGAGTTGATGGGATGGAGGGCAGCACAGATGCTCAGTATAATTTGATTATTGGGGGAGAACAGGAGGAGACTCAACATGGCACTTGCACACTGTACATGGGGATAAGTGCACCTGGTGGTAGGGGGAATCTCTTTGCTTCAAACAGTGTGAGAGAGGTGGATAAATGTCCTATTTATGTGATACACAGAGCCATACAGTCTGCTCCTACATTAAGCACTTTGGCTTCTCATTCCAAGTAGCTCACTGACGTGTGCCCTCTCCCTGTGTGAGCAGCAATAGAAGTGCCAACCATTTCTCCCTTTCATGTACAAAGAAACTGAGAAACTCTGTGAGTCAAGAAATGGGGAAATGGGAATGAGTGGTGCATGTACTAAACACTGGTAAAGCCCTGTGATGCTGCTTTCATGATGGGCTTGGCTGCTATAGAGGCTTAGTTGAAATTTATTGTAAGTAAAAGATAGCTTTTCACACTGTCTACTGATGCTCAAACTGTGGGGAGGTGAGACAGGTGGTTATGGAGATATTTTCCTGTGGGATAACTTTGTGGGAGAAACCAGCTGAGGTGCATCATGGAGGTTACATTGGGGGAAAGAATTGTGCTTAGAATAAGGCATATGAAGGAGATCAAACAAGAAATATTTGGAAGCTGGGTATAGCTCCAAGGCCACCAGTAGCATAACTCAATATTAGATTTTAGGCATAATATTGCTCTTGTATGAAATCTCAATTGGTAAAGTTTTTCATGACTTCTGTGGGTATTCAAATATTCAAAACATTAGAAATTCTTGGATCATATCCAACAGTTTTGTGAGTAGCAAGCCACTCAGTGGAGCATAGGTAGCTGCCATATACTGAGTCAGATCATTGTCCATCTGACTAGATACTGTCTGTGCTGACTAGGTGCAGCTCTTTAGTGTTTCAGTTAGGAGTCATTCTTAGTCTTTACACATAAGCTTCAGAAGTGCTGCTCTTTGTATTGAGTGCTGTGCATCACCCTGACACCTTGTCTCCAGAGCCCAGAGCCCATTTTCATGCTGGATAACACAGCTGAAAAGCTGCCAGAAACGTTAAGGATGTGACCACTGCAGAAGCACGTGAGCCACAGAATATACTTGCTTCTTCCTGAAACAGATTAAAGAGAAGTGTTCCTTCTAACTGCAGGAATAAACCAGGGTCTGCTAGATTTTTGTGCTGCCCCCCTACTGTCTCACTCCTGAAGGTACCAGGGGTTCTGGTGATTAAAATGGCACAGTCATGAAGCATCTCTACCTCCTAGATGGGTCATCAAGCACTGCCTGAGCACCTCTAATGACAGGTCGTTTTCCATATATGCAAAAAAGGAGGTTGACCTGTGAGGATATACAAATGAATTGCTGTCATTGAGTGTAGGGGAAGTTGGCAAGAAAGCTCAGATAAATAAGTGACTTGAAGCAAAAACACATTGAATGGGTTCAGACAGCATGATAACCCACACTTGAGGTTTCTGTGTGCATTGTCATTGAACTATGGGTTGCTAAATGTGGGTTTCCATTGTCTGAACCCAGCTGAGATGGACAACATCACCATCAGGAACAACACATTTCACAATCCAACAGCAAACCATGGTTTGTTAGCATGACTTGAGTTAAAACAACATAATAAACCATGTTTCAACAATAACCCACAGTTTAGCAAGCCATATCATACACTTGAATATTGTCTGAACCTTGTCAATCTCTGAATTCTGTTTGAAACCCTTAAGAAGTCAATTGCAAGGTTTTCCATGTAAATCTATTTTAAGTACATTGGGATGACTCCAGAACACCAAGTAACAGCTTAGTCTCAGTTTGGTGTCCCCATTTTTGTGAAGTCTGAATGATCAAAGCCATTTATTAGCTTGAGAGTGCCTTAAATGGCTTGAGGCTATTACACCAGTTTTTGAATTTGGAACTAAAGTTGAGAAACCTAAGGGTAGTCTGTGCCCATAAGCTGTATTTCTAATATTTTGCAAATCCTTCCACTGAAACCAATTAATTATAGATGTTCCTGCTTTATTTCTCTTAATTTTCTCCTACAGTCCACCATTGCCTCAAGCAACCACTATTCCTAAGTTACCCTGGCAAGAACTGATAGCGGGTTGGTTGTTCTATGAGCAATATACATTGTGCTTTTTAGAGGACTGGGCTCCCTGTGGGTTGTTTGCCCCTTCCTTTCTCCCTCAGTCCTTTTCCGGATATCATAGAGCATGGGTCCTCAAACTAAGGCCCACGGGTTGGATCCAGCCTGCCATGCCCATTTAACCAGCCCACCCCACAGGTTTTGCACTTGCTCGGTGCGGGTGCGCAGCTTGCTCATGAGGAGGTTGTTTTGGACTAGTTTGGAGAAAACTATCTCCTCATGAGCAAGCCAGCACCTCGCCATGCATGCCCAGTGGCAGCGTGCTCGCAGGGAGATCGTTGTGGACTTGATTGGAAAAAATGATCTCATGAGCAAGCCAGCACCTCGCCATGCGTGTACCCGGCGGTGCCTTGCTCACAAGGAGGTCATTTTGGACTCTATCTCATTGCAAGCAAGCCGGTGCCTCGTCCTGCATGCTTCCCTCGTGCATGGGTGTGCACCCTGCCCCCTCACCGGCCCGCCCCCCCTCCTCACCACCTTGGTGGCCTGCACCCACCTCTGGCACCTGTCAACTGGCCCCCTTCAGAAAAAGTTTGAGGACCCCTGTCCTAGAGGACCACATGACAGGACTGATTTGTCTCCCATTCCAACCACAATCACAAGCTGCTTTTGGCTTACCATGACTCCCCCCCACCCTTTTTCCCGAGATAGTTAAAAAAAGATTTAACACCTGGCTTTTGCAGTCCCAATTTTGACAGCCTTGGCTGTGTCAATATCTTGGAGAGTAATTATTGTCAAAGCACTTACTTTGCCTTAACAGTCTTCAGGATGTTGCAGATTTTCCACTTTTTCCCAAGACTAGAGTTGCTCAAGAAAATGCATCCAACTTCTGCTTCTGTGGAACAGGTAGTTTGAACAGGGCAATGAATGTTTCTTGACAGGGATATATGCTATTATGAGGAGCAGTTGGCACTAGTGATAACAAGCTTGGCAAGAGCAACAAGGCATTTTTCCCACTCTTGCCAAGTGATTTGCCACTTGATTTGTGGTAGCTGTGATGGGATCTTTTATCTATATTGAGGTTACATGATAACCTATCATGGGTACAACCCCCTGTAAAACCCATTGGTTGTTAGTGTGACTTGTGGCTCTTTAACATGCTGCACTGCAGGATTCAGTCTGCATTCTCACAACATGGTTATAACCTTCCAGTCTCCCGCTTTGCTGTTTTCATCTCCTTACTTGGTAAATGCTAATTTTCCAAATCCTTCTCTCTCTTTATCTCTCAATTAGAACTAGTATAATGGTCCATGTGCTATGGAGGGGTATACTCACCAAGCCAGTTTTTATTTTCTTTTGTAACTAAAATACAGGCAATGTTTTTAAGGCAAATAACAGAATAAAGTCTGTTTTTTATTTTAAAAACTATTTGTGTTGATTTTCCAAGTTTAGACTATAGTGTGCAAATCTGGTGTGTATGTATAACACCTTTGGTTAAATGCCCACTTAGACCTGTCTTGGTTCATATATATGCATGAATGGGGACATGTGACATCACAGTTCTGCCTGGAAATCCCAAGGATTGAATTTGAAATATTTTATACCTGAGCCTTTGACCTTTCTTCCATCCTCTTTAGTGTAGTGTCCTGTGCTTCCTCCCAAAGGCCTCTCTTGAGAACTGAAAAATTCTCAAAATGCATAGGATGCTATGTAAGGGACTGCAATTGGCAGTGGGGTGGGAAGAGTAATTGGGGAATACTACATATAGTAGTTTGCATGAGCAGGAGTTCTATGCAACTGATGCCTCCAACTGATTCAGTGATTCCCCATTCCTACTGCAATCTCTCTTGGCACAAGGTTTCCAAAAGGTTTACCAATGTTCAGAAGCTATAGTGGTGTGGAAGAGGTAGGAAAGTCTACTGTATGAACGACCGTGCCTTCACATAAGGCAGAACCTGTACCCGATTAGATTCATGAGAATACTTATCTGTCATAAGTGTACTTGTATGCTTTTCAGGTTTATAATTTTTGTGGGGAATTTATTTCTGTGCAGTGTATAGATATAATCATATATAGATCTTTAGTTGTTATAGAATATGTGTAGTGTATCTTAGAATAAAATTTGGATAACTGTTAGTATAGTGTATACTCTTAATTCTTGCATTGAGTATTCTAAAGATTTCTAACATTACAGAAAAAAGTGAAGGATTAATGGTCTTCCTTTGAAAAAGTAGCAGCTATTTTATCCTGTGATTGATTCTTTAAAATACCTTTTTTATATGCAGTGGAAAGAGTTAAAGAACAGTTGAAACTCTCACTGGAAAACAAGAGTGGCTTGGTCCAAACAGGAGAACTGATAATAGTGCTTGATGGTTTGGTGCTTGAACCAGAATCTCTTACAAACTGCAGTTCATTAGTAACCAGTAAGTTAACCTGAGAAAACAAAAAAATTAGCTTTTATTATCCCTTTGCATAAGAAAATAAGCATCTAATTTTGTTTCTTACCTTTAGTAGAAGTCCAGCAAAATGGTGATGCTTTACATGAAAACAGAGAAACATCTACAAGAACCACTTCCAGGTCAGATTTCTGTTCAAGAGAAAGTATTTATGATAACACTATAAGCTGCCCATCTAAAATATCAAACTGAATTTGCAAAATAACAGGTAGTATTTGACCCTTTAGCTGTGAGAAATGAAGCAAGTGAGAGATGCAGATAGTGGATTCCCAGTGTTGTGGCAGAACCTGTCTTATCTCTCCCCACTCTGCACAATACCGCTTTTCATTCACTAACCTCCCTGTTTTTTTTTCCTGGAGCCTAAACATGCCCTATTTGGATTGTTTATTTAACTGGCTCTGTAGAATTGTGCAGCTGTGTTCATAATTATTATTTTGAATTATTTTCATTCTTTTACAAGTATGCTCTTATAGCAGTTTTTGGTGGCCTGGTCAATTTTCTTGTATGTCAGAGTTAACAACTGACATAACATTGACAACAGGACATACAAGAAAATCTAACATGCATGGAAATTGATAGGGGAAGACTAGATATAGGTAACTCCAGTTCAGCTGCCAGGGACCAACAGCCAAGTTATCAATTGAAAAGCACTGCTAAATGGGGAAAATAGAAAAAGGAGGTGCACCAAAAGGTGGGGGCAGAACATCTTCCCTTTGTCAAAGTGATCCTCTAGTTTTTAAGCACGGAACTGACAGTTCTCAGCATCATCATTTCCCAACACTTCTGAGTCTCTAGCTACTGCAGAAAGGGGAATATTACTTCTCCCTCTTAGCCTGGCTGCTTTTTAGAGCACTTACTGCTGTTGTTACTGTAGTTCCCTAGGTGTTCTAAAAATATGGAAATATATGCAAACTCAATTGCTGCAATGTATATGGAGGAGAAAATTGCACCAATTTAAGGGCTTGAAAGAAAATGGAGAACTTTGGGCCCCTGTTCGTCTCATTTAGCATCCTTCTCAGGGTTTGTTTGTTCTTTTAGAACTGCTGGGGAACTGCAATAAACCCCATCAGTAAGTGTTTCAGAAAAAATCAGAAAAGATGTGGAAACTAATATCTCTCCTTTCTGGAATGGCTGGAGACTCAGGGAATTGTTTAAAAGGTGGAGGGCACTGACTAGTGTCAGTTCTTAAACCCTTAAAAATGAGAGGATTGCAATGCTAAGTTGGAGATAAATCCCTCTCCCTATTTTAGTGCATCTACTTTTTCTTCCTTCTCTCTTTTCAGTGTGTTTGAAATGATAACTCAGCCTTTGGTCCCTAACTGTGAGCAAATTAAGTCATGTGCTGTTTCACCTTTTCAGTTTCCCTACATGTACCTATTCTACAGCCTACTCACTCAGAAACATATGAAAAATCAGTTCCATTTTCATTTTGTGGTTTATCAGCCAGCTTTTGTTCTATCATTGTTGTCCATTCATAAATTGAATAGGATTTTGCACATATACATTCATAACATATTTGCATAAATTAGTACTTCTGAAATGTGCGAAGGCTCCCCACTTACGCATTTTCACACTTTATTCTGTGGTGGATAATACACAATTTTGAACAGAGCTTTTGATTATTCATTTTGCATAAAATTTGCATAAAATTACAGAGAGTTTAAAAGATCCCTTTTCTACAAAAGAGAAACTTGTCTCAGAGAAAGCCATTCTGGTGCAGAATCTCCAGGGTGAATTTGTAAAAATTTGAACTTGTTTGAAGCTTTTGTGGATTTCCCTGACATCCCTACTGTATGGACATTTACTTTGGGGAGGTGTTCCTGCTTGGAGCTATATATGCATAATTTAATAAAATATTTGTTCTTGTCATGTTACATCAACGCATCCCTGACCTACGGTGACCCTATGAATGAAAGCCCTTCTCTCTATGACATCCCTGCTTAATACTAAATTCAAGACTGTGGCTTCCTTTATGGAGTTCATCCTTTTTTTTTCTGCCTTCAACTTTTCATAGCATGATTGTCTTCTCTAGGGAGTTTTGCCTTCTCTTAATGTGTTCCAAGTATGACAGCCTGTATTTACCATACAGAACCCTCTTTCAATTTTTGGAATACTTTACATTTTTCCAGGCAACATTTTAATAGAGGACATTTAACTATGTTCTGGTTAGTGTCAACAATTGATAAAACTAAGTATATCCATTATAACTTTGTGTGTGTGCATGTGCATGTACACACACATAAGAGAATCTGTTAACCACCAAAATATATGTTTCAATAAATACAAAATAAATGATTACATTATAACACGTTATTTAAATTGTACCATCTGTGTATATAATGCTTTACAAAGAATGTTAATTATATATATCATATTTACAAGTTCTTTGGCTTAGTTAGAATAGGTAGTCTGCCTTAAGCCGATTCCTTTGAAATGTTTGGCCATGCTAGCTGCAGGTGATGAAAGTTGTAATCCCTCTGAAGAAGATTGTGAAACAGATATGGGAACATTGGTGAGTATAGATATTTTTTAATAAATCTAATATTTCTTTCTCTGTGTAATGTTTCCTACAGAATAGACAATCAAACACCATCAAGCTCCATAGTACCAATCTCATTTCCTATACATGCATTTAATGGAGATAGTGGAGACAGCACACCATCTCCTTGTATTGCAACCGGACCCAAAAATACTCCAACACCAAAACCACTTACAAGTGAGCCCGACAGCAATATTGGTAAGGAAAAGGTTAGAAAATGTAGTCCAGTTAGCTTCCTGATAGATCTTTTTTAAAAACAAGAAACCTTAAGTTAACTTTAGGTGTAACAGGTAAGATCGGTGGAATTCAAAGAGCTGTGTATAGTATCTTACTATGAGCTATGCAATGCAGGGCCACCCAAGATGGACAGATCATAGCAGAGAACTCTGACAAAATGTGATCCACTGGAGAAGGAAATGGCAACCCACTCCAGTATCTTTGCCATAAAAACCCCATGGACAGTACCAAAAGGCAAAAAGATATGATGCCGGAAGATGAACCCCTCAGGTTGGAAGGTGTCCGATATGCTACTGGGGAAGAGCAGAGGGCTAGTACTAGTAGCACCAGAAAGAATGAAGCAACTGGGTCAAAGCCGAAAGGACACTCAGTTGCAGATGTATCTGGTGGTGAAAGGAAAGTCCGATGCTGCAAAGATCTTAACTCCATAGGTACCTGGAATGTTCCATGAATCCAGGCAAGCTGGATGAATCAAGGCAAGCTGGATGTTGTCAAACAAGAGATGACAAGACTGAACACCGACATCTTAGGAATCAGTGAATTAAAATGGACAGGAATGGGTGAATTTAATTCAGATGACCATCAGGTATACTACTGCGGTCAAGAATCCCTCAGAAGAAATGGAGTAGCCTTCATAGTCAATAAAAGATTAGGAAAAGTAGTACTGGGCTACAGTCTCCAAAATGAAAGAACAATCTCTGTTCGAATCAAGGCAAACCATTCAATATCACAGTAGTCCAAGTCTACGCCCCAACCACTGGTACTGAAGAAGCTGAAGTTGGCTAGTTCTATGAAGGCCTACAACACCTTCTAGAATTAACACCCAAAAAATGATGTCCTTATCATCATGGGGGATTGGAATGCTAAAGTAGGAAGCCAAAAGATAACCGGAATAACAGGCAAGTTTGGCCTTGGAGTACAAAATGAAGCAGGGCACAGGCTGGTAGAATTTTGTCAGGAGAATACGATGGTCATAGCAAACACTCTTTTCCAACAACCTAAGAAACGACTCTACATATGGACATCACCAGACCGTCAACACAGAAATCAGATTGACTATGTGCTCTGCAGCCAAAGATGGAGAAGCTCTATACAGTCAGTAAAAACTAGGCCAGGAGCTGACTGTGACTCAGATCATGAGCTTCTTGTTGCAAAATTTAGGCTTATATTGAAGAAAGTAGGGAAAAGCACTAGGCCACTCAGGTATGACCTAAATCATATCCCTGATGAATATACAGTAGAGGTGACAAATAGATTTAAGGAATTAGAGCTGATAGACAGAGTGCCCGAATAACCTTCTGAAGATGGAGGTTTGCAACATTGTACAAGAGGTAGCAACTAAAACCATCCCAAAGAAAAAGAAATGCAAGAAAGCAAATGGCTGACTGAGGAAGCTTTACAAATAGCTGAGGAAAGAAGGGAAACGAAAGGCAAGGGAGAAAGAAAAAGATACACCCAACTGAATGCAGAATTCCAGAGAATAGCTAGAAGAGATAAGAATGCCGTCTTAAATGAACAGTGCAAAGAAATAGAAGAAAACAATAGAATAGGGAGGACCAGAGATCTCTTCAAGAAAATTGGAGATATGAAGGGAATGTTTCGTGCAAAGATGGGCATGATAAAGGACCAAACTGGCAGGGACCTAACAGGCAGAAGAGATTAAGAAGAGGTGGCAAGACTACACAGAAGAACTATACAAGAAAGAGCTTAATGCCCGTGATAACCACGATGGGGTGGTCACTGACCTCGAGCCAGACATCCTGGAATGTGAAGTCAAATGGGCCTTAGGAAGTCTGAGCAACAACAAAGCTAGTGGAGGTGACAGTATTCCAGCTGAGCTATTCAAAATCTTAAAAGACGATGCAGTGAAAGTGCTACACTCAATATGCCAGCAAACTTAGAAAACTCAACAGTGGCCACAGGATTGGAAAAGGTCAGTTTACATTCCAATATCAAAGAAGGGCAATGCCAAAGAATGTTCAAACTACCGCACCGTTGCACTCATTTCACATGCTAGCAAAGTGATGCTCAGAATCCTACAAGCTAGGCTCCAGCAGTATGTGGACTGAGAACTACCAGAAGTACAGGCAGGTTTTCGAAGAGGGAGAGTAACTAGAGATCAAATTGCCAACATATGCTGGATCATGGAGAAAGCTAGGGAGTTCCAAAAAAACATCTACTTCTGCTTCATTGACTATGCGAAAGTCTTTGATTGTGTGGATCACAACAAATTGTGGCAAGACCTTAAAGAGATGGGAGTACCCGACCATCTTATTTGTCTCTTGAGAAACTTATATGCGGGTCAAGAAGCAACAGTGAGAACTGGACACGGACCCACTGATTGGTTCAAAATTGAGAAAGGAGTTTGGCAAGGCTGTATACTGTCGCCCTGCCTATTTAACTTATATGCAGAGCACCTCTTGAGAAAGGCAGGCCTAGATGAATCACCAGTTGGAATTAAGATTGCTGGGAGAGATATCAACAACCTCAGATATGCAGATGATACCACTCTCATGGGAGAAAGTGAAGAGGAACTAAAGAGTCTCTTGATGTGCAAAAGTTGGCTTGAAACTCAACATTAAGAAAACTAAGATCATGGCATCCGGTCCTCTCACTTCCTGGCAAATAGATGGGGGAGAAATGGAGGTAGTGACAGTTTTTATTTTCCTGGGCTCCAAGATCACCGCAGACGGTGAGTGCAGCCAAGAAATTTAAAGACTCTTGCTCCTGGGGAGGAAAGCTATGGCAAATCTAGACATCATACTAAAAAGCAGAGACATCACCCTTCCAACAAAAGTGCGTATAGTCAAGGCTATGGTTTTCCCAGTTGGAATATATGGCTGTGAAAGCTGGACCATAAGGAAGGCTGAGTGCTGAAGCATTGAGGCCTTTGAATTGTGGTGCTGGAGGAGACTCCTGCGAGTCCCTTGGACCGCAAGGCGATCAAACTGGTCAGTCCTAGAGAAGGTCAACCCTGACTACTCTTTAGAAGGCCAGATCCTGAAGATGAAACTCAAATACTTTGGCCACCTAATGAGAAGGAAGGACTCCCTGGAGAAGAGCCTAATGCTGGGAACAATAGATGGCAAAAGAAGGGGACAGCAGAGAATGAGGTGGCTAGATGGAGTCACTGAAGCAGTTGGTGTGAGCTTAGGTGGACTCTGGGGGATGGTGGAAGACAGAAAGGCCTGGAGGAATGTTGTCCATGGGGTCGGGATAGGTCGGGCACAACTTCGGGACTAACAGCAACATAGTATCTTAAGCACTTCTGTGACATTTTTATCCCTAGTGTTTATCAAATACTATTCTGAAGAGTCTCCTAGCATTGTATAACAGTTTTATGGGAAACGACATATATGAGGCTACATATACATATAAGAGTGGGCAAAGAGGCCTATCTGCCCACAGAGTGGCTTGGGAACACTTTGGGTTTTGGTCTTCATGTGCATTTACAGTTACAAAGTGACATTTCATTTTACTTTTGTTAAATATTCAAAGTAGCAATCTATTTTAAAACAGAATTTACCTTAAATTACCCTGAATTGACAAAAAAGACCAACTTAAGCCACATAAATATATGCATTTAGATGAAACTGGATTCTTATTGAATTGTCGAATGAGTGATATACTTCATATGAGCATTTTTAATGTTTCAAAAGAAGCAGTATTGTATTTTTACATTCATTTGACAATATAGAATCACCAGGCTTGTTGAAGTATTGAAATCTTTTGATTTTGGCAAGGCTGTCAGAGGATGGATAAAAAGGTTATCGGTATTAATCTAAAAGTGTAATAATTACTGGACAAAATTATATTAACTCAACTCATGAGACAAGGCCATCCGGTGGTGTTGCTTATAGTAACCTAGAAGTGCTAAAATTTAATGTAGAACTATATACTATGGTTCCTTGGAAGACATGTACATCTCTGCTATGTCTCCCATCATGCACATTTTTTCCTAAGCTAAATAGTACTAGTCATTGTAACCTTTACTTGTGAAGAAGTTGTTCCCACCCCCTTACTGCATTTTTTGCAGCTCTATTCTTCTTGAGGTGCATTGAATAATACTGTACACATTATTTAATGTGTGGTTGCACCATAGGTTTGTATAAGGGTAGCATGATACTGGTGGAGGCTTTTATAATGCTTTTCCTAATTATGCCTAACATGGAACTTGCCTTTTGCATAGACACTGCAAACTGGGTTGATATTTTCACTGAACTGTCCACCTTAAGCTTAGGGTCTCTTTCTTGTTCAGTCATTGTTAGTTAAGATTCCATCAGCATATATGTAAAGTTGGACTTCTTGCTCGAGTGTACAACACTTGATATTTGCTTATGTAGAAATCTATTTGCTATTTTGATGCCAAGTCTCCCAAACTGGAGAGATCCTTCGGGAGCTTTGCCGTCACTTTTTGTTTGATCTTTTCTTAATAATATGTTGTCATCAGCACACTTGGCCACCTCACTGTTCAGCCTAAGGTAATTTATGAGCAATTTAAAAAATACTGCACTCAGTATAGATCTTACTGTATCCTTTCCTCCATTCTGAAAATAGTCTGTTTATTCTTACTCTACACTTCTTCATTTTTAACCCATTATAGACCCTTAAGCATATCTTTCTTTTTATTCCATGGCTGATACCTTTTTAACAACGTATGTTTTCTTTGGTTTACCTTTAACCTGGTGTCACTACGAAATCTGGTACTAGATGGAAAAGGGGTCATTTTTTACCCCTGGTACAGAACTGCTGCATATGGACAGGCTTTGTTCTGTCTGAATATTTCCCCCATGAGGTTTCAGTCATCATGAGATCAGTTTTTAAGTTTCAGTTAGTAGATATTTTAAGACGCAATCTTTCCTGAAGCTGTGCATAACAATCAATGCTGTATAACAGTGATTGGCCTTCATTCTGCATAACAGTAGTTGGGCTACAAACTTTAAACCAAAAAGGAAAAAGGCTTTCCTTAATGGATTTAATTCTGTTTGCTGAAGGTTTTAGCTTAGTTTCTTGGTTTTCCAAAGAAACTAAGACAACCTGTACATAACTTTCTTTTGCCCCTTTGTTTTGGAAATAAATATTGCTGACTAAAATAGTGTTCTGCAAAGTTTGAGACATTTTGTTACTCTAGGACTTTTTTTAACAGAAACAAAGTTGTAAAAACAGGAAGCTGAAATTTCAGGACATTTTTTAACTGGACAGATTTTGACAATGTCCTAGAAGGCTTCAATGGTAGGTTTATCTATATGTAAGTTATACAACAAAATGTGAGCCAAGAAGAGGCCTCAACATGCAGGATCAATTAAACCAGAGAATGGAAATTTATCTAATACTTTGTCAATACAAGATATGCTTTTCTTTCTGCATCCCAGTTAATTGTAGATCATCTGTCATGGAAGCTGAAGATCATTCACCCTTGGATACTCCTATGGATTCTGCAGAAGCATCCTCTGTGTCTGTAGACTGCACTGCTGCTACTATAGAACCTCCTTTAAGAACAGAAGCTACTACTAGTAATTCCGAGAGCAGCACATCTACATTTGCCCTTAGTGTATCTGCTGGACTTGAAACTGTTCATCCTACTGATTCATTGTCTTCTAATATACAAAACAATGCAACCACAGAAACAGCGAAACCAAGGGAGTCTTCAAATGTATTGGGGGAAACTGCAAGGCAACAGCCTGGTAACACCAGCATAGAACCTTTGCCCCCAGGGTATGTGAGGGTTGTTTACATTAGAAATATAATAATATGAAATCAGGTCATGTTAAAACTAAACACGCACATTTTATTGCTCCTACATCTGTTAGATTGTATTCAACCCAATCAGAAATAAGTTTAAAATAGTCTTGATTCAATGAATGTAGTTTTCATTAAGGTCAGTCATATTTATCCACAGATTTCAAAAGGACCTAACTTCAACTAACTTAATCCAGGAAAAAATCCATTATCTATGAGTCGGTGTGTCTGGTCAATTTGACCAATTTTATGCAGATTGTCCTGAGGGTGGGGGAAAATATATCAGAATGCTGTAGTCATGGATGAGGAATGGAAGTTAAGGAAACAAATATCCTGGCCTGGACTTTTTTCCCAGGTTTATTTTCCTTACCTCAACAGAGTCTTTACTGGGTCAGACGCAGCTGTTTCTGTGAAATGTATCATAATTTTTTAATAAGCATTTCTTATCCCAGGCTATGCTTACATTTTAGAGAACATCTTTTCATTAGTTTCTTAATTTGTCCTGCTTGGTTGGGCCAAATGTTTCTATTGAATTTTTTTCCTTGTCATAATGCTTTAAATAATAAAACTAAAAAATGAAGAACAACTTTTATGGTAGTCTTTTGCAGAACTAAGTATTTTTGTCTTCAGCGTTCAGCATAAAAATGGCAAGCCTAGTGGCAATGGCAATGGACCTTTTTAACTGTGGTAATATGTACATTTCTGCAGGTGGAAGCACTATGTTTTCTATTAACTGTGTTTAACCTTTTTTGTTTTTTAAAGGTGGGAACAAAGAAAGGATCCTCATGGTAGAACCTATTACGTTGATCACAACACAAGAACTACAACTTGGGAAAGGCCTCAGCCTTTGCCACCTGGGTAATAGACAAACATTGACTAGAATATATAATTACAAGCTTGTAAGTGAAGTATTGGTAACCAGTGTACAGATGTGGAACTATTATTGCTTCCCATTATTCTTACTGCATTGAGGTTTAAGGTAGTCCATGGAACTTTCTGTTACAATTCTGTTTTAAAGCAAAAGTTTTAATTGGCAAGCTTAACATTTTCTTACTGTGTTTTGAAAGACAGGAACTTCATAAATTGTTAATCCATAATGAGTGCTTTTATTTCTATGGAATTTCGAAGCAAGGGCATTCACAGAATTCACAGGAGGAAATGTTCTTCTCCATTCTTTTCTGTGCAGACATTTGAGCTCTCCCCAGGGTTAATGCCCCTCCTAAACAATCACATCTGTTATGGAGTGCTTGCAGGGGAGGAAGCAATTTCTCAAACTGGGGCAGAGGTCCATCCAACTTTCCTGAGGCAGACCTATCCAACATGGTTCAGGAGGGTCCCACAGCTTACCAGGGAGATCTTAGTGGGGGCAGGCAGAAGAAAGAGATAAGAAATCTGCAATCTGTTAACCTATACTAGGATTTAAGCCACAGCAAATGATAATTATTCTCAGAGTTTCTTTTGGATGATGCTATGCTTTTCTAAGAACAAAAGAACAGCCTTCATATGGTGGACTGATACGTTGTGTGAACAGCCATATTGTTCATTAAGCTAATTGTGTGGTTGCTTACAGCATTTCAGTCCTAACATTTGTTTTAATTCTTCCGACCTTGAGATCAGAAATCTGCATGGTATTTATTTTGAGTAGCATTTGGATCAGAGACACATATCAGAAGAAGTGATAGGTGGGTAATACATTACTAGTATAGATGACAGTACACCTAGAAAACCTGTTACACTATCAGCACTATCAGCAATTTTAAAAAGTGACTTTTGGGTCATAATAGTATCACTGGCAGAAGCACTGGGATAGATATTTTTGACCAACGTAGTGTTCTTATTTTCTTTTGAAAATGTATTTTAGAGCTTTCTAATCTAAAGAAAGAAAGGTATGTGGGAGATTTGCAACATAATCTTCTATATGGTAACTTAGAAACATGTCTCATTGTTTTCAGTTTAGTGTATATAGATTGCAGGTTTATTTTCCTACAGTAAATTATTTTTCCATTATGGCAGGGAAGAAAATAGCTCTCAAAGTTGACATTTGGTTCCTAGGTGGGAAAGAAGGGTTGATGATCGAGGGAGAGTTTATTATGTGGACCATAACACACGGACGACAACATGGCAGCGACCAACAATGGAATCAGTCAGGAACTTTGAACAATGGCAGTCTCAGCGAAACCAATTGCAGGGAGCTATGCAACAGTTTAACCAACGATACCTTTATTCCGTAAGTTTGAAAAATTATGACATGCTTGAATTATTTTTCTCTTCTGTTAGATAACTTTATATTACACATTAATACATTCAGCTACACACCTTTTGATAATTTGATAATGTTATAGTGTAGATATAATGTGAAATCCTAGTTTGCATTTGGTCATATTGATAAACCATATGATTCTGGCTTATTGTCCTGCTCTTTTAACCAACATTAAACCATAGTTTCTCATTTTGGATATAATTGACAATTCTGGTTTAATGTATTCAATATATCTTCATTAAAGCCAGCATGTGAGGAATGGAGGGACAGACACAGGAGGAGGACAACATATTTATGACAGTTTGGATGGCACAAACTGATACATTTCAAGTATGCCCACAAACTGTAGTTTTTTACAGGTTTGACAAACCAAGATCTGAAACCATAGTTTGAAGCTGGTTTGTAAATCATGGTTTGTGCAAACTGGTTTACTGTTATGTTTGAACCTTAGAGGAATCTCTAGGTACAAGGATTCTAAGAAACAGTGTCTGAGTTGTTCCTGGCTGTCAGTGCAGTTAATGAGGTAGAGGGCACTTTGTCAAGCATGTTGATTTGGGTGGGAAAAATCATGTCAGTGTTTCTCTGTTGTCATCTGCCCCCTGCTCTCAACATTTATACTCGTTGGATTTAGGATAACGATCAAATTAGGCTAACTTCAGAGTGGCATAATTGTCCTAGTACAGTTAAGAGTATTGTCTAGTTTCAGTGGTAAACTAAAGTTGAATGCTTAGTTTGAATGGTAAAGTTAATTCAGGTATTTATGCAGGAATTCATGTATGACTAAGCAGAACTCTTTGTGAGACTTTGGTATTGGGCGGCTCAGAATAACTAAGAAATCCACCTTAAGTATACTTGCATTTTGTCATTTTAATACTTACTTTAAAACCATGAGCATTTCAATAGTAATAGTATCATTATAGGTGATGTGGAACTCTGCTGTGCACTTAAGACATTATTAGCCCAATTTGGTTTGATCATATCAGATTTGTGTCACATGAGAAAGCTTCAACAAATACTAGGAAATGCCTACATTTAGAACTTGCTTTTTTGAATGCTAGATTTCAGATCAAGGCACCACATTTTTTGCTATTTTTTCATTGAGTTTTCAGAAACAGAAAATGGGTTGGATCCAGACTAAGTTAATTGCCGTAAGTCCCATTGAAATAAATCTGATAAATCAGTCATGCTTTAAGACCCACAAGGTGCTTCAGAAAGAGTGCTACATACTTTTTCTAATACGATCCACAGTTATATTTTTGTTAGCCACAAACCTCTGGGAGCATGCTGGTAGTTGGGGCAGCAGGTCAGCCAGGGTAAGAAGAGTAAGTCCATTAGGCAGGAGGATGGATTTTTCTTCTTACTGTTTGCTCACTTTTTCTTGGAAGATGAATTGCATAGGGGCTGGTTGATAAGGAAGCATTTACATGTGTATTCTTCTATAGTGAAGAGTAACTTCTTAAATACAGAATAGTACTTTTAGGGATTTTCTTTTTGGTTGTTTATCTTTATTAGCAACATGCATACATCCTGCATTATCTTTATTTTTTTCTATTGTCTGCACTAGGCTTCAATGCTGACTGCTGAAAATGATCCACTTGGTCCTTTGCCACCAGGCTGGGGTGAGAAATACAAATAGGTATTTGAAACAGACATCTGTGTTTAAATTAATGATTTAAACAATTGTTTCATTTGCATCATTCATTTTTATTACAGAAAGGAGAGTTGATTCAAATGATAGGGTGTATTTTGTAAATCACAACACAAAGACAACACAGTGGGAAGATCCACGGACTCAAGGGTTTGTATATGTGCAGTGTATTCATTAAGCAATACTAAACTAGATATAAAATTATTGAGGTTTTAAAGCAATTGTTGTTAATTTCTCAGCTTACAAAATGAAGACCCACTTCCTGAGGGCTGGGAAATCAGATATACCAGGGAAGGTGTAAGATACTTTGTTGATCATAATACACGAACAACTACCTTCAATGATCCTCGTACTGGTAAATCCTCTGTGTAAGTGGGACATTATATAGAATTCTAAATACTTGTAAGTAGAGCTTGCTAAATCTATGAAGCTTAAGTAGAATTAAGTTATATTGCTTCTATTGGAAGGAACTAGATATCTGATTGGTTTGGTGGTACAGAGTGTGCATGGGCTATAACTTACATTATTTAAGCACTGGATAATAACATTTTAAAACTAACCTAGAACTGCAGTATATAATCCTTCTGAAGTTTAATATGATGAAACATGCACTCCACTGCATAATAGTTTTGCTTGCTTAATATAGATATTTTTATTTACAGAAATAAAGGACCTCAAATTGCTTATGAACGCAGCTTTAGATGGAAACTTGCTCACTTTCGCTACTTGTGTCAGGTACTGGAATGCTTGTCAAATATTGTGTATACTTTAATTTGATTTTTTGTGCATTTGTTCATATTTGATTATTTATTGTCTGTTTATAGTCAAATGCTCTGCCGAGCCATGTGAAGATAAATGTATCCAGACAAACCTTGTTTGAAGATTCCTTCCAACAGGTAAATTATTGTTTATATTATGAACTAGGATTCCTGAAGCAAATACTGCATAGGTGAATATGTTTCAGCTTACCTGGTTATATAATTAGGAAAAAATCTTATTCTAGATCTTTTTAAAAAATTGGAAAGCTTTAATTTGAAAAGTTTGGTAGCTTGAATCTAATATAACAAATCTTTGCATACTAAGGTTTGGTAGAAAATAGCTTGTCTGGTTTGCATTAGGCTGATCTGAAATGTGAAAAGAATTTTCATAAAGCCTTTTAAGCCTTTAAGAAGAGTTTCCTGTTTATGGATCTTCTGAGACCAGTGATGAATGAATGAATGAATAAACCATTTACGGCTTTATATGTTATTGTTAATACCTTAAATCGGGCCCAGACTTCATTTTGTAAGAGTGGTTAATATAGGTCCGGTGTGATATGTTCTTGTCTACTGGTCCTGTCAACAATTTGGCAGTTCTGTTTTGGACCAATTGCAAAGTCCGGATTGTCTTCAAGGACAGTTCTGCATAGAGAGCGTTACAATAGTCCAAGCAGGAAGTTATCAGTGCATGAGCTACTGTTACTAGGGCCTGTCTGTCCAAGTAAGGACACAGCTGATGGACCAGCCTCAGCTGAAGGAAAGCATTCCTTGCCACAGATGCCATTTAGAATCTGTGGAATTCCAGGGATAGCCTGGGGTCAAGGAGTATTTCCATACTGTGTACCCTGTCCTGTAGGGGGAATGCAACCCCATCCAAGACAGGGTAAATATATCTTACCTGAACAGCTGACTCATCCACCAGCAACACTTCCATCTTATCTGGATTAAGCCTCAATTTAACCTTTATTTAACCTGTTTAGGACAGTCACTGCCTCACCTAGATGGATGTAAATGAGAGGTAGACTTGGGTGTCATCAGCATACTGATAACTCCTCAGCCCAAACCTCTGGATGACCTCACCCAGTGGTTTCATATAGATATTGAACAGCATAGGGGATAAAATGGAACCCTGCAGAACCCTGTGGCATGCCATGGCTCAGAGCCACAATCCACTAGCAACACTGTCTGGAATGGGCCAGCTAGGTAGGAGCAGAACCAACACAAGGCAGTGCCCAACCTTGCCAGCCTATCCAGAAGGATACCATGGGCAATAGTATCAAAAGCAACTGAGAGGTCCAGAAGAGCTAACATGGATGTACTTCTCCTTTGCTCTCCCAGCAAAGGTCATCCCACAGGGCGACCAAGGCAGTTTCTGTTCTAAAACTGGGTCTGAAACCAGATTGAAAGGCCTAGTCCAATTTTCCTCCAAGAGTGCCTAGCCACTTCCCTCTCAAGCATATTGCCCAAAAAAGGGATGTTAGCTACTGGTCTGTAATTGGTGACATCCAATCAAGGATCTAGGGTTGCCTTCTTCAGGCCTTATTGGCATTATTACCACCTCCTTCAAAGGAGAGGGAACCAGACCTTTCCTCAGGTGTTGATGACCTTCTGAACCCAGGGTTTCATTCTTTTCCTGGCTTTGGCTTTGGTGATCAACCAGAAAGGGCATGAGTCAAGGATACAGGTAGTGGGACGAACTTGTCCAAGCATCTTGTCCACATCCTCAGGCCACAATAATTGAAACTCATCCAACAATATTTATTAATTGTATGAAAATAGGTAGAAAGACACTTTCACACTTTCTGTACAGGTGGCTGATGTTCTGGGCAGTATTTCCTGTGTAGGACAAAGACACTACCTGCCTAGTAAGATGTGTGAAGTCTGAGAGCATTGTTCCATTAGAGTTGGTAATGTAGATACTATCCCATCCCAGCAAATGCAAAGCTGTCTCATTTCCTTTGGTCCCAGTGCTAGGCAGCCAAATGTTACAGACTTTGTAGCAATGTTAGATGAACTCATTGACTACGTATTCTGCTACTGGCCAGAACAGTACAAAAATGATGACAAAAATTGGTACAAGAAAAGCAGTAGAGTGTCTGCAGATACACATTCTCCCACAAGAATATGTTCAGAGATTTAACCCTCCTAAAATTTTAAATTTGTGAAAATTGGTTGTAGTTTAAAAAAAAAATAACACAATGCCTCAACATTGTGGTTAAACCATGGGTCCTCAAACTACAGCCTGGGAGCCGGATCTGGCCTGCCATGCCCATCTGGACCCACCGCACATGCGCCCACTGCCCAACTCGCCCCACGTGTTTGGAGGCAGCCATTTGCTCATTCGGAGAAAACGATCTCCAAGCGAGCAAGTCGCTGCCTCGTGCGTCTGCCTTGCGGTCCATGGCTCCCCTCCCCTCACCAGGTGCATGCACCTGCCTGCACCTCGCCTCACCTTGCCTCAGTGCATGCGCCCACACACACCACCGGCACCACCTTTCTGGCCCACGCCCAGGACGGGCAGCTTTCAACTGGCTCCCTGGTGGAAAAGTTTCAGGACCCCTGGGTTAAACTTTTATATATTGTACTAAGCCATTCAGTATTTTATTATGTATTATTCGATATTACTTACTGTTTGTACTTGACAATTTTTATTTAGATCATGGCTTTAAAACCCTATGACTTAAGGAGAAGATTGTATGTCATATTCAGAGGAGAAGAAGGACTGGACTATGGTGGTTTAGCCAGGTACAAAAAGATCTTTCCTAAAATATTGTTAGATAAGCATATTTATTGATGAAAAAAGAGGGTGGGCAATTTTGATAGTTTGGTTGCATGATAATATGCAATTTATTTATATTAAATAAAGTCAAGATGGTTATAGCCTATGTTAGTCTAACTTAAGTCCAATTCATTTCAATGGGTTGGATAGTTTATGGTGTGTTTATTGTTGGATATGGTTCTGTGCTTCTGTCAGATTCCTTTAATAATTTCATACTGAGAGCACACATGTTTTTAAAGACTTTAATGCTGGACCAGGGAAGATTCATGGGGGACTGTGCGGAGATTTGCTCATTTAATGTTAATATCATCAGTAAAGGCTTGTTTGCTTGTTTGTTTATTATTTATATCCCACTTTTTTCTTACAACACACTCAAAGTGGCTCACATGATTCTCCTCCTCATCTTTTCAATCTTATCCCCACAACAATAATCCTGTGAGGTAGGGTGGGCTTCATTAGAAGTGAAGAGAAAGATATATGTATAATGTTCATCCAGAGTGGAGATCTATATTATAGGTAGTTGGTTCAGAGACCTTCAGGATTCATATCCAGAGGATGGAACTTGCAAAACCTCAACTTTTGTGGGTTCAACTTTCGCAGATTTGATTATTTGTGAGTTTTCCATCAATAATTAAATGGGAATATTTTTGGAAGTCTGTGGTACAAAACGGGGCTAGGTGCAAGCCAACGCTAGAAGAGGCACCTATTCCTGCTTGGCCAGGGGGACACAATGGCAACTCTGGAAGTGAACAGGGCCCTTCCTGTGGATCCCTTCAGCTGCACTGGGTATTGCTTGGCCCTCCTCCCTCCTGGGTCAGGGTGGTGTTCTACTTTGGCCAGCACCTAGCAGCTGACCATTCCATTCCATTCCCATGTGGCCCTATAACCTGAGGGTTCTTTGAATGGCTTACACATACTGAAACAGCATAGAATACATAGGATACAATAAAAACTATTAATAAACAGATAAAACAATAAAATAATAGATACACATAAATAAAATATAGCCGTACACACCATAATATATACAGCCAATAAATTAACCAACAATTAAATAAAAATAAGTAATCCATAACAAAATATAGAAGTATTAAATTAAATGGAATTAAATTAACCAAAACCTTGTTTAAATAAAAAAGTTTTCACCTGGTGCCTAAAAGGAAGAAGTGCCCTTCACTACATAATGGATGTAGAGTTTTTCTTTCCTGTACGTAAACATTGCTAACAGTATACTTTCTGTATTTTATCTTTTCTGGAGACATTTTTAATCTATTATATCTTTTGGTAGAGAATGGTTTTTCTTACTTTCCCATGAAGTGCTGAACCCTATGTACTGTCTATTTGAATATGCTGGAAAAAGCAACTACTGTCTACAGATAAATCCGGCATCAACAATAAATCCAGATCACCTTTCATATTTTTGCTTTATTGGGCGGTTTATTGCAATGGTGAGTTTTATACATATGTTCTGAATTTGTTCTACTATTTTTCTTTCTGGAGAATTTAATACTTAAATGCTCATGATGATCATAGTGCAACTTCAATTATCAGCAGTTCCATCAAATATTCCTCAGAATAGTTAAAACAGGTAGGAAAGGAATTGGTGCATTTTTCTCCATTAACTTAGCAAAGTTGAATTGTATTTTTGAAATCTTCATACCATATGCTTTTTAGTTGTGTTAAAATCTCAAAACTTGCTCTGGGCATACATCATAATGATTTAGTGCTGATAAAGAATCAGCATTTATAGTGTATGCACTGGCACATTCAGCTTCTAAATGTTTCCTAGAGGTGGGATAACTGGGTAATGGAATAAAAGCTAAGTTGCAGTTGAAGTGAAAAATGATAAACATTTTGGCAATGGTGATGGAAAATTATACATATGTATTCGCTGATGAATATAAATTAATTGCAATTACAGAACGTATGAGTAACATTCTAATTACAATTAAATTCTGATTGGATGGCAGGTGAATGCTTGAACAAAAGTAAATGCAGAGTGCAGTGTGATACATGTCCTCTGGGAAGGCCCACTGAATTTAATGAGACTTGCTTCTAAGTAAGTGTGCATAGGGTTGCAGCCTAGGTATAAGTAAAGTATTAGCAAAACATTTGAAAAGAAAATAGCAGGCTTTACAGGTTATTTACCCAGTCCTGTGTGCAACAGCTTAAAAAAAAGAACGCATTGCTGCATAAAGTTCAGGAAATGGTAGTGGAAAAGAACCAGATTGTTTGTGCGTATTCCTTAAAGCCTTAGAAGAAACTGAGAGGGGAACACTGTAGATCAGGGGTCTCAAACTCAAGGCCCGTGGGCCAATTGCGGCCCGTGGGATGATATTTTGTGGCCTCCACTTGATATCAAAGTTTAGTGATAGTGCAGCTCGCGTGTTTTCCTCACACGCAGCTGCGTGAGTCTTTACCCTGGGCGCAGTGTTCCCTCTAAGTTGCTCGACGGGATGGGTGGGGCAGGGGGAGGGGGAGGGACCCTGCGGCCTTCAAAGCGCCAGCAGTGCCTGGGCCAGCCTCCGGGAGCGACGCGGGATGAGCAGCCCACCACCACCGCGGTGAATACTTGATGCGGCCCAGCCTCACCCAGACTGTACTTCCAGCGGCCCCCAGGTAAGTTGAGTTTGAGACCCCTGCTGTAGATGATTGTAAAGGTAGGAACAATTTGGGGATCATGAATGGAAAGAAAATTTTAAAAGCTACCTGAAAGCTGGGATTGTGGTAAGTCAAGTGATCTGATATATTTTTTTCATGGATAAGAAACAGTACAACACCAGTGTTTTAGGGAAGAAGCTTGCTGTTTCCCAAAAATCTTGATGTGAGTATGTGATAATGGGAACAACCCCCTTAGTTTATTATGCCAGTAATTGTTAAACTCATAGTTAATTCTCCAATTCCGTTAGCATGCTGGTAGTCAAGCCTTACAAAATTTAGAGAAGCCTTCAGAGAGACTTCTGTTGGGGAGGGTCTATGAATGTACGTGACCTACACTCAAAGAACAACAGTTCTAGGTAAGCAGCCTTGTTTTCTTTGAGTGATCACAAATGTTCATACACCAGGGATGAGCCTCTTTGTAATACTAAAGATTTATTTTCCTGATGACTTGTCTGAACATGACCTGTAACAGCATGCTAAGTGCAGTTGTTAAGTGAAGAGATTTACACTACTGATAGCCATTGCTTCATGGTTTCCTTTTACTCCCACGAGAGATGAAAAATAATTATAGGGCTAGGCATTGAACCCAGTATAGTGGTGGTGATAATGTTTACAGCAGAAAGATCCAAAAACATTTTATGGGGTATTTAGAATACCTGAAATCCAAAATAAGCTCTGTTCCTCCAGTGGAAAAGAGGAATTACATTGCTACTAGTAGTTCAGTTGCTTCATAAATCTAATGACTCAAATTGCTTGTGCATTTCTGAGGCAGAAAAAGGCTTCCTCCTCTTGCCTAGCTGATACTACTTTTTGAAGGACTGAGTTTATGACAAAATGAAGGACATTCTTTGCAAACTGCATATTTTCATGGAAGATCAGCCTGACAATTAGACATAGTAGCCCAGGAGGGAATCTCCATACTTTAAAACAGTATGTATAGCTGTACTAATTGTGGGAGTACTCTATCTATAGGCTTACTTTCCAGAAGCCTCTTCTCTTAATGCTAAGATGAATTACTGATGTTACTTCTCTACTCTCTGAAGTCTTCATAGTTCTACAGTGGGCCCATTTCAGAATTAGGAAATAAATGGGGTTGGTGGTGGCTACCTTGGTGTAAATATAGTGGTACATTGGCTCACAAACTTAATCCATTCCAGGACTCTGGTTGTGACCCAAATTGATTGTGAGCCAATTCAAATTTCCCCATAAGGTTCAATGTAAATAAGGTTAATCGATTCTTTAACTATTTTTTTAATCACAAAAATGTGAAGCAAAGTGACACAGAACAACACAGGTCGTGACCATCTCCCCCCCACCCCCAAGCATGAGCGTGGCCATCTCCCTCCCAGCACGACTGCAATCACACCCATCATCCCTGCACGAGCACGACTGTGATTGTAGCCATAGACGGGCACGATTGGGATCACGCTTGGGGGGGTGGGGAGACAGGCGCGATCGCAATCATCACCCGATGCGGAGTTTGCAACCTGAGACAAAATTTTTCAGAAATTTGGGTTCGCGACCTGATTTGGTCATGAACTGAGGTGTTCATGAGCTGAGGTACCACTGTAATGTGTGAACAGTCTCTCACACATTATTTCTGGTTCTTTGTGAGAGATAGGTAGGAGGGTACATTTGCAGCATCAAAGGTAAATATACTAACAATAGCAACATAATTGTTTTTACCTATAGGCCAGACATATGAGAACTGTGTATGCTCACCTGGAACTAGTTGTTCATTTTAATGATTAAATGGGCTTTTCCACAGTATCTTATACTAACAACAAGCAAATATCGAAGATGAAAATGTTTTTGCTTTTAGTTTTGCTATAAAAGTGTCTATACTAGTCCTCAAGCTGAGCAATCAAGGATTTGAAAAAATGATGATATGGCATAGTTGGCAATAGATACTATTAGTTTATCATTGTTGTTTTCTGAGAGACTACAGAACTTTTAAAAAATCTCATCACCTGGCTTTCTCTTAATTTTAAGGTTCTCTTAAGGTTTTAATCTCTGCATTGAACTTACATGAGAAATACTCAGAAAATAAATCTAGGACCAATATCTTATTATCCAAGCACTTAATCAGTTGTCTTAGAGAAGGTATTATGGAACCAATTACCTGGGGAGATTGTAAGTTCTCCTATACTGGAGGCATTCAAGATTCAGCTGGACAGTTAACTGTTAGGGATGCTTTAATTTGGAATCCTGCATTGAGCAGGGGGACGGACCTGACGGCCTTATTGAACAGTTCCAACTTTACTCTTCCAGGATTCAGTTACCAGCTCCTGTATTGCCAGCATTCATACAATATGGTTAAATTTTAGCCCTTGTCCTGCTAATCATCAACTGTTTTGTGATTTGTGTCAAACTGCTGCTTCAGTTAAGGATATGATCTGTATTAGCAAGTTCATGTATCATGGAAATAAGAAATTGCATCATGGCTACAATTTGTTACATAAAAATTTTGGTTGTGAGAATTTTGTGTGCTTTGCTTGTCTAATATGCATATAAACAAATCTTATAGTGTAACATATTGAAATTAATATTTTATGTAGTCTTTTTGCTATCTCACATAAGGGTTTTGTACCCCCTCCTTGGTTTGGAACTTTCTAGAGCTAGAGCTTCAGATGTACATGCCTGATTGGTCATGGCTCCCACCTTCCTGCTCAGTTCCTTTTATCTGCTACAGCAACATCACTAGGATCTTCTCTTTTACATTTTCTTAAAGGACTTCCATCACCTTTGCTCAGCCAGAAAACACAAGCTTGGTCATGTCGTTAGAAGAAGCTGTTTTTCAAGATAGAATTTTTGACCTCTGCAGTACTTTTCATCTAAGAAAGGAATGATGGAGATCAAAATGCAGTGTTCCCTAGTGAAGATATTAATCCATTTGCAAAATCACTTTTGCATTTGGCCAAGACACTGGGTCAAAGTTCAGTGACCTTTTCCATCCATAAAGACTCTGTCTTTCAGCTAGTTCATATTAAACAGCCTTATTGCCAGTGGTTAGGAGCATCATGGAAAAATGTTTCTGTGATGCCCATTTATATCAAACCAATTAAATAACTTATGCCAAGTTCAAGAGAAGGGATGAAACTTGAAGGGATGTTCAAACAACTTACTGGTTGTTGAGGTAGCCCAAAACAGCATGAACTCCACCAGAAAGCATCTTGTTTGGTGCAACGTGGGATCTACATAAAGCTATGGCAGCTCTTTGCAGGCTATTGTCCTTTTGGCTCAGATACAGAAACCCTAGACTAGAATAGAACAGCTCTCCCTGATGGCACAGGACTTTTCAGTGGAATTACAGTTAGGATAGCTCCACAATCCAGTTTATCAGAAGGATTTCAAACAGTAGACTTCATTTCATCAGTCCTATTCCTGGCACAGGTTGTCCTTCAACAGCAACATTCTCCAGTAGCCTTGCTATTCTGTCAAACATGGTTGCATTTTGCCAGTAAGAGTTTCTCAGCTGCAAAGATTGTCTTCTAGCATAAGGTAGCAGAGCCTTTCAGAGGTTGACTTTGGTCCTACCTTGTAATCTCTCAGCACCTGCTGGTTGGTATTTGACTTGTAAATGCAGGATTTTTCACGTCCTAGAAAGTTCTGAAACTAAACTCTGCACAGATGCAGAACCCATATGTTTATCTACACAGGTGGTGGTTTGAAGCAAACCTGGTTTCCCCAATTATTGTTTTAGAGTTTTTGTAATGTTTTCTTCACACTTAGTATTGTCTAAAAACATCTGTTCAAAAATGTTTTAGGACATCTGCTAATACTTAGAGCAATGCACTTGAAGTTGTTCTTGTATCATATACCAAACTGATTGTTTTAAATCCTCAACAGGCATTGTTTCATGGCAAATTCATTGATACTGGGTTTTCCCTACCATTCTACAAGCGCATGTTAAACAAGAAACTTACAATAAAGGATTTGGAATCGATTGATACTGAATTTTATAATTCCCTAATTTGGATAAGGTTTGTAATCTTTTCAGGTATCCTCTATTTCATTTGTCACATTAGTCAAATTATTATATCTGGTTGATCTTTGGTTAACTTTTCCTCTTAGGGACAACAACATTGAAGAGTGTAACTTAGAAATGTACTTCTGTGTTGACATGGAGCTGCTAGGGAAAGTTACCTCGCATGAGCTAAAATCAGGAGGCTCAAACTTACTTGTTACAGAAGAGAACAAAGAAGAATACATTGGGTATGGACATGAAGGAACAGAAAAGTTAACCCCAAGTGTTTGTGTATACTAATTATACTGCTGTATAATTTTTTATCTTCTCTTATTTTAATTTTTATTTATTTATTTATTTATTTGGGTAATTTTTTACCCCATCCAATACCCAGTGGGTCTCAGGACAGCTGATTCATCCTGCTTTGCCTGATCAAATAACTGAGGTTGCAGAATATGGTAAACATCTTGGAAATTTTAACCATGCAGTGTGTACATGTGACTTACATACCACCATGGCTTAATGTGTTGCACAAACACAGCTTTTGCTTATAGCCTTGGGTACTTTGTGAATACTTGGGAGTAAACAAGCATGGTGTTCCTGCTTACCTTCTTCCACTTTCAGTTAGAAACACAAGATCCACTCTTGTTCCTAGTTGTTTCATGACATGCAACCCCAAACACATGCAAAGTCTGTGATGTTTATTGGTTAAACAACAAAGAATTAAACCATGGTTTGTTGTTGGACTAAATCTGGGTTATTTAAATGCTAAACCCAGAATCTCCAGATTCAATATCAGGAAACAAGGCAAGAGCAACTCTGGATGATAAGCTGAAAAGAGAAATGAGCAGGTGAGAAACAGCATTCATGTTCACTTCTATGAACACCTCCACTTCCTGGGTTAATCAACAGGAATCTGGCTTGGATCTAAGCAGATCGAAACTCACAGAAACTCAGTGAACAAACTCACAAAAAAGAACTTTCCATTCTTTCCTATCTCAAAAGCCTCTTTGGAGTGATTATTTATATATTATATTTATATCCATTATTTTTCCTTTCAAGAAACTCAGGGCACCCTACATAATCCTTCTTCTCCCCTCTGTTTTATCCTCACAACAATAATCCTGTGAGGTAGGTTAGGCTGAGAGTCTGTGGTGGGCCCAGACTTATTCAGTGAGTAGCATGGCTGAGTGGGGACTAGAACCTGGAGCTTCCAGATCCCCAGTTCAACACTGTTAAGTTTCTTTTCTTAATTTTAAGAGTGGCATAAGTGTGGATGAATAAATGCAATTTAAAACAACACTTCTTGTACCACTTTACAAAGAATATGATTAATTTTCTTTTAGATGGATCTACTTTTGAAATAGTTGAGTAATGCCCTTTATAGTGAGAGCTCAGATTGCAAAGTTCGGCAGGAAAGCACATAGGACTATGGGGGAAGGAGTGCTCTAGATAAAATAGAGTGTAAAATATTGTTTGAGATTGTGCAAATATATATATTTGCACACACACAACGGTAGAATTAGTATAATGGTAGAAAAGTCCATGGTATGTTTTTAAATAATGGATTCCATTTTTAGAATTCAAACTTCACTTTTTTTCAGTCTAATGGCAGAGTGGCGGTTTTCACGAGGAGTGCAAGAACAAACCAAAGCTTTCCTTGATGGATTTAATGAAGTTGTTCCCCTTCAGTGGCTACAGTATTTTGATGAAAAGGAGTTGGAGGTAAGACTTTTGAGGTTTACTGGCTTAACTCAGCAGAAAGAGGTCTAAACTCTTTGACACTAACATTCTATAAGGAAGAATAATAAAAGCAAATAGAGTCAATGTTTAGATTCATTTAAGGCACAAATAAACATCTCTAAAACTGCTGTGAAATGACTCATTCAAATACATTTCACTTGCACATCAGGATCCCAAGTTGCTGTTCTTCTAAATCTTGCGGTCTTTTTCCAGGTTATGCTCTGTGGCATGCAAGAGGTTGATTTGGCTGACTGGCAAAGGAACGCTGTATATCGCCATTACACAAGAAATAGCAAGCAAATAATATGGTTCTGGCAGGTATTGTATTTTTATTAGTTGAAAAAGTCAGCAAATGTGAAATTACACCTTTTATGACTTTTACCTTAGAAATATAGAAAGTTTCTTCAAGGATTTATGTCTATACTCAGAACGGTCTAGACCAACTGTAAAACTTACAGAGCTCCTCAAAAAGTCTAGGATGCATTCTTCCCTCTCCTCAACTTAGTGGTCATCCTGAATTTCCTTAACTTGAAGGAAGAGGAAACTTTGCTACTGCCTTGCTACAATGGTGAAATTATTGTCCAAGGTTTCTCTGGAATTTGCTGCATGCTTCAGCAGTGTTTATATGGAATCAAGTGTGCTCTGTGAATAAGAGTGACGTACTGGAGAAGATATTCAACAAGTTTAATGCGTGTCCTTTGGCCAGTGAGCTTGCTTCTTGGCGAAACAGTTCAAAGACCCAAGAATTTTTTGAGAAAGTTTCTGTTATTAAATCAACTGAGTAAAAATTCTTGATCTTCCTACAATTGCACACTTCTGTCATAATTGACCACTGTGTTCCAGAAAGATAAAGTCAAAACTTGAATCTGCATGTGAAACTTGAACTTTTTCCAAACATAAATGTCACTACTAGGCTCCAGCCATCTTCCATATAAGCTTTTGTTCAGTGACAGATTGTTCTAACTTGAGACACCAATGGGCACGTACCATGAGAGATCAGGGATTCGTGCATAATACAGAATTCAATCAGATTCCATCAACAGGCTTCAGGATACTTTGGGTTATCATTTAACTTAGGTCAGCTGCTTTTGGAACTGCCCCTGAAGAAGGGAGCAGTATAATTAGTACTTTCCATTTGCTGTATGAACTATTTAAAATACTTTCTAATAGGCAAGTGTGGACAAGGAATCACCCCTGCTAGGTTTGTGGATCTTCAACCTGCAGAATGAATTCTTTGGGGGATATTATACTATTACTAGGGTGTTTGGTTTGCACTATTTGGCAAGTGCTGTTACCAATCAGTAAAATTAGATTTTCAAGATACTATTTTACCTCAAGTTGATCTATTCAATTTTGCATTTTATTTATATTCTGCCATTTTTCTCCAAGAAATCCAAGGTGGCTTACATAGTCATCCTCTCCATCTCCAATATATAACAGCCCTGTCAGGTAGGTTAGGCTGAGAGTCAGTGACTGGCCAGAAGTCACATCTAAATCTTCATAGCCATGTGAAGACTAGAACATTGATCTCCCAAGTTTCATGTTTTAACCTCTACACAACACTGGTTTCCTGGATTTTTTTCTGTTTCCAGAAATCATACTGTTGCTTTCCCAGTTTCTAAGAGGTATGCAATATACATTGCCACAAGTATCAGCATGAAGCATCTCAGTATTGCCATTAAAGAACTTTGTGCTGTATATAAGAGTGAATCCACGCAACATACTTTATTCCAATTTTTGCACTGAAGCAACTCAATCTACAGTGGTTTATGTTAACAGATAATGTTGAAACGAGCATTCCTGTATTAGTTTAAGTTTAACCTTCCTTTCTCTTCACTGGTGTAGAATTGTTTTTTGTTGTATGGATACTTGATGGAAAATTTGCTCATAATTTCTGAAATGGTATTCATTTCACATTTTGGAGCTGGTTTAAACACACCTAAAGTTTAGATTCAAGTGACATCTTTTCATCCATGAACAGGTATATAAAAATGTTAAAATGCCATTGTAATTGTACTTCTCAGGTTGCATATGTTATGGCAGGGTCCCCTGTATATTATTCTAGTAGAAGAGAGGTAGAGTCAAAATAATAAAAACAGCAAAGAGGGTTTATTTCATCATCATCATTATTCTTGAAGGGAGGTAAAAGTGATAGGGAAAATGCACATGAGGGATCTGAAAAAAGAGAATAAGAAAATATGCTCAGTGGATAGAGAAATCAAAGTGTAAATAAATGAGAAGAAACCCACTGAGGAAAAAGGGACAGTAAAAGATATTCCCAAGGCACTGAAGTTGGTCAAAGAAGAACTGAGGGAAATTGCAGGAGCCCCTTCCTTTTAAATGGACACTAGCGGTAGGGGTGCCCTGCCAAGATGCTCTTAGCTATCAAATCTTCCTGACCACAGAGGTACAGAACCGATACACAATAAAAACAAAATTAAATCGGGCATATATGTTACAACAATGAAAGAACAACAATAAGAACACAGAAAAAATGTGTGATGCACAGAAAGCATGAAGAAGAAATGTTACAGAGTAAGAAACTAAAATATTCTAAATGTATAATTATATTCTATATACACTGTGTAAAGCACTTGCTCTTTGGAAACACAGAAGCAAGACAAGTTTTTAACCAGCTCACATTTCAAAGTAAGCCTTTATTTCTATTCTTAGTTCATAAAAGAAGCTGACAATGAAGTCCGTATGCGGCTGATGCAGTTTGTCACTGGTACTTGCAGATTACCACTAGGAGGATTTGCTGAGCTCATGGGTAAGACATGACTGTTACTCTGTAGCAGTATCTAGTACTTTTGTGAATGGGGCGGCATATAAGTGTTCCGAATGAATGAATGAATACTTATATTTTCTCCCTTACTGGAATTAGATGTCATTAAGAGCTACACAATTACCATAAAAATTCTTAATCTTTGTTCAGGAAGTAATGGTCCTCAGAAATTCTGCATTGAAAAAGTTGGCAAAGAAACATGGCTACCAAGAAGTCATACATGGTGAGTTGTAACAATTTTGTTTTATGCTTTATAAATATAGGGTTTGATCTGGATTTAAGCCCATTAAAATAAAATAGATATTGAGGTAGGGCATGACTTGTCTTCCATTGATTTAAATCTCCTTGTCAAATTATGATTAGGTCTGGATCTAACCCATGACAAAAGCTAGTTGCTTGGAATCTGCTTTGTTTTGGTCAGTGTACAGTATGCTGCCTTTTCTGTTAACCATTCATTTGAGAACTGAATTGTATGGGTGTGATAGTGACAGACTGTGAAGTAGAGGACTTTTGTTCCAGTATGCGTCTGGGAAAGAGTTGGTTTTGTTTCTGTAGTTTGCTTACTTCCTCAAATCAGAAAGCTTCTGTGGGCAAAAGTAAATTCAGCCTAAACTGATGTAGTATCAAATGAGGTAGTATATTAATTGTTTTTCTTATTTTTGTGCTAACCAAAATATTTCACTGGATCACTTTTCTTGACAGGAAATCTCCATAAGATGCATAGGTGGCTAATTATTAATTATAATAATAATATACCTCCTAATTATTACCTCCTCTCAAAAGCAAGCTGTCATTAAGCATTGCTAAAGCATATGGAAAAGAGAAGCATTAGCAGCATTGTACTTTCAATAACAGGCCAATTTAATTAAACCCTTATTACAGAGACATTGTGAAACCCAGTATACTCAAAACATGATTTTTTGTTGAATTGATTAAAGTTCTATAATCCCTTCTGAATAGATCATAATGTTCTATTCCATTGGTTTCAGTTCTTTATACCATTCTTACTTGAGACCCTGTATATCCTATTTATTCCTCAATATTAAATATTTATAAATATAAACTGCAGGCAGTGTAATTTTTCCAGCCTCAGTCAATACTTCCAATAAGGCAGGTGGCTCTGAAGCAGCAGGACCAAATTTGTTTCTAACAAATATTTTAACTGCTTGCATTGCTATGCAACCATTACTGGCAATTTATATTTAGCCTATAAAGCATGGGAATGGCAAAAATTATCATCAGGACCAACAATCTGATCTAAAGTAACAGCTATCCTGTACAATCAATTCCCAAACAAACATTTTCTTGTTAATTTTTAAATCCAGATCCTACCAACAAAGTTAATTTTTGTATGTGAAAATGTTATGTGGATGTGAAAGTATAGGCCACAGCTCTCCAGCTGTCTGAAGTTGAGTGGTTAACAGTATCTACTTTGGTATGGCAAGAACCCAATGCAATCCACCTGTTAAAAAGATCCATGAATACTTCAAAAAGACCAGAGAGAGGAATCTAATTTCATTGAAAAAAGACTGAAAAGCAAAAACTGAGTACAAGTCAACAAAAGGCCCAATTGGGTAAAGCAAGGTCAGGGAGATTAGTTCTACCATTCTGATCAGTTTTATTTTTTCCAAGGATATTTCTAGTGGAGCCCCATAAAAACATTTAGACTTTTGAAAATATTTACCAGACATAAAGGAAGACCATGCAAAACATACATAATTTGAGGTATCACATTCATTTTACATGTATTTACTCTGCCCCATAAACTTAACTTTATAGGTAGCCATCTGTCAATGTCTCTTGAGATCTCATTAATCAGCTTGCTCAAATTTAGCCTAATAATTACTGACATGTCTCATGGGATGAAAATTCCCAGATATGTAATAAATTCAGGACAGAGTATAAATTACCAACTGTGTTATTTAATATGCAGTTTATTATCTCTAACAGACATAAATTCTGACTCTGATCACTTAGCAGAATAACCAAAATCATTGTTTGCATCAAGGCCAGAATTGGTAACTGGTGTTCCAAAAGAAACAGTAGATCATCAGCATAGACAATATAATTGAATTCTAACGTCCACATGGATTTCCAATTAAGTGGTATGAAGCATTTTCAAGTTTTCTAGTTGCTAAATTTTATCAGTTGTAGAACTCAGTTTCATCACACTTTTATTACAATAATTACTAAACTAGGTAATAGCTCATACCCTCTGATAATTGTCACCCTACTTCACTGATTAATGTTGATAATAAAACAGTAACTATAATACCAGATGACAATAAGAAGTTACTACAATGTTAGTCCAACTGGACCAGATTGGATTAATTAAAAATAGGCAAGGGGTTGATAACCTTAGATTGACTATTAATCTGATTGCATTAAATAAGTATAGACCAGACACAACTGCCATTATATCTCTGGATGGAAAGAAGGTCTTTGATAAAATTTATTAGAAATTTGTCTTTGCAACATAAAAATATCCCTCAGAATTCCAGAAATGGGTTAAAATTTTATATAAAACTTGTGGAGTCTTTTGAGTTTCTATTTTGTTTTCCTTAAGAGAGGCGCTGGACAGGGATGTCCTCTTTCACCATATATTATGTTTGGAATCCCTGGCATGTGCTCTCTAGCTGTGATGACTGTGATGTTAGTAAGAGACTGCTGCTCCCAGAGGGTTCCTTCTGGGCCAAAGTATACCCAAGCTGTCCAAAGTTGATTGAGTTATTTATGGCCACAAATCTTGTTTCTTCTGAACAACAGTTCATAGTTAACCATTTGCCATACTGTAATTTTTGCTCGAGTAACTTTACATCAGTATTGATTCAACAATGTTTTGTCCTAGATAGCTAATGGTAACCCTCTATATGTTTTAGATTTTATATTTCATCCTCCCTAGCCAGTGTAGCCTGTGATCAAGAATTTAAGTTGTCCAAAATATCTGGAGGGAACCTGGTTTGAGAAGACTGGCCTATTCCCAATAGATAAAAAGCAGAACAGCTTAGGCTGCAACTCAGGCTGTTTGTTGCATGCTTCAGGTTTACCTGTATGTAATGGTGAAACTGGCACTGGTTTTCCTGACCCACCTCTAGGACATTTAGGGCATAATCCTATGTGGCTGCACACATCCTTTCTTTCACTAGGTTGGGGGATACACTTTTAACATTGGGAATATAACTGGGACAGCAGACTTGTACTAGTTCTATACTACCTATACTAGTGCCTTCTGATTTGTACTAGTTCTATTCTGCCATGATAAATAAAAGCCTTTGGACAGCGCATCACATTTCTAGAGTTTGTTAATTTTTTACATTGCCAACTCGAGGGAGTTACATATCCTTGTTCTAAGTTGCTGTGTCAACAGTGTTCTGAATCCAACAATGCAATTCTTGGTTTAACATGGGTATTTGTGAATTGCATTTCAGAAGCATTTTACTTGGTACTAGCTGCAGTCAAAGTAAACAAGGTCTGATTTTTCTTTTCTCTTTCCAGTTTTAATCGTTTGGATTTACCGCCTTATAAAAGTTATGAACAGCTAAAGGAGAAGCTGCTTTTTGCAATTGAGGAGACAGAAGGATTTGGGCAAGAGTAAAATTCAAGTAAATTTTTTACAAAAGCAGGTTGGAGCAACTAAATTGCACAGTTAGTTGTATATAAGCTGTTTCTTGTGTACAGTCATTTTTCTGGAACTCTTTAAAAAAGTTCACTGTTCTTCCACAAAGATATGCAAAACAGTTTTTCCTTCTCTATTTATTTTCCCCTCAGAGACTGACCAGAATAAAATTGAAGCAGAAAAGACTTTTATTTTTTAAAAAGTGTATATATACGTACACAATAAAGAGCTCTAGTTTTATAGAGCTTTAGACTAATAAAACAGCCATTCAGAAGAGTAAGGAGTTACTTTCTTGGCTTTGTTCAGAAAATGTGCAGACTGCTCTTTATTCTTCTCATTTATGCAACATCTCCAAAGTTATTTCTATTGCATGGCTGTTATAAATGGTGTTAAAGGCTTAGGCCAAATGCATCCTTACTATGTAGAAAAATGCTGCTGGCTTTTTGAGATGATAGAATGTGATATTCTGTCAGCTTTACTTTTTAAAAAATGTAATAGCTGATAACCCTCTTTGCTACATCTTTGTAGCTAAGGTCATGAATAAAGCCTTTATTACTTGCACAAGAGTAATGTACAATAAAATGAATGTGATTAATGTTAAGACATTGGTGCCACTGTTCTGACTTACTGTAGAAGCTGAACAGACTCTTCTAACTCACTGAGCAGCATTGAAAATTGTTTACATATACTACCTTGGATTATTTCCAAGAAAATGGTAGGTAATATTCAAAGAAATAAATAAAAAAGTTCTTACATATTCTGTCCGGTCTGGTATCTTACAGGCTTTTCAAAAATATAGTGGTGATATGCTTCAATTTCATAGGATAACTAATTTTAAACTTTAGGAAGATATAAAAAATAATGTGAATTGTTCTTCTCATTTTTGTTATGATTTAGAGTACCCAAATAGTTACATAGACTTTGCACAACTGACCTAATTGTCTATTCATCTACATAATTCTCATCCCATTTAATTTTAAGGGGAAAAAACTCCAGATGTTCCTAATATAACATCTCTGAAATTTATTTTTATATAGGCTAAGGATTATTGTCATATATATATAGAGAGTCAGCAGTATTGATGAGTATTTGCTGTACTGCGAACGTGTAAGAAATTCTACAACCTTGATGTGAATTAACAAATGCTATTTTAGCAAATTGTGCTTCCTTATTAGAATTACATTTTAAATTACCATTTGTATCATGCTTTCAATATCCACTGTAAATTCCATTAACTTTTACAGTTTTGTACACACATGAAACAATTTCCTAGAATTAACATTTCTGTAACATATCAGACTGCAAAAAACCCTGTAAATGTCATATGACTGTGCTATATTTGCTCTCATTTTTGCAATATAGCAGTTGAATTCTGCCAAAATCTTATTTTTCTACATATTGATACACTTTATTATCCATGGATATTAACCTGTGAATGCCTTGTTAAAAAGTACAGAATTGATTAGCAGACCTCCAGCCTATCTTGTTAATTACCTTATGCACATCAAGATTATTTTCATCTCTTAGAGTGCCCTCCCATAATATACTGCTGTCTTGAAAAGATATACCTAATTATTCATGTTAGTTTATATAGAAAGCGACTGAAAAACAAAGTATGATTTGCCTAAACTCTAATTAAAAATAGAAGATTAAACTCAGTACAACAAAAACACTTTATTTACACTATTGAATGAATGGGAGAATCATTGCAACAGTTGCTCTTGTAAACTGGTAACTAACAATAAAAGACAGACAGTGCATCACAAAATGTGCTCTGTTAATTATTTGACTTACAGATTCTTCTCCCTTCAGAAAATGTATTTGAGAGAAAAGGGGAGCAATGTCCACTCTGATTTTTTTCAGGAGAGGGCAGGGGAAAAGGTTGATGGTCCGACATCAGTCTTAATGTTCCCTTAAATTTTTTTTATTTGATTTATATCCCACCTGTTTCTTGTTTTTAAAGAGCTCAAAGCGGTATGCATCTTTCTCCTCCTGTTGTTATCAGTCTTTTCTGCACAACAATCCTTTGAGGTAGATTAGGCTGAGAGTCTGTGACAGGCCCAAAGTCACCCCGTTGGCTCCATGGCTGAGTGGTGACTATAAGACAGATTTCCTCAGTCCCAAACCCATATTCTTACCCATTATACCACACTGGCTCTCAGTAATCTTTAATACCCCTGCTTCAGGACACAAAACAGGGTGAGTAAAGACAAGTAACAAAGTTTATGTATATGCTAACATTTTTGCCTTTTTAATATTTGAAAATGTAATTTCCTAGACAACGTGGAATGTATTATTCATCTGGCTGATCAATGGGACAAGGATATATTTCTTTTTTATTCCAAAGTTCTAGAGCAAATGGCAGTTGAAACCAACTGTGCTTTCTCAAAGGGAGGAAAAAAATAAAACTCCCTGCAATTTTTTCTGGCTGACACCTGGCCCAGGATGTTTTTCTGGAGAATCAAGCACAATTTCCCAACAGCCTGTGGTGGTTTGGCTGGTGGCAGAGTATATCTTAGGCTCTACCATGGTAGCTGGAATATACAACCAGCCATTGGAACAGAACATTGTTTTACCTGCTAACACTATTAAGCTCATATAGACAAATACATATATCCAAAAATCTTTTCAGCCAGATCAGAGACTGATGGCTTTCTAGGCTTTACACAAGCAGAATCAGTTTTTGTTTTTTTTTAAGTGAGCACCTTCTGCTGCCTGATTGCTAAAAGAAAAAAAAAGTCTTCAGCTAATTGCTAAAAGTAGAAAAACTTGAATCAATCCATTGCCAAAAATTAAGGCCACTATTTAAATGTCCTGCTTTGTAGTATAAGAATAAAAAACTTGCAAGCATTCAAGGGGCTTCACATGTATTTATCTACTTGCAATCCTTTATAATACTGTAAGTAGCAGCATTATGCCTCATCTAGTTACTGAAGTTCTACAGTGGAAAACAAGCTTCTACAGCAGGCAATGGATGCTGCATGCTCGGTTCTCTGTGCCAAGTGTTCAGTGTTTAGATTTTCCAAAGATACAGTAATTTTTCCAATCAGCTACACTGAGGGGTGAAGGGCTGGGGAGAGGCAATTAAGTGCCTCTGTAACCCATATGCACCCATCTCCAGGTAGTGCTGCTGGAAGGACTGAGATGGATGGGCAAATGGTCTCACTCAGTAATACAGCAGCTCGATTGGTTTCTAACCTCAGTAGCTATTTTCATTTTAAAAAATAGCTACTTTGAGAGGAGTCCACCTTTAATCTTTGTAAACAACCCAAAGAACTTCAACTATTGAGTAGAAATGTACTAAATGAAATCAAAGCAATATATATTCTTGAAGTTCAGTACTCAGAGCTGAACAAAGTGAACCTGGTAAGGTCCATCTCACTTCTATTCTTTAGGATGTTTGTAGTGATATTGATGATTGTGTCAAATCCCTAAGGTATTTATATTTCATCCTACATTTTTGCACCTTTGCTGCAGCCAACATCAGTGTTTCTCTACAACAATAGAAAGGAGCTAATCCACAGAAAAGTGACCAGTGCAGATCATTAGACTATTTCTTTAGTCTCAGTGATCAAGAAGACTAAAGTGTCACTAAGTGTAAATAAAATTCTGTATGTATTTTTTAGTTGACACTTTTCGATAATGTGGAAGTAAATCAAATTGGAAACAGGAACAAAAGACCTACACACAGAGGAAATTAATAAAACCAAGAAAAGTAAAATACTTGTATTTCTCTTTTTTAATTTTTAAACTTTTATTTAGACTTATGACCACCTTTAAGTTGAATGATTTTCAATGGGGCTTACAAAAAACAGGTAGTCCAGGGGCCTCTAGTCTTCTGCTGACTTCAGCTCTGCAGTATGAAGGCAGTGGGAGCACCATTCCACTGACAGAGAGGATGGCATAAATAGCCTGCAGGAACTGGACAGTTTTAGGCTATAAACTTGGATTCTTAACATTTTGTTTCCCAACCATTCTATTTTGGGCTCTTTTGAGGGGTTGCCCTTCCCTTTGAGGTTGTTGTTGTAAAGATAGTGCAAAATGTTGCTAACCTCAAAGATCTCTGCCATGCTTGTGGATATCTTTGTCATGCATGGCCACCTCAATTTGGTTACAAAAGTGGCAGTACTCAGCCTGCCAAATGCTAAAAGGAAAATGAGGATCTTTTGCAAACTTGCTTGTCTGTCACACAGAAATTGCACTGCTCTGCTGCAGAATTACAAGTTGGGAGAGGGATATCTCATTGTGATTTTATGATTAAGCTGAAATTTGAACTAGTACTTACCAACACCTGTTCCAAGCAGAGGGCCATGTCAGCTCTGTGTACTATTCATGTATACTATTTTGCTTTCAATCGTCTAACTTAAACACTGCTTAGGTGACAGGCAATCTGCAGTTTCACTTGGCCTTGTTTGTAACCAGCACATGCCTTGAGCACTTCAGGTTACCAAGGAATTACTTGGTATGCATGCCACTGCTGAATGTGGTTGAGACTAGTCAAATGTAAATGCTTCTTGCCACTTTGAGAGTGTACGTTTTAAGGCAGCAATAACAAATCCTTTAGCCCTAAAATGGTTGAAGATTATTATGGATTATTTTTATTCATTGTTTCTGTGCATTACACATACAGGCTTTGAACCTGTGTGAAACCTGTTGTTAGAAAGATTCTACAGCTAAGAGTTTTGGTGGAAAGGCCAACATCTGTCAAATTGATACTTCCAATGCCACAGTGATGGTCTTGAGTGAAGTGAGGAAATGGACAGTGCCAGGGGTGGAAAAGGGGTTCCTGCCAAAACTTTTTCAGCTGTTGAATCTTTCTGACCTATGTGTGATTGCACAGTTGACCACTCAAGGAATGACAGCCACAGGTAAACAAACTGCCTTTCTCACAAGGTGCTGCTCTTCCTACTTTGAGACTACAGTATATAACAGAAGTGAGTACACCCCTCACATTTTGTAAATATTTTATTATATCTTTTCATGTGACAACCCTGAAGAAATTACACTTTACTACAATGTAAAGTAGTGAGTATGCAGCTTGTAAAACAGTGTAAATTAGCTGTCCCCTCAAAATAACTCAACACACAGCCATTAATGTCTAAACCACTGGCAACAAAAGTGAGTACACCACTAAGTGAAACTGTCCAAATTGGGCATTATTAGCAATTTTCCCTCCCCGGTGTCATGTGACTTATTAGTGTTACAAAGTCTCAGGTGTGAATGGGGAGCAGGTGTGTTAAATTTGGTGTTATCGCTCTCACTCATACTGGTCACTGGAAGTTCAACATGGCAAAGAACTCTCTGAGGATCTGAAAAAAAGAATTGTTGCTCTACATAAAGATGGCCTAGGTTATAAGAAGATTGCCAAGACCCTGAAACTGAGCTGCAGCATGGTGGCCAAGACCATACAGCCGTTTAACAGGACAGGTTCCACTCAGAACAGGCCTCGGCCATGGTCGACCAAAGAAGTTGAGTGCACGTGCTTGGTGTCATATCCAGAGGTATGCTTTGGGAAATAGACGTATGAGTGCCGCCAGCATTGCTGCAGAGGTTGAAGGGGTGGTGGGTCAGCCTGTCAGTGCTCAGACAATACGCTGCACACTGCATCAAATTGGCCTGCAGGGCTGTCATCCCAAAAGGAAGCCTCTTCTGAAGATGATGCACAAGAAAGCCCGCAAACAGTTTGCTGGAGACAGGTGGACTAAGGACATGGATTACCAGAACCATGTCCTGTGGTCTGATGAGACCAAGATAAACTTACTTGGTTCAGATGGTGTCAAGCGTGTGTGGTGGCAACCAGGTGAGGAGTACAAAGACAAGTGTGTCTTGCCTACAGTCAAGCATGGTGGTGGGAGTGTCATGGTCTGGGGCTGCATGAGTGCTGCCAGCACTGGGGAGCGACAGTCCATTGAGGGAACCGTGAATGCCAATATGTACTGTGACATACTGAAGCAGAGCATGATCCCCTCCCTTCGGAGACTGGGCCGCAGGGCAGTATTCCAACATGATAATGACCCCAAACATACCTCCAAGATGATCACTGCCTTGCTAAAGAAGCTTGAGGGTAAAGGTGATGGAATGGCCAAGCATGTCTCCAGACCTAAACCCTATCGTGCATCTGTGGGGCACCCTGAAACGGAAGGTGGAGGAGCGCAAGGTCTCTAACATCCACCAGCTCCGTGATGTCATCATGGAGGAGTGGAAGAGGACTCCAGTGGCAAACTGTGAAGCTCTGGTAAATTCCATGCCCAAGAGGGTTACGGTAGTGCTGGAAAATAATGGTGGCCACACAAAATATTGATACTTTGGGCCCAATTTGGACAGTTTCACTTAGGGGTGTACTCACTTTTGTTGCCAGTGGTTTAGACATTAATGGCTGTGTGTTGAGTTATTTTGAGGGGACAGCTAATTTACACTGTTATACAAGCTGTATACTCACTACTTTACATTGTAGCAAAGTGTCATTTCTTCAGGGTTGTCACATGAAAAGATACAATAAATATTTACAAAATATGAGGGGTGTACTCACTTCTGTGATATACTGTATATTTTGTATTACAGGTGGCACTAGGATCCAGATAATAGTGTATGTAAAAGGTGTGTACACAAATCAGATCTATATGCCCTGGTAAAAGTTATCTGCTTTTTACCTGGCTCATTATGACAATCAGCTATCAGAAAAATCAGTATCCCAGCACAAAAGGCTGGCTTAAGTTCCATAACGTGGCCAGTCCCTAAGAAAGGGTAACTTTTCTTACAAAACAGCAAGGGACAGTTAAATGGCCCATGTGTTTAATGGTGCTGCACTCCATCCATGGAGGTGTTTGAAAGAGATAAGGCACCCTTTGAACAGAAATTTGGACTTCTCTAAGACGACAGACCATATTCCTATAGAATCTATGGAAAACTGCAGTTAACCTTGACAGAAGTCAAGAAGCTCCATTAAGGTAATCCAAGAAAAATGAAGCACCTCTAGGAGTTAACAATCTCCAAAGGTGGGAGAAGTAAATAAAAGTTTAGCCTCTTAGGGATCTTCCAGAAGAAAAGAGATTCTTAGTTATGAAATGGAGGACAAAGAGCCTAATATAATAATCAGGCTCTTACTGAATAGAGACTTTAGTTCAAGTAAGCAAGGTAGAATCTGAGAACCAAAATACAGAATTGTTTTAGAAATCCTGTCAAGTGCATAACTGCTTTTGGAACACACTTTGTGCATTAATTCTGTTTAGAGATACACACAGAAATATATCTAGACATTCTGGATCATCATGTATGTCCTGGTATTTTTTGTCTAAAGCTCAGTTCCTTCAGAGTGAAAGGCTATTTATTCTTTTAACTTGCTGATCAGTATATTACAGCAATTCACACACATTCAGCAATCTTGTCACAAAGAATTTAGCAACTCCAATGCTTCTTTCTGTACCTGAAACAAGGGGGAGAACATGTAAGTGTTTCCCTAGCAAGACAAATTGACACTAAAATTTTATGTTTACAAATTTTGCAAGCCTTGGTTCACAGTTTGTTTTTGTAAAGTTACATGTATGAGTGCTGAATAGGTCACTAGTATATTACACTTAAACATTACAAGAGAAAATTTGCAGATATTTGAAGAACTGGGAAGTACATGAGCAATGGACAGTGACAGTGATTCACTGGGAGAACTTCAGCTGACACAGTTCAATGTTGCTCTTGCTCCCTTTTAGAACTTTTCATTTTGAGGACCAACTCAGCTTGCTTTGGCAAGTTTATACAAATGCCATCATAGTTCTGTCTCTTTGCTTGAATTAAAGCATCAGAGTGATTTGCCCAAATAAGCCTTCATCTGTAGTCTTTACTTTGTGCAAAAACTGGACCATGGGAGGCCAGTTTCAAATTTCTGCCCAGTTGTGAAACCCATCAAACTGGAACTTAGCCTTAGGGTGCTGCTATCCCTAGCTCCAGGGATGAATCACCACATACAAAAATGATTAAAAAATCACACCCAGAATTTCATCAAGATTAGATACATAACTCTTCAATTAAGCTACTTTCCTGAAATAAAACCTCACAAGTTTAGTTTATCTATTCCTGCTTCTCAGCAAGGAGATTAGGAATGCACTGTAGCTGGCCTAAAGATTTTTTTTTTAATACATATATACTGAATTTTGGGAATAACTGGGAAGAGGTAATTCAGAACAACTGCTAAAATGCTTGAAAATATGTTACACTGACAACAAGTGAATTGCTTACCTGCTTATCCTCCTCTGTGTGTGACAGCCGATCTTTGGCCTTTGTTAACCACAGAAGGGCCATTTTTCTGTTGTTTAACTTCATATATGTTTTTCCCAAAAACAGTAAGTTTTTACTGTAGAAATTTGGCTCAACTGCACAGAAGGAAGAGGCTTTAATATACCGCAGTCCGCAACGTATATGCTTCTAGATTTAGGAAACACACTGTATGATCTCACCAAATATATTTACAGCTACTCCCGCAACAGCAGGTGGTTGGACCTGATAGCCTTCATGGCCCCTTCCAAACTCTACTTTTCTATGATCTTCCTGATTCAGTATTGTACAACGTTTAAATGATTAACAAGGTTTAGTTTCACTGATCCCCTGCCCCCCATCACACACATGCTGCACCAAGTAACAAAAAATCCTATGAAAGAAGGATGGGAAAAGCAACAATTTCTTTCTGCTTAGGTTACAAGCAACCAATATCTACTTCCTCACAATTAAAAACAAAAATAAATGGCATGGGTACTGCTAAAGGTCATTCCTAACTTGGTGACACTGGTTTGACCTATACATGCATGTATTTTGCAGGAAGACATTTGCTTGCTTGCTTACTTATTTAATTTGTATGCATGTATTTTGCAGAAAGACATTCATTCATTAATAAAATTTGTATGCCATCCAATTACTAAAGTGTCTGGACAGCTAACAGCATAAATAAATTGACGACCCACTCTGGCTGCAATTAATAAAATAAAATAATACAATCCAATATTAAAACCTATTAAAATAATGATTAAATAAAAAGGTCTTAACCTGGCACCAAAAAACATAATGACGGTGCCGGGCAGACCTCTCCAGGGAGCACATTCCATAGATGAGGTGCCACCACAGAAAAGGCCCTCCTCTGGGTACTCTGTCTCCTCCTCTTTCACAGAGGGTTCCCGGAGGAGGGTCTCTGCTGCTGATCTCAGGGGGCGGGAGGGCAAATAGGGAAAAAGGTGTTCCTTTAGGTGTCCTGGTCCCAAGCCATTTAGGGCTTTATAGGTAATAACCAGCACCTTGAATTGAGCCTGGAATTCGATGGGAAGCCAATGGAGCTGATAGAGGACTGTGGTTATATGAGAATAACACCCAGTCCCCGACAGCATCCTGGCAGCTCTATTTTGAACCATCTGAAGTATCTGGACTGTCTTCAAGGGCAGCCCCATGTAAAGCGTGTTACAGAAATCCAACCGGGAAGTAACCACCAATGTGTGTGTTACAGTTGCTGGGCAATCCTTCTCCAGGTAGGGATGCAGCTGATGGATTAGCCGAAGCTGAAGGAAAGCGCTCCTCATCACCACTGTCACTTGAGCTTCCAAGGACAGCTTCGGGTCAAGGAGCACTCCCAAGCTGCGGACCCTGTCCTTTAGAGGGAGTGCAACCCTGTTCAGGGCAAGGCCCAGTCACCTACCCAGGAACTCAAATCACCCACCAACAGGACCTCCGTCTTATCTGGATTGAACTTCAGTTTATTGGCCCTCATCCAGCCTATTACCTCGGCCAGGCTCTGGTTCAGCACAGCCACTGCCTCACCTGGATTAGTTGAAAATGAGAAGTAGAGCTGGGTGTCATCAGCATACTGATGACTCCGCAGCCCAAACCTCCCGATGACCTCTCCCAGTGGTTTCATGTAGATATTAAATACCAAGGGTGACAAAATGGAAACCTGCGGTACTCCATGGCAAAGTTGCCATGGCGCAGAGCCAAAGTCCCCCAGCACCACCTTCTGGAATCAGCCGTCAAGGTAGGAGTGGAACCACTGCCAAGCAGTGCCTCCTACTCCCAGTCCCGCCAGCGTATCCAGGAGGATACCATGGTCGATGGTATCAAAAGCCGCTGAGAGGTCCAGGAGAACCAACAGGGATGCATTTCCCAACTCTCTCCCTGCACAGGTCATCATACAGGGCAACCAAGGCAGATTCAGTACTGTACCCGGGTCTGAAGCCAGACTGAAATAGTTCCAGATAATCAGTTTCATCCAAGAGTACTTGGAGTTGTCCCACCACCACCCGTTCCAACACCTTGCCCAAAAACAGGATGTTGGCCACCGGTCTATAATTGGCAGCCATCTCTGGATCCAGAGATGCCTTCTTTAGGACAGGCCTGATTACCGCCTCCTTTAAAGGAGCAGGCACCTGGCCATCTCTCGGAAAGGCATTAATAACCTCCAGGATCCAGGAACCAATCCCGTGTTTGGCTTTGGTCAGCAGTCACGAAGGGCAAGGGTCGAGTAAGCAGGTGGTAGGATGTACTTGTCCAAGTACCTTGTCCACATCATCAGGCCACATTAACTGAAATTCATCCATTAATACCTGACCAGACGGAGTCATTGGTGTCTCCCCTAAGGGATCTGAATCAATTGTAGAGTCCAGCTCGTGACGAATCTGAGTGATTTTCTCCTTGAAGTGCTGGGCAAAGTCATCACAGCAGCCCATCGATGGTGGTACAGGATCTTTCTTAGGGCTGAGGTGTATTATCCCATGAACCACTCGAAAAAGCACCGCTGGATAGCACTGTGAGGAGGAAATGGAAGCGGAGAAGAATTTCTTCTTCGCCGCCCTCACCGCCACAGCATAGGCCCGATAATGGGCTCTTAAGTGTGTTCGGTCAGATTCATCCCATGATTTCCTCCACCTATGCTCTAGACATCTCCCAACCTGCTTCATCGCCCGTAATTCAGATGTATACCATGGAGATGGACAGGCTCTGCTTGGCAGGAGAAGATGCTTAGGGGCGATCATGTCAATTGCTCTGGCCATTTCCCCATTTCACAGTTCAAGCAGAGCATCAACAGGAGCGCCAGCTTGAATTAACTACACTGCAACTACTTAACATGGATGGACAAACTTCAGACTTGCAGAAATTACTTTGCTTTTTACTAGAACCCTACATCCACCTATGGGAGTCAGTTGCAAATTCGTGGATCAGGAGGGTGCACATATGGGAAAAATTAAGGAACAGGCACCTTCAAGCTTATGATCAGCCTCAAAATTTATGGCTGATATCAGAACCAAGCTCAAATGTTCTTTCACAGAAAAATCTACTCCTGTTTTTTCCTCTTCAAATATTTTTTCTATAACTAATCTTCAGGGGAGGGTTTTCAGATGTTGCTGCTGATATACAATTGCTAGGCTTATAAAACCCTTTTCTGGGTGAACTACAGCAAATAACTACTTTCTGCCAACCTTGGCTCAACAAACAGGACAGGCACCCTGCAGCTGAAAAACAGAATAGAGGTTCAAGATCTAAAGCAGTAATACATCTGCTTTACTCAGGAAAAGGAGCCCTTTTCCCCTTCATGGGTACCCAGTTTCTCTTGCAATATTGGGATGCCCTCCAGAGTAGCATCCCATAAGATACAATAGACTGCTGTCATAAATTTTTGCATCTCCCTTGTAAAACTTACCATCTTCAGCTTTCTGAAAGTAACGTAAAGCCTGCAAAAGATTAACAGTAAATAGATTACCACTAAAGTATTCGAAAGCCCTCTTTTCTAGAAATATGAAACTGTGAAATGTTACCACTGTGCTTACTAAAAAATAATGTTGCAAGATATTTCTTCCCCAATATTCATTTTTATTAGGATGTATTTATTTAGACATAACTTATGCTATAACATTGCATTTTGTTAAACAACTTTGTTTTTGATGTGATGCTTAACTAATCAGTTCCAATTCAGTCACATTTTTCAGAAACTCAACTTCTGTCTGATCAGTATGATCCATTTTATTGCACTGCAACCTTACAGTTCATGATGACTAACTTTCCTTATCCTTCTCTTTCAATAATGTAATAATAATATATTAATCAAAACAACAAAAATGTGTGCACAGACTATTGGGGCACAATACCTCTTCATAGGTAGAACTTGGTGGTGTTGAGAATAAAATTGCAGCTATTTTGCTCTGATACCATGGCATTTCAGCAAATGTGTAACACCTGTTAGAAATGCAAAAAGGCCTTGTTCAGAACATTTTAAAACAGCTGTAGTTAAGCCACTCCTAGCTTGAACAACTTCAGCAAAACTGGCTTCTCTGCCACCAATGCATCAGGAAAAATGCTAGGTAAGAGCTGCCATCCTTACCTCTTTTGTTAAAGTAGCTGTCAATCAGGATTGGGCATAATGGTTTCTGCTGCAGTGAAAACCAATCAATACCTTCCAGGCAACAAGAGAAAGGGCTTGTGACAGCTAATTAAGGAAGTATATGCTAATAACGTTTCATTTACTTGAAGTATTAAAGAGCAATTTGAAATTAACATTTTAACTATTAAGACCAAAAAATAGAATCCTTACTTGACACCTCTCTGAAGTGGATAACCAGAACTTGGGAAAGTTCTTAAAACAATTCAGGACACTTATCAGGGATTAGGCAGCATATAAGGGGCTAATTTTGGAGTGTGAGCAAGAGACCAAACAAAACAAACAAAAACCACAACCCCATATAGGAAATATAACAGTCTAGTCTTCCTGACTCCCCCAATGGAATGCTGAGATTCTGAAAATGGAAACTACTTGTCTCAAACTGCAAAAAAAAAAAAAAAAAAAAAGCCCTGCTGCAGTACAAGATGATGCTACTGAAATAGTATTTTATAATGTTGTTTTACAAGTTGGTGCCAAGAGGATAGTTAATTAAGCCAGGAAAATACTGCAGTAGAAGAACTGAGCAACTAGTTTGTATTGCATATTCCATCTAGAGAAAGTACTGGCAGCACAAATATTTTGTTTAGAGACTACCTTACCAAATGCCCATAAGATGGAGTGATGTAGCATCCTTCGGATTCAGTTCGATTGCTTTCTGCCAATAAAAGCAACATGCAAAACGGTGCTGAAACCATTCTAGTTTAATACTCACCCTTCAACCCTCCTCCCACACAAAAATGCTATGGATATACTCCTCAAAGCGTTTGCCTCTCTGAAGGAAACACTGTATTCCGTATCAATTAGGTTTCATATAGGTTTTATTCAAAGGAAATGGAATGATCTGTATGTTCAAAATTAGTTAGCCTATTACTTTGTGGCATATCAAAGATTAAATAAATGACCAAATCATTAAAAGTGTTCATATTTCTGATACATCCTTCCTTCCCCACACACACTCCTGTTTATCACCAGGGACACCACTCCAACTTGGGAAGAGGGAGAGAACAGGACACAGACCAAGGTCCAAAGGCTCACTGTTGAATATATTCAAGATTAAACAAACTTTAGGAAATAAATTTATATGCTGTAGTTATTTTGAGAAATATATTCAAGTAGCATCAGAAGGGCATTCCTGGTGGTCTCTCTCCTTTACATGCACACATTTATTAAGCTGCAGATACTTCAGCTATCCTCACTATAGCCTAAAAGTGTTTGTATGACTGCTCCTTAAGTTTTGCAAATTCACAAAACTAACTTCAGCTGGCAAAAGCAATATGTGATGACACTCAAAGAAGGAAGGGTATAGTTCAGGGGCAGCAGAACAGAGTTAATGAAGCTGAGCCTAGTCACAAGGAGATTAACACTTTCTTCCAGCAAACAAAAAAAGTATTTCCCAGTCCCCACTTTCAGCAATTTAGGAAAATCTAGGGCACTAGAAAAAAGGAAACAAGGGAATAAAGTAAAGAAGTAAAATAGTTTTTAAAAGGCAGTAGAAAGCATCTGCCCATGGTGTGAGAGAAAGAATGCATTACCTTGGCCAAAGCAGCAAGGCTGGTGACCCATCTATGGCAAGGGCAGACAATGAAATTGCCACAGCACAGTAATACAGACATCAGCCATCTGTTTGCCTAAGCAACAGGAACAGATTCCATACCCTCACAGTGAGGGCTATTCAGAAGTATGAGCCCTTAGTGATGTTACCATGAACTGAATCCCACTGGCTCTGTGGTGATGCAATGTTGCATAAGTAACAGGATTCCTGACTGGTTGAGATCAATACAGAGAAGATGAGGCTGATCCAAAATTTGTGATGAGAGAGAAAAGAGTGGCTGTGAGGCTTAGGAAGATGGGAGAGGGCAGTGTTGAAGGAAGAAAACAGGTGAAAACCTTAAAAGCCTAAAGTTGTAAAGGGGATGAACATTCAGGGCAGCCCTAATAAAGGTTATGAGTAACTTTAGAAGATAAGGAGTACCAAATCTGTGCTAATATGAATAGGAAACCAAGAATGCTTGGTTGTGGTTGTTAGCATTCTAGGCAAGAAGGCAAGAAGGAAGAAGTTAAAAAAAGGTTACTGCTAAGGAAACTAGCTATTTAACATAAGATCATTAAGAACATAAGCCGCTATCTTAGCAGTGCAGATACTTCATAAAAGGAGTAATTGCAGAACAGATGAAGAGATAAAAGGCTGCAACTTGAATACAAAGATCAAAAGGAAAGGAGGAGGAGCAACAGCAGCCAAGGATCGATGCCAGGCTGCAGGCTTTGATGTTCTAGTCCGTGAAGTTGGAGCACCAAACAAGCTCTTGGAGTTTCTTCGTATTTTAAGTGCTTCATTCAAGTCTGATGTCTGAAAATATTATTTAAGACACAGTGGCACATATTGCCCCAGAATGGACCAAAACACCGAGCGTAAAACAAATGCACACAAGCTATGGAGATAATGATTAAATACCTGGAAGTGTTCCTTAATAACAAATGCATTGGCAATTTTTGTCTTTATTCCTTCATAATCTCCAACATCACTGATGCAGATAGCATACCACTAAATAAAAAAGAACATTAAATATGCTATTTAGGAACACTGAAAGGACTTTTGTTACTGTCATTATGTCAGCAAATAGGAAGTTTCTTCTCACTGCTAAAATAAAACAGTAAAATGTGTCACCCTTTGCAAGTTTAGCCAGAAAAAAAGCCTGGCTGGGGCATATTGGGAGTTGAAGGCTTTTTTCTCTGTCTAAGCTTGCATAGGATTGTACCTTGAAAGTTTAGTTCAATTTTTCTGCTTTAAATCACCAGCAACACTACTTTTAAGAGGATAACCTTTCCTCCAATTTCTTGGGATCATGTCAGCGACACCATTATAATTAATTTTCTGTATTCTTTTTGATCCTCATAATGAACATAACTGGGCTAGTGCCTATCAAAGATAAGTTACATGTATTTGTTTCTGTATTTATTAAATTTATGCCATCTTTCCACAAATATTACTTAGTGTACAGTAATACAAAAATACATTAAAAGCAATTAAACCATATTAAAATGAAAACATCATTCACAATTCAAAAAGCCAAATTGTTAAGCTATAGGAGATTCATAACTAGTTCCCTTTCTATTTGCACATGCATGTAGCCACAAAAGTTCACTTAAATAATGTACCTTGTGCACACTAAAACACGAAGAATCTTTTTCAAGAGCCGCCTTTGCATACTCAAGGGCTTCATAGGTCAACTGCTTCTTTTTCTCTGCAGAAGTATGACTAAGATGAGCTAGGTCTCGTGATGCTCGTGCCAGGCGCCACAGCACCTGAGCATTCTTGCTGCAAATATAAAAATGAATATTAATCCTGACCAGGCCACAGACAATCCGTGTGGAGCCATAACTATGATTTTATTATTAGAGTACCAGGAATTTTGGAATGTTCTTCACATGTCAGGAAGAGGAAGCTAGTCCATCTAGTCCAGTATTTTCAGCACAAATTGGCAGTAGCTTTCTAGGGTTTTAGGCAGGGGTTTCTTTCTAATCCTACCAGGAGATGTCACAGACTGAATTGTCTTTAAAGCAAATGCTCTATACAGAGTGATAGTCTTTCTCAAGTTCTTCTCACTCCCACTTTTTTCCCCTTTGTTTTCTGACATGAAAACCAAAGGCTAAACAAAGAATGAACTTTACACAAGTTATTTGTGATACACCTCAGTGAACTTTTAAAGGCTATAAAAATCTGTTTCCTTATTTCATCAATGGCCTTCCTCCTGAAAAGAACAGGTTACAGTATAACAACCATTCACCCCTAGTATCATTACTTAGAGGCATTCTAAAAGACCTTACTCACATCCCTTCTGGTGCAATATCATGGTTCTAGAGGCCAAGATATTTCTCAAAACTGCCTTCTTTGAGGGACAATGTGACAGATTTGTCTTTGTCCACAGATTATTATGATACAGACTTCTTTGCATTTAGCCTGATATGAATCAGCATGCCATATTCCAGGAACAAAGTGTCAGTAAGAAATTGTAAGTTTACAAAATTCCTGGCATGAACACAGAATGTTTAGATAGAGGACTCTGCGATTTGGAGAGAGATTTTTCTCTTCTTTTACTTCTACAAGACCCACATTTGTTGTAACAGCATTGAATAGACACAAAAATGCATTATTACAATGCAAACACATTTCTAAGGAGTTATAGTTTAGTCCCAGGAGCATTTTCTTTAAAGTAATAAGTCTCATCCACATGAGATTACTGAGCTTGTCAATATGGGTATGTCTCAATCTCCTCCTGAAGTTAAATGCTTGATTCGATAAGGAGAGGTATAATGCCTTCAAGTTTTTCAATTTATGATATCTTACTGGAACTGCTTACATTATGCCTTTCCACAGAAGAGAACTTCTTTAATAATTATTTCCCCAAAGTTTCCAGCCGTTATTTACAAGTGATATATTTACTTCTTCTCTTGACAGTTTTTTCTGAACACAGTTCCTTAAGTTCTCTTAACAAGGTGCAATCTGATTCTTTTACAATCTTTTATGCAGATTTACTTGCATCATAATAATCTAAACATGATTAAATGTGTACAATTATTTAGTAAGCAATTATCCTTTCCTCAAAATTTCTTATCTGAAGCACGTTTTACTTTTTCCTTGAGTTAACTGGGAATATCTAATCATTCCCAAAGCAGATTCTTAAACAAACAAGCAGTCTGACTCATCTTAAGGCAGTTTTCTATGTTCCTAACCTTTCAGTTCCTGACACATGCACAGAACAAGACTTGGCCAACCCTGGAGCTGGCATAGTTTATTTCTCTACCACCAAGAGCAATGTCAGGGGTAATAAACTTATTTAGAAGGGAAGGAAGGAAGAACGGAGAAAGGAAGGGACCAGAAAAAAGGTGGGGTAGGGAATCCACTACCCCATGCTTCTACCCTATCAGTGCAAGCTGACAGGGTAAAGGTACAAGAGGTTCTTCTTCCTCTGTTTCTGCCTCTCCCTCTCCATAGCATTGCTCTGCACTATAATATAGTAAACAGTCACTGTTTTTTTGTAAATGTATGAAGCCACAGAAAAATGAATATAGTTAATAAGAGTTTGCTAATTAAGCACTGTAAGAGAATTACATACAAATGGGAAGGAAGGTTGCTCATACTAAATCATATTCCTTTAAGAAATTGCTGAGAGATGTTTGCCTTCTATTATTTCAAGATATTGGACCATGTTTTTCCATATCAGTCTCTTAACTCTAAAGCCATTACTTATTGAAGCAACATAAATGTAATTATTTTTCAGGGCTTGTAAAAATTTGAAGGACTGTATCCAACAAGGCACAACTACTAATTTAAAGTATTATGTACTAGCATAAACTATCCTAGTAAAATGCCAATAGTGATAGCTGTTCTGAAGATTTTCCTGGGCAATCTAGTGCCATTGCACTACAGTAGTTTACATTAATACAATATAATTGATTAGCAGTCCACACCCTGTCGGATACTGCCTAAAATGATTGTACCACAGATGTTGATATCATGTGTAATTCCATCAGTCACTAACCAGAATCACTACTGAGCACAATAAATGATCATATTATTTATTCATATTATTTGATATGATCATATTATTTATTCATATTATTTCATAAAATAATCATATTATTTGACAAAGCTTTTCACATGCAGTTACACTACAGGGTGTTGGGAGTCCCACCTAACAACTGGCAAGCACCTTTTTCTGTGTGCTGGCACATCCCACAACTAGCATCCAAAGGAAATATGTTACAAAAACATACCTGTTTTTGTGTTGATTCAGCAACTGCCAAAGTTTTTCAGTTTCACCGCTCCCATACAGATAGTCTGCTTGGTCTAGGAGTTCATCCACTTAACGTTGGTTAAAACAAAAACAAGTATGAATATCCAATTCCATCAAATATTCACTAGACAAATAATCCAGCTGGCTGTTCATCACGAATATAAAATTAGTTAGCAGTATCTTTTCTATTGCTTAGACCCGACTCTTCTAAGTTAGTGCTTTCTAAATGTATTGGACTGCAACTCCCATGCTGACTGGGAATGGTAGGATAGCAGTTCAACACACCCAGAGAGCACCAGACAGGGAAAGCCACCTTAACCATTCAGCTATTGCTATATTTCATACTAACTACATTATGCAACATTTTATAAAGTTTATTTTCAGTCAATGACTGGGGCAATCTTACATTTAATATCCTATGGGGCACAAAAAACCCAAACAATATCCATTTATCAGCATATTATGTGCCCTATTTTCCATATTTCCCACATTTTCTAGGCCCAATGCCCTATGAAAAACACACCCCTTTTTAAAAATTTGTAATGCCACATTGGAAAGGCAACACTGTATTGGCTGGGCTCTTCCAGAAAAATGGAGGAGGTTAAACATGCAGTGTGGTTAATTTTCCCGGTGTCCAAAAACCACAATAGTTTCTTGAAGCAGTGCAAAAGCCTTATAATCAATCTTCAGAAAGAAGAAGGGGTTGCAGTTTGTACATACTGGTAAGTCTCCACAATAGTGGCAGAGAGGAACTTTAGCATATTCACTGCATGAGGTATTGCCTTTTGGTCTTCACCTGGAGAGAGGAACTGAAGTGTCACACAGACAACTTCGGAGGCCCACAGAGCATCCCCTGACCTATTCAGCGAACTGATATGGACACAGATAAAAGGGAGTATAGGTTTTCTTTCACTTGCTTATATTCTGCATCCATAGCTCTTTACTGTATTCAATACAGCCATCTTGTATTTAGTTGTTTTGATTTCTTGCTAAGTTTCCTTAAATCTAAAGTGCTGTGCCTTGGCTGGACCAGGTCCCTTGGGTTAGATCAAAACTGAGGACTAATAAACAGGCAGGGAAAGGCATTTCCAGTCATTCTGTGTCCCTTGATCTGGATTTTTCTTACATGTGGTTTTAAATGCAGGCTTGGGGACAGATTTTCTAAACTGATGGCCCACTTTTGTAAGCCATGCCCAAAAAGTGACATTTTTGGTAGAATGGTAAGAGTATAAGCCAAACAAATGAAAGCATTAAGATGTAATTTTCAGCTAGAGAAACGTCTTAACTCCCAGCATGCTGCACCCAGTATGGATATTGTTGTTTATCTTTCTAAACATTTATAGGATTGGAGCTTTAATGACTTAAATTAACCCATATGAAACCAAGTAAAAACACAGTAAGCTAGCAAAACAATTAGAAGCACAGCAGTGTGGTTACAGCTTACCTTGGACATCAGCATGAACCACAACAGATTGAGAGATTAATATATATGTTTTGTATGCCAGGTAAGACAGTGCTGAAAATGCAAGTCCTCTTCCAAAAAATTTAGATTTTTCAAAAACCTGGAAGAGAAAAATAACAGGCTACAATCATAAGCATATTGACTTGAAAGTAGCTTTAGTGGAAACACAAAGAATTTATTTCTGAATAGACACAGATAAGATTGGCCTATTTGCATAGTTTTTTGTTCCAAGTTCTGATGGAATTCTTCTATTATAACACTGAGATCTCAGTTTCATAACTAAAATCAAAAAGTTGCTGTGAAACTAGGTCTCAAGTCCAAGAGTTCTCACGCAATGCAATCTACTGCATATAACTCAGAACAAACTTCCAATGAGCTCATTTCCAGGGAAGTTTTAGGTCAGGTTTAGATATAACAATACTGGTTTGTATTTTTATCTGAACCCAGTAAAGCTCACTAACCATAGCCTGAATTTATTTGGGTGGTGAATCAAGGTTTATACTGTCACATCCAAACATGGTATCCTAGTTCATTGCATCATTCCATTCTTACTACCTACCATGTTAGCGTGTTTAAAAAATGAAACCACATTCATGGCTAAGATACTCACAGGAACTTCGACAGACCATTTCTTCTGTCTTATTCTTGTCTGGCCACTATGTGATAGAAGCTGGACTAACGCTGGATATAAACCACTGTTCACACTTGTTCTTCTACTTGCAGACCGCACGTACACATGTGTGATGTACGTGAATTATTTATATCTCACCTTTCAAGTTACAAAGGTCTCCAAGGCAATTTCTCAGTAATATTTAATAAAATCACTGTAAGCAGTATTAGCTTTCATCCTGCATTAACAAAACACTAGCATTTGTCACATTTAGGGTCACTGTGGTCTCTTGACTCAAAGAACTCAACTTTTTTTGTTCTTTGATTTGGGGCCTATTGACTGCGGCAGAAAGGAACCCCATATAACTACTCCAACTGAGATTCTAGAGACCTTTTTTTCCCAGGCATGTTTTAGTGTATAGAACACAAAACAAAAACCCTGAAATTTTCAGACAGGCAACTGAATCTTGGGGACTTTTTAGACTAGGACCTCCATGACATCTTAGGAAAAGTCTGTACTAATAAGTATGCGTAGACAGAATGTGATCCAGGAGGCTCCAGAGTCATGATGGTGAATGAACTTAATGCAATACAGGAGGCTCCAGATGCTATGCTATTTTTGCCACACCCTTTCGCCTTCAACCCAGCCCACCACTGGAATGCAAGCCACAGGGGATATCTCTGAAATTGAATTCTACCTTGGGGTTTAAAGCAGTTGGACATCCCTGCTATGTATAAATGAGGGTCTGATGTCAGCCACTGCTCACTCCAAACCCGAGTTCTCTGGCCCCACCCAGTGGATTTCTAAAGAGGGAATATGGTCCTCAACATTAAAAAGACTGCTCACTCCTGCCTTTACAGAGTTTCAGAAATACTGAAATTAAAAAGTTTTATTTATTCCTAATTCCAAAATACATGTGGGAAAAAACATATTTGCAAACAAAGCAGGGGTGGGGGAGAAGCAGCACCTCAAACTGATACAAGAAGATGCATAATACTGAGGAAGCACACACAGTATTAGGAGCTCAGCCTCAACTGAAAGGAAAGGAAGCTCTGTTGTTGTATTGTTGCAAAGAGAAGGAAAGATCCTGAATGCAGGCTACACTATATACATGCAAAAGCATAACTTCATCAATATACGATTAGAAAAGCATTTGTGTGTTTGTAGCGTCCACATCAGTAGCAATTTTTTCAACAAAGAATGCAGAATTCCTTAAAGCCCATAATTTATACCGATCAGTGTACATGAATAAAGTAGAAAAAATCAGGGCTTGGCATCACCAAAATCTCATGCAAAAACATGTGAGCTGCACAGAATGTTTGTGGATCACATAGCTTATAAAATTACGATGTATTTTACAGTATACGAACTTTTTTCAGGAAAAGATACCCCAAAATATAGATATATTTAAATGTGTTCTATTAATGTCTAAGGACAAGAATTTGATTTTTGTTCTATTGAATTAATAAATTTGAGTCTTACAGTCTTAATACCTTAATTTGATTAGAATTCAGGTTGCAATCCCATAAGGGCTTACACAGGTGCAAACGTTATCCATTTCAATAGGACTTATTTTTAAATAAACATACACAATACATGATTGTTAATCTCATTAAAATCCTGCACACACTTACTAGGGAGAAAGTGCCACTGGAATTTGTGGTATCTACTTCTAAGTAAACATACTGAGCAGAAGAGTAGAACATAAGTATCTTTAGAGTGGACCCTCAACTTTTGGATGCCTCAAAATGCAAACTTATATGTTTACGTTATGTACTACAGAACACAGTGGGAACTGTGCACAGGCTACTAGCCTGTCACCTTACTAACTCTAGAATGCTCCCAGAATAAAATTGCCTCCAATTGCACTGCGTAGATACAACGGGCGTGGGAAGTGGGGCAGAACGACTCCAAAAGAAGCCTTGTGCGGAGAACTGTATTTTCTACATCGCGTTCCTCTGAAACCAGACTCGGCATCGCTACACCAACTCCACGCGCCTAGGAACAAACTCTGGATACGTAAGAAAACCGGGGGAAACCTTTAAGATGTGCACATCGGACAGCAACCGAACCTCGTTTCCCCTGCCTCCATGTCCGAAGACAGCTTGGTGCCGCCAGCCGAATCTAGCTCTTAAAGCCTCATAGCAGAACCCTGACTCCACCAAAGAGGAGCCCCGATACAAACGCCGCACTCCCACGGCTACAGCAACAGCAACCCTCTCCATGACACGAACCTTTCCGGTTCAGCCAACACAACTCTGGCGCCGGAACTAGTCATTGCTCAGCCCGTCCCGCCCCACAACTTTTCACTCATCTCTATGGTTCCCAAACCAGAAGGGTCTGGTGTCACATCCAAAATGTCCGTCTAGTGCACAACCCGCCTAACTGGTTCCCAACCTCGTGGCTCCCGCTCCAGCCTACACGATTTCCCAAACAACCCTCTTGGATCTCCCGCGCGCGAGATCTTCCGTGATGGCGTCACGGGGAGAACGGTAACGCTTCTTCACCTGTGCTGAGGTGGCAAACCCTTATCACGTGACTCTGATTGCACTAACGGTATGTAAAGTACGTCAACAAGGCTTAGCTTTGTGGGGTGACTTAAAAAAACTTTTTTTTACAGCGCGCTTCTGTCGACTGCTTGCTTCACGTGAAGAAATCGTTGCTTTGGTTACACAATCACTGAGAATGGGCGGCGGAGAGGAAATGGGGGTGGGATGTACGTTGGAGGCACCGCCCCGTTAAGTACCTGAACGCTCTGGTTTCGTCGTCACTGTCTGCTTGTATTGCTTCGTGGAGCGGGAACTGGGTGAGGCTCTGCCTGGAAACTGGGACCGTTGCTTAGGCTGGAATCGCACTCTCTGCCGTCTTGTACAGCTCCAGATACACGCCGTAAGTTGTACAGCAGTTGGAACTGGGGATCATGTAACAAGGGTGGGGATGTGGCAGTAATACAGGTAGCTTGTGCACGGTTGTTTGTACGGATTGGACTGGATGGATGAAGGGGATAGGTGGCAATAGAAATCTAGAAAGATTTTTATTTGGTGGGGGGTGGGGTAGGAAAAAGCATGCCATGAATTGATATGCTGATAATGCACATTTATTTTAAGCAATTCACCCTATTCTAAAAGTTAGAAAGCTTCCAAGATATTTAACCAACAATTATCTTATCTGACCTAAATGTGGGCGGTTTTGTCTTTTTAAAAGTATGTCTATTCTATTGCATGTCCAAGTTGAATACACAGTTAAAGTTAGCTTTTTAAAAGCATGCTTTCTAAACATACAAGTCCTCCTCTCTATTTTTGTTTTGTTTTGGTCAAGCTATTTGATTTCCTTTAATATATGGGTCAATAGGGCATTGGCTAGATAATATGGGGAGTGTTTGGAAAGCCTGGTTTGCTTTGTGTTCCTTATTTCTTGAAAGAAACTGAAATCTAAGCCACAACAATTTTGTGGGAAATTATAGTGCATATTAGGGTCTAAATTTTGGTTGAGACTATAAGCTGGTTGTGCAGAGGGTGTGGCTCTTGTACATGAATGAGTGTGAGAAACTAGTATGTTATGTCAATTTCATGTATTTATGTATATCATGCTTTTTATGTGAGGAAGGTATCATTAGGTTATCATGGAGAGTCCAGAGATGGCCATCAGGTTTGCCACTGCTGTGTCAGTATTACATTTCCTTAACAATAAACATTTCAGGTGTAAAAACCACACATATGGAATGGAGGGAGCCCATGGGATATTGTCATATCTGGATATGAACTCTGTGGGAAGGACAGGGTATGGCAAATTGGATGAGTTCCTTTATTCTTTCTGCGCCAGGCAGATGAAATGTTTAAAAGAAGCCAACTCTTCCACAGGAGTGTTGTGGGTTACAGTACTAGGTTCCAGAGCTAATTTAGTACTAGAAATATGTTATTGTCTCCTGAAACCAAAAAGCTCAGGGTGATCTTGAGATGGAAAATGAAATCAGAGAGGCCTCCAAACAAGCAACTGTTGTAGCAATGGATAACTTCAGATAACCTCACATTGATTAAATAAATGGATGTTCCAGTAATCTCAAAGTTTACATTTACCAATGCCCTAACAACAATGCTCTAGAATGGTTGTTCATGGGACCCACTGAGGGGAGGAGACTATGAAATTAATCCACAACTACATTGCCAGAAACCTACTATTAGATGCAAATCTTGTTAAACCAATTGGAAGCAGTGACCACAGTGCCACCATAATTAATAAATATTTAATTGGACTTCCAAAGGCTTTTGACAAAGTTCCCTGCAAAAAGCCCATGAGCAAGTTTAGCAGTTGTGGAATAAGAGGAGAGGGCCTTTTATAGTTCAGCAGAAGGTTAAAGAACAGAAAGTGTAAGTGGAAGTTGGTAGATTCTTCCTATGGATGTAGAGCATACATAGTAAATAGCAGGATCCCACAGGGATTTTTATTGGGACCAATGCTCTTTAACTTCTTCATAAATGATCTAGAATTAGGAGTAAGCAGTGAAATGTACAGGTTGCTGATGACATGAAATTACTTAGGGTAATTAGAACAAGAAGACATAATGCAATACCATAGCTTGTACTAACCATAGTTTAAAAGCCACACTATCGTTGGAGGTTGCAGGCTTTTCAGAAAGTTTTTGCTTCAGCAGCTACACCCAGGGTCTGAACTTCCTTGCCAGGGAGGCTGATCTAATTTCCTTAACTGGCCTTCTGCCAAGGACTTTCTTGTGGAGTTTAGCCTGCTAGTTTAGTTACTTTTCTGTCCTGCAGTATTGTTCTGTTACCTTAACGTTTTAAATTTTAGTTGGCTGTTGGTTTAGACTTTTAAAAAATGGTAACCTTCGTGACTATTATTTGCCTTTATTAAATATGAAAATGGTAAAAATATTAGTATGAAAATGTAGAAACTACAATTTTGAGCTATTATCTGTTTTTGTTTCCTTAACTTTATACCTTCTTGCCTTTCCCAGTGATATCTCAACCTTTAGAGATGTAGTAATATCTATTTCCACTGTAAGGCATTTTTTTGACACAGAGCACTATGGTTTGTTGGCATATTCAGACTTAATAGCAAGCCATAGTAATCACAAACTAGTTTCAAACAATGTTTTTAGATGCTGGATATTTAGTTCCTAATAAAATGTGGAGTTCATGAGCAGGCTCAGATTCAGGTATTAAAACAAGTCATGGTTTCACAGTATATCTGAATTCAGTTGTATTCACAATTATCTATTGGGACTCCTTTTCTTCATGAACATGATACATTATGTTTTGCTGTTATGTGCTATCAAGCCATCTTTGACTTAATTGTGACCCCATGAATGAAAGTCCTCCAGATTGTCCTGTCCATGACACCCCTGATCGGCAATTCTAAGTTCAAGGCTGTGACTTCCTTAGAGATTCAATCCATCTCCTTTTCTCCTTCTGTCTTCAACTTGCATGACTGTTTTTTCCAATGTGTCTTGTCTTCTCATGATGTGTCCAAAGTATGACAGCCTCAGTTTTGTCATGTTTGCTTTTAGGAAAAGCCCATTTGTTTATTGTAGAGCTCTCCTCCAGTCCCATGTTTTGAATGTATCAATTTTCTTCCTGCCATCCTTCCTCACTGTCCAGCTTTCACAACGATACGTTGTGATTGGATGTAGTTTGGATGATCTTGACCTTGGCCTTTGGGTGGGATGTCCTTATACTTGATTTTTCCTGGTTCCTTCATAGAGCCCCTTCCAAGTCTAAGTCATCTTCAGATTTCTTGGCTGAAAGTCTCCCTTTGAGTTGGCAGTAAAGTTTTGTAATTCTTCTGCGGTCAGGTTCATATTTGACTTGCAAACCTGATTTAGTAAAAGCTTTTCTAACCCATCTACCACTAGCATCTTGGGACAGCTTACAATAAAAAATGAGAAGAATAAAACAAAATACTACAGCATCCAACAATTTGAAGTAATAAAACCCCAGTTAAAATCAATTAAACATTAAAATGATGGGAAAACCTGATCTGCTTCATCACCAACTTTCTTAAAATCAACAATCTAGGGCTATTAGTGGAAGCTGTGCAAGTGATTTAAATTTTATCTTTATTTTATTTATTTGGGTATTTTTATCCTCTCCAATTACGTTGCGCATCTCTGGACAGCTTACAAATTCTATTTCAGTATATAGGAAAAGAAATTACAAGTACCTAAATCTTAACTGAACCTCTTAAAAATAGAACTTAACAAAAACAAACTAATTGTGAAAGGTCATCTTTGCTATAAAATGTCATTTTCTATGGTATTTCTCTCCTTCACATCATTGAGAAAAGAAAATATAAGCAGTATTAGTGTTGCCTTTGATGAACATTTGGAATGTTTTGCAGACTGTAAGTGGTACTATTTTATACACAGTTACCTGACTCCCATTGAAGTCAAGGGGACTTATTCCTGACTTAATTTGTCACTTCAGTCATATAACACATGTTTACAACCATGGGTGGTATACTAGCTGCTGGTAAAGAACCATCATGGTTTGGTTTTCATCTAGGTTATATAAACTGTCCAGTTAACCTCTGTCAAAATCATAGTTTGTTATTTTCTTATCCTGGTCTTAGATAGGAATGAGGAACTTCACCTGTTCCTAATATTGTAGTTCCCAATTTCCCAAAGGAGAAAGGTCTGTTGCCTTTCTGGACTGTAGAAACCTTTAGAGTGGTGGCAGTTCTCTGGAATTGTGCATATAAATTTTATGTACATAGTGTCTTAAGAATGGTTGGTAGGTGCAACCATATGTGTAAAAGGGCACATTTTTCTGTGTTCTGTGTTGTTGCATATTTTCACTTTTTTGAGAAGGCTTATGTTTTGTGGAAAAGAACTTTGTAGTGGGTATCTTGGTGGAAGAGAACTATTTCAGTAACTACAAAATGAAGTTAGTAAACTCCATAGACTGTAGATAGCTTTTGGATTTTTTAATATACTATGTCATATTCATACTGTACTGTGTAATAGAGACAGTTTCTTTGAATGAGCTAAAATCTCCAGGGCCTGATGAAATACTTCCTAGAGTAATAAAGGAGGTGGCTGAAGAACCCTTGGAACTATTATCTATTTTCTTTGAGGAATCATGGAGGATGGGGAAAGTGCCAGATGACTAGAGAAGGGCTAATGTTGTCACTCTTTTCCAAAAGGGCATTAAGGAGGATCCTTAATCAGTTGGTCTGACATCAGTTCCTGGAACAGATAATAAAGCACCTTGGAGACAATGGAGTAATTACTAGAACCCACTCAAGTTCTACACCTTGGAAAAGGGAGCTAAATGCATAGTTCCAAGATAGGAGATTCTTAGCTCAACAATACTACAAGTGTGAAGGATTTTGGAATTGTAAGTCACAACTTGAATATTGAGTCAGCAGTGTGATTCTGCTGCAAAAAGGAAATGCTATATTGAGCTACTTAAAAAAAATAGTTTCCAAATCTCATGAGGTACTGGTTCCCTCTATTCAGAACTAGTTAGGCTTCATCTTGAGTATTGTGTTCAATTCAAGGTACCACACTTCAAGAAGGATGTAGACAAACTGGAAAAACTTCAGAGGAGGGCAACAAAGATTATCAGGAGACTAGAAAGAAAGCCCTGTGAGGACAGATTGAAAGACCTGGGTATGTTTATCCTTGACAAGACTGACTATTTCAAAGGCCTAAAAGGCTATTTCAAAGACAAGTGCCAGGATCACCCCAGAGTGCACAACATGGAAAAATTGGCTCCAGTTACAGGAAGCCCGATTCCAGCTGGAACTTCCTGACTATTGAAGCTGTATGGGAATGGAACCAATTACCTAGGGAGGTTATAGGCCAGTGGTGGCGAACCTATGGCACACGTGCCACAGCGGGCACGCAGAACCTTCTCAGTCAACACATGAGTCAAAACACCCCAGCAGCCGAGCTCGGACAACAGCGCACAGAGGGGCCATACGCATGCTCGGAAAGGAGTAGTAGTGTCAGGTGATGATGTCACAAGCCGTGGCTCATTAGCTGCAACTCGTCCGAGCTTTCACATGGCTGGTCAGGGCATTGCCAAGGAGATTATATGCTTGGAATTTCTGTGAGTTGTTTTTTCTAAACTAAAACCTCAGTTTTCAGGTTTTATTGTAATGTTGGCACTTTGTGATAAATAAGTGGGTTTTGGGTTGCAGTTTGGGCACTTGGTCTCTAAAAGGTTTGCTGTCACTGTTATAGGCGATTCCACAGTGGAGGCGTTCAAGAGGCAGTTGGACAGCCATCTGTTAGGGATGCCTTAACTTGGAATCCTGCAGTGAGCAGGGGTTGCACTCTATACCCTTACAGGCCCCTTCCAAATCTACTGTTCTGTGATTCTACATAGATGGTTAAGAAGATGATACTTGGGCCACAATCTGTCATACTGTAGTGCATGTCAATATATTAATATCTGTTTTGGGTTGTGCTCTTATGGTGTTGCAATTAGAATCTCTGATCTGTGCCCATAAACATTAACGTCTTTGAATTGGTTTTTTCTCATCTAGCATAGCAAATGGCGGCACAGTGTGTAACGAAAGTGGAGCTGACCATTTCTTGTAGCAATCTTCTGGATAAAGATATTGGGTCGAAGTCAGACCCACTGTGTGTACTGCTTCAGTACACAAGTGGACAGCAGTGGTACGAGGTACTGTATACCAACACTCTGTTTGCTACTAATGGTTCTAATTTTAATTCAGCTGTACGATCTAGTGTTAGTCCTATTTAAAGATGGTAGCAGTTGAAATGAATAGGGCTTTAACTATCTATTTTTGAGTCCCATTCTTGTCAACAGGTCAGCTCTAAGTAGGATTTACACTGGATGCTATCTTTCAGTTCAAAGGATTTGCCATTAATGTTTGCTCTTTGGGAGCTCTAAACAGATGTTTGTGTATGCATGCCTTAAATGGAATTTCCATGTATTCAATTAGGCATTAAGAACAACTATTTTGCTTCACTGCATATTTTGTTTTTGTGTTTGTCTTTATACAAATAAGGTGATACCCAAGGGTGTCCACTTACCAGCAGAACAGACTTTGCTGGTGGAGCAGTTTCCTCCTCCATCTGCCATTTTTTCTCCCCACAGATCTGCTTCAAAGAGATGGAGAATCCTTGAGCAGATTGTGTTTAGGGGTGGAGGAGAGGAAGGAGAAGTTTTGTTCTGCAAATGAATATGGCATCTATATTTTTCAAATTGTAAAGGAAATTATTTATGGTAAAACAATGATTACACTTTAAATGGAGAATAAAAAATTATTATAAAATGATGGCCTAGGTTCAACCCAGTATTTTCTTGCATGGTACCATGGGAAGGTTTACTCCAGAAATCAACATAAATAAATCAAATAGAATAACCCATTAAAATCCATAGTACTTACGCCTTGTGAATTTCAGTGGGACTTCACAAAATCTAAGCTTGAAGTCATCCCAGTTCAGCATTGGCACTTTTATTGCACATTTCATAACAATTTATAATACAAATATCTATTTAACAGTAAATACGTTCCCCTTTTGGTGTTTCCACAGAATGCAACTTGTGTTGCAGGTAAGACATTTAGGCTGCAATCTTGTACTATTACTTGTGAGTAAGATCCATTGATCTCAGTGGGATTTACCTATCAGTAAGACTGTACTGCAAGAAGTGCGCATCTGAGGACTATTTTTAACATCTAAATGTGAATACTACCTCTATCCAAATCATGTTTACTTGGAAGAAAGTTCCACTGTAATAAGCAGAATTTACTTGTAATTGGATGATCCAGTTGAAATGAACTCGGAGGCTAATGCATTGCAGAGCAGGAAGAATAGTGGTGCAGTTCACCTTTCTGCATTTTTGCAAGGCCATTGTATTTACCCATTTAAGTTAGTGTTTCAGAGGCAGACAGAGTCTGCAGAGGATATACCATGTCCTTGCTTCTGCAGTCTCCTCTCCATCCACCAGGATTCCTCTCTCATCCTCTTAACCAAGGTTGATGTCCTAACCTTCGAGATGCAGCTGGCATGGTTTTTCTCATGCTGGTTCACAGTTCTGATGTCAGAGCTGTATTTCAAATCTTGACTTTTAAGTCTGTCACCTGCTAGAGAATACCTAGGGGCCATTGAATCACTCCCAAAGTGAGCGTACAACTGTTGAAATGTAAAATTCTTTATTCTAAGTATCTTAAATCTATCAGTAGGTGGTCTTTGATAGTATATGATTTAATCTAACCAAGGAAGAAATAAACCAATCAGTGCATCCAATGATTTTAGTGGGGTTCAGCCTGTCTTCAGTGCCTAGCAATGTATTTTAGTCATCCTTTGCTAGTTTACTCATAATTTCCACCGAAGTTAATGTGACTTAATTCTAGATAAATGTGTTCAAGGTCGATTTTCCTTTCTGTTAGTTACAGGGGTGGGGGCTATATTTTGAAAATGCTCAAATATAGTTTAAAACCAGGCATGAGAATGGTCCTTGTATTTCTGTCAAATATGTGATGTACCCATTTTTGTTATTGCAGGTTGATCGCACAGAAAGAATAAAAAACTGCTTGAACCCCAAATTTTCCAAGAGATTTCAAATTGATTACTACTTTGAGTTAGTCCAGAAGCTCAAATTTGGGATTTTTGACATTGACAATAAAACAGTAGAGCTGAGTGATGATGACTTCTTAGGTGAATTTGAATGCACACTGGGTCAGGTGGGTACAAATGCCTCTTGGATATTCTTTGTCACTTTCAGAAGTTGTGGTGTTTGTTTTGTTTACAATTTGTTTTAACTCGCAGAAATGGCACTTGCCTTAAAATTCAATTTATGTTACTTTATTTTTCTTTGTAGTTATATTCAGAAAATAAGAAAACTCTAGAGTGGATATCAGCTTATTCTAGTTCATGTTGTAATTTCTGCTTTTCAGAAAGAATCAAAATACTAATCTATTTTTATAAGCAGTTTATCTAGCATTTGACATAACATTGTTTCATTATCTGTTAACTGTTGTTTAGCACCCCTTGTTGCCTTCTGCCTGTGGACAGGTCTTTAAATATGATGTTAAAATGAAAAAAATTTAAACAGTTTTTAACAAAGCAAAACATATGGAGAAAAGGCACTGCACAAGTGAACTGCACAAAGGCTTTATCTCTTGGGCAGTACAGAAATCAAATTAATAAATGAAACCCCCAAACATAAACATGAGCTACTTTTAATAGTTATTTTATCTGAGCTTTTTTATTTTAATAGATTGTTTCTAGCAAAACACTCACAAGGCCATTAGTGCTGAAGAATGGCAGACCTGCAGGAAAAGGAATAATTACGGTATGAAAACATTGCTTGTTTCTTCCTCCTAATATGTCAATCTGGACAGATTTGGATTCTTGATTATTTTTCTTCCTATAGCAATTCGTGTATTATGGATACTCTCAACTGTGCTGAAATTCTATGGAAACAAATGGACTGCTATCCTGTGGATACTTTCTTAGAAGGAATTCATTCAGCCTTGTGACTTAACTTTAAGTCAGCCTGTATAGGATCACTTCATAAATTGATTTCTCTGATGCTGAAGTCCTATCCATTGCTTAACTTTAAAAAAATAATCAATTTTTCACTTTATGCTTCTGTAAGCTTTAAATAAGACATTTGGCCTGGATCCAAAGAGCTACATGTCTACTTTTTTAGTTTATGCCTTCTAAACAACAGCAAGAAGTATCTAAACAACAATTCCATTTACTTGTGGCAATTTTTTTGAAATTAAGTATAATTTTTAAAAGAATGTTGATAAGGCATGGCAGTTTTGCTCTTCAGAGAAAACAGGTAAAAAATTCCAGTTGGTCCTAAAAGCTTTAGTGTTCTAAAACAGGTGGGAAGTGTTCTCCCCATATTAGTATACAACTTAATGTTCTTCAAAACAAATTGCTGGTTTGACATGTACATTTTCATTCCATCTGTGTGATTGTGCACCTAAAAGCCCTTTTATGATTATGTTCTTACTGACATTGAAACTAGTAGAAATATCAAATTTCTTCCCACAAACAATGTGCAATTGGCATACGTCTGATATTATTTATTAAAGAACTCATAGTTATATTTCATTGGAAGGCAATACATTATCTTAGTGAATATTTATCTGTACTTAACCAGATTACTGCTGAAGAAATTAAGGATAATCGAGTGGTCATATTTGAAGTTGAAGCAAGGAAGCTGGACAATAAGGTATCTAAAGCCAAATCATGTTCATACCTTTCTTGGTGTAAATCCCATCAAAATTGATTAAAATTGACCTCAGTAAGATTGTCCTGTGTGTTTTGGTGAGTAACAAAAATATAAGCCGCCTTAATTCATTAGGCTTTTTTCAGTGCTCTCTGTCACTAGAACAGAAACTGCTTGGCAGATTGGATTCTGTCTGCCCATGCAATTGCCTTCACACTCCTAGTTCTGTTTAGAGCAGGGTTCCTCAAACTTTTTTTACTAGGGGGCCAGTTGAAAGGTGCTGGTGCTGGGCACAGGCCAGAAAGGTGGTGCCGATGGGGGGGGGCACAGGCTGGCGTGGGGGCAGGGTGCACGGGTGCTGAGGCGGGTGCGGGTGTAGTGAGAGACGGGCAAGGGGAGGAGAGGCAAGGCGGGGCGGGCACACACCGTGATGCAGCAGTGGGCGCACGATGCAGCGGCTTGCTCACTTGAAGATTGTTTTCTCCGAGCGAGTCCAAAATGATCCCGCAAGCAAGCCGCCGCCTCCCCCCCGCGCAGGGTGTGAGGCAGGCAGGCACACAGCACGTTGAAAACCTCTGAGGCAGGCCGGATAAATGGTCATGGTAGGCCAAGCAGAAGCCCACTAGTGCAGATTGTAGCACTAGGTCCAGGAAACATGTAACAGCTGAGGAAATAACTTTCAAGTTTTTCACTGGAACATCTGAGATATACATGGAATGCATGCATGCCTTTAGAACACAGTGGTATTACACCAATATCTGAATGAATTAAGAGTAGATTTTTATATTGTGTACATTAGTCCAATGCTCCTCCTCATCCCTTTATACTTCTAAACATTCAAAAGATTGTGTCAGTAGCCCTCATCCCACAATATTGGGTAACTGGCACCCCCTCCCCCCACAGATCTATTTATGTAATTTGCACATAGGTAGATCTACTGATAGACCTTCTAGGACATTGTCATAAAGTTCCTAGGCCAAAAAGTTCCCCAGACTTCGACCACATGCATTTTATGTTTTTGCTTTGTTTTGGTTATGGAAAATGAAAACTTGCCTGAGGAAATTGCATAGGAATAGTTGTACAGAGTATTTTTCCCCAAAAAATAGGCCCCAAAGAAGAGAACAAAAGAAGGTTCCATAGAGATCATCATAGTCTCTTTTTCAAGCTAAGATTTTTAGTTAAAACCTCCAGCAAACAGAATTGATGCTGAAAGAAAGTTTTGCTATGATGTTTTAATATTAATAGGAAAAATTATTATGCAGAGAAATGGTCAATAGGATGAGCACTGTTATGCACATTTTCTCATTTTGCATAACCTCAGGAAGGTTTAAATCTGGAATTACCTGTACTTGCTGAGAGATGAACACCATTCTTATGTTGATAGAAACTTCCTGAGAGAAGATTTCAGCCAGCGCAAAGGTCCTCTCCCTGTTCCCATATTCAGGGATTTATTTATTTATTTATTTGGCATGAGGCACTTTTTACTGAGGTAAAAATGACCCCAAATATGATCAATGCTAGTCTTTTTGTTAATGCAGCGAACAAGCTGCTTTTGTGTAAGCAGAATTAAAATAGAATACATTAGAGGACAAGGATGTAGCATGCATGCATCACGCTTACTCCCATAATGGCAAATCATATTTTACCGTGGTTCTCTGACTGGAACTAATGAGTTTCCCTTCAGCAGAGTTATAGAAGGTGAAACATTACTCTCAGTAGTTTTGGGGAAGAAACATTGTCCTGTTGATGTTTGAGTGGGATATCTTGGCAGGGTTGAAGTCCAGTTTAAGTTGTTGATTTCTTTAAAGAAGCACGGTGAAACCGTGTATATTCCATCATTTCTATATCCAAAGAATACTTTACAATTCTTCTCATGCCTGAAAGAGATGCATTCTGAAATACTTGTGTTACAAATGCAATTCATATATAAATGCTGTGAGCAACTCTGTATAGAGAGTACATCTGCCTTTTTCTCTCTGTTGTAGCGTGCTTATATTTCCTGAAGTACCGATAGCTCTTTTGTTCTTTTCACCACTTTTTAAAAGACCTACCTCTTCAAAATTAATTCTAATTCTATTTTTCTGAGTACAGCCACACAGATTATGTGCAGTGCTACCAGAAAGAAGAATCAAGTAGGCTATACCTGGGTAAAGGGATGTGTCTGATTTGAAGAGGAAGTAATATAAAATAAGATAATTTTGTAATAACAGTCTGCTTTTAATTTCAGGATTTTTTTGGGAAATCTGATCCATATTTGGAATTTCACAAGCAGACCTCTGAAGGAAATTGGGTGATGGTGCACAGAACAGAAGTAAGGGGACTGGATTGGCTTGGTTTCTTTTATTTGTCGGGCTACTTTGGCTGGCAACCTATTTTAATATCTCTAGCTCAGATTTTCCTACTAAAATAAGAAAGAAAGAATGAACTTATTTATATATATTATAAATAAAGATAATGAGCAGCAAGTTGTCTTATAATAAGAGATTTATGATGCTCCTGGATAAGATTAGTGAGAGTTGTTTGAATTAATGAACAGAAGAAGTTAACAAAGTTGGTTAATGTAAAGAAAGAAACTATGATATTTCTAAAAATTATTTTATCCTTGTATAGGTTATTAAAAATAACTTGAATCCTGTCTGGAAGCCGTTTAAGATCTCCCTCAACTCTTTGTGTTATGGTGATATGGACAAAACAATCAAGGTAATAATGTATGAAGGATATTGAGGTTGTCTTAAAACTACATTTTTATGTATTGGTATACTTACATGCCATACAGTATAAATGCATCATGTATAAATATTAAAAATCACATTTAAAAACCGTACTAGAAACTAATAGTGCACATTTACAAGTCAGAGAAAGCCTGGATGAATAATTGCATTTTCAGGAGACATTTGGAACAAAAACATTTTCTGTTCACTGAACTGCACTGCTGAAGGTTTTCCAGAGGGTAGGCACTGCCATGGAGAAGGACCAACTTTGAGATATTATGTGATGATAATCTTCTGGCCATAGAAATAAGGCTTCCTCTGATGATAAAGTCTGGCTGGGTAAGGGGAAAGGCAGTCTTCTAGTTATCCTGGCCCCAAGTTGTTTAGGGCATTGCAGGTCAACAACTTGTCCTCAAACATGTCTTTTTTGTATAAAGATTTTTTATTAAGATTTTAAACTAACTCAAACATGTCTTGATAGCAAAAAGGCAGCAAATATAGTTATCACAAGTGTGATGCAAGTGTAGCTGGGTATCCCAGCAGCCAGCCAAGTTGCTATTTTCTGCACTAATTTCGGCTCCAAACCATGCACATAGAGTAGTAATTGAATTGTGAGGTTACCAGTGCATGGATCACTGTTGGTAGACCTTCCTAGAAATGGGGACTCTGGGCTACTCAGGTCAGTTGGGACTTCAGTGACAAAGATGGATCCAAGAGCACTCCAAAACTATATCTGCTCCTTCCCAAGGAGTGCAAATCTATCCAGAACAGGTGAACATCCCAGTTCCCAGACCTGGGAACTGTTCACCCATAGGATTTGTCTTACCAAAACAAGGAACTATTCATTACATAGAGTACTTAGATGTAGCTATTCATTACATCTCTATTCTGAGAATATGAAACATTGCAAACTATCTCCTGCTGTTGAATAGCCTTTGCAATGTCTATGATCCTAGTCTGAAAATGTAAGAATTTGTTAATATGGAAGCAGCAGCTGTGCTGGTTCCTAAAAGCCTTGAGGCACAGTCCTATGCATGTTTAAACAGGGAAAGTCTTATAACTCCAAACATTTCCCTTTCAGCATGGGTTGGCTGGAGAGTGCTTGGAATTGTAGGACCTATTTCTGTTGAAATATGCATAGGATTCTGCTCTTAATGTCATGAGAATATGCATAGACTGAAATAAAACAATCCTTTATAAGGAACAGCTATTCTGCTTGAGGTAGAAGTCTGCAAGGTTGATGTGATGCAGTTGTGTCTGGAAGGGTTTTAATAAAGCATTCCTAATGCTTTTTTACTACTTAGCATGCATAGCTTATGAAATTCATTGTAGCCTCTATAGTTCAGTTGCCTAACTTCCTTTAAGCCAGAGTGCACAACCATTTCCTGGTGGGGGGCTCAGATTGTTCCCCATAAGCCTCTCTGCAGGCTCAGTGAGCACTAGGTGTAGCTAAACCCATTGATATCATCTGACCTGCCCATTTTAGTTTTTCTCTGTACAGAGGTAGGGACTCTTTCAAACTATTAAGAATGAAATAATGCTCACTCTGTCGTCAGCAGTGTCTTATACCTCTTGCATCTGTGCTGTTTGCTCCCAATCTAATAGCAGGGATAGCTGCAGGGATTCTCTCCAGAATAGGTATCTCAACATGTATTTAAGCCACTTTATATGGAGGCAAGTGAGCAGGCTATGGTGAGGAGCAGAGCAAAGCTCTCTGGCCCTTCATGTTCAGCACAGAAATGCAGGGGGCAGCAGTAGGAAGTTTGGAATTCTCTGTCTCTCCTCTGCCAACCCACAGCAGGCTATTACAATTTAATTTATGTGTGCTTATTTACAGGGCTGCTTTAACCTGTACTAACTTGAATTCACTTCCCAGATTTCCCCCTGCCCTCCTGACTCACTCTGTAGTGCTTCCAACTGCTGCATTGTGTTAGCAGTAAACATATCTTTAAAGTGAAAGAATAAATAGCAAACATTGCATAATGTGTCCATAAGATACATTTTCATAGCATTTTAGACAAGAGACAACTTATCGCCCTACCTACTCACTCACATATCCTAATGTCCTTGAATTCAAGAAGGTTGCATCTGCTGCATGAACTAAAACCCTGTTTTCCTAAATCTGTGCCATGGTGTTAAAAATCTAGCCTGTGACATTGTATCCGTCTTTGAAAATGGAAAAGATGAAATAAGGTCTTGCTACTTTCTAGGAAGCAGTTTGAACTAAAACTATGTTGCTGTAATGATTACTGAGGAACATCATTATGCTATTATGACTTATTAAACAATGTTTTAATGCTTTATGTGTACAGTGTCTTATGTAGCTGGCTATTTCATTTTAGTAAGTAAAATTATTTTCTATCTCTACCTGACCCAACTACCTTTCCACGTGTTAAAATGACTAGGTGTTCAGTCATTATACATGAGCGACTTGCTTTTATATCTCATTACATTATTTCTGGTGTGTGTGTGTGTTGAAGTGAGTCATTGAAGACTTCTGTCAAAAGCATGCATGCATTCATCCTGTTGTAGGTGGGAGACATGAATAACATGCATGTCACAAAGACAGGATTAATTCTGAAGGAAAAAAAAGCACAAGGTCAAATGGCCTACTGTTTTGGGTGAAGATAGTTGTTAAAGTTCTGATAGATCACCAAATTAACTATTACAGAAAATTTAGAAATGATTCTAAGTATAGGTCATCTCCACTTCTCTTTCTCCAAATGCAGCTTCACTTTAATGCTGTGTGCTTTCATTACATGAAAGTCTGTTTGCAATAATTCTCTCTGGAGATAGTAGTGCCTGCATGTTTGCATTGGTGAGGAGTGCATGTGCATGTGTGTTAACTATTTTAAGAAACCAGTCTTAGACTGTAAACCTATACCCATTTACCTGTGTGTAAGCCTAATTAAAACAAATGAGACTTACTGCCGAGTAGAACTGTGCTGTCGTGTACTCAAATAGGGTTGGCAGTGGACCCAAAGGAGATCAGATAGTAACAAAGCAACATTAGCACACACGCTACTTTAATTTCTTCAAAAAGAATATTTTAAAATAAAAGTGGAGATAAATTGGATACTTTTAAGTGGCATACGGAAATGGAGCCATAACAGAAGATTATATATTATCTGTATTTTAATGAACAATCTTACTGAAAGCACAGTGTTACTTCTGTAGATCTTTGTTGATGCATTTTAGTTCTGCCCTTCTAATAAACATTTTGGGGATGATATTTAGGAGTGGCAAGGGCTTGTGATTTAGGATTTTTTATCCTTACTCAGCTAAATTTCATTATTCCAATGTTACATGTATAATATTCTTGATACTTCATGTATAGGTTGAGTGCTATGATTATGACAGTGATGGGTCACATGATCTCATAGGGATCTTTCAAACCACCATGTCAAAACTGAAAGAAGCATCTCGGCACTCACCAGTAAGTCTGTGTACCTTTTCTCATGTTCATTGAAATAACACATCTGTTTGGAGTTTTATAGAGCCTGCACTTCTAGGAAAGGATGTAGTAGTATTTATAGGAAATGGTGTAAAAATAGAGCCACACACAAGTGGTTGAAAACTCTACTTTGCCATGAACTCACTGGTAGCCTTGAACAAGCTGCTTTATTTCAATTTCCATCTGCGTTTCAGGGAAAATACTGATCCTACTTTACAGGACTGTTTTAGAAGTTGCTGAGATAACATGAACTGCTGGAGGGTGGGAAGATACATTTTGTACTGTACAAAATAATTAAAATAAATATATACAAAGAGCAAATGAACGTTAGTGTGTACCTTCTTATATCACACATTCCCCTCTTCTTCCCCAGCCCCCATGCGCTTTTGTCCAGAGGATTATGGGACCCTTAAGAACAGACCTGGTAGAAGTGTGTGTGTGGGGGGGGGGGCTGCAGTGTGGAGAAGAAGAATGTGAAGCAGCTTGCAGCCATTAGATGCAGCTTTTTAACTTTAAAAGAGAAGCGGAAGCTTCCAGGAGCTTAGGGGGCCAATCCCTTCCCCCAGGAATCCAGCTCAGGCCACACTCATGTCCCTGCTGCTCCTTCTTTAAAGCAGTCCCTTTTTGCTCTGGGCCTCCAAATTCAGTAGTGAGACTATTACTACTGTTACTGCTGCTGCTGCTTATTACTATTGCATCATTGTATTTGCATCCCATCTTTTTCCTCTAATGAGGAAGCCAAGGCAGTTTACTTAGCCTAATTGGCCAGTGATCTTCATTAGTGGGACTAGAACCTAAATCTTCCAGGTCCCTAATCAAACACTCCAGTGACCACGCTGGTTATAAGATTTTCCTAAGTCAGCTGACACAGTGGCTGAATCCAAGTGCTCAGCATTATGTGCATGATGAGCTTAGCCTAGTGTGCTTACCACACACCCCTTCTCGGTCATGGGTGCAAGGAAAAAATGTTCACTTCTGTTTTCAGTTAAGCGTGGTGTGCCATTCTATTTGAAGCCAGACAAAGCATGCTTAGTCTTACCTATGGCTTAGGGAAACACAGGATTGGAAACCCTGCTTTAAAATTGGCTTGTTTCTTTCCTTTGAAATTAGTTTTGGCATTCTTCTGTAAAATAACTGCTATCATACCTAACTTACATTTCCTTCTCTCAGGATTGGAAGCAGTTAGGGCATTTAGTTCTGGCCTACTGCTTTCAAGTAATATCACAAGTCTGTCAATTCTTCTATCTGGGAGGGTGGACAGAATACCAGTGTAATAAAATCATTAGTGCTAATTCTAAATAATAGCATAACTGTAATTGAACACAGGGCATTTTGTCACTTTCCTCCAGCTTTTCCCGTGCAGGCAGTATACTGTGATTTGGCAACTAGTGGTGAGCAACAGTAGAGCCTTCTGCGATCAGTGTGATACTTCAGAGCCTCTTTGCCCATGGAAGTGGATTTTGCTAAATTGCATTTATTCCCTGTTCCAAGTAGTAATATGTGAGAGGACCCTAGGCTGCCTCAAGTTCAACAAATGTCTAAGCATGCGTGTCACAACTGATATGTAACCATTGTTGCCCTGCTGCTCTGTTATGTTTATCTAGGTTGAATATGAATGCATTAATGAAAAGAAGAAGCAAAAGAAGAAAAGCTACAAAAATTCAGGCATTGTGAGCATTAAACACTGTGAGGTGAGCATCCTCATGTTGCATTCATGTTCAGGCACTCAGTTTACAGCAGTAAACTGTTCATTATACCATTGGACAGAAACCTCATGTGAAAGTTACAGCTTCAGTCCTGGGGGAAGTATTAAATTATGTTATTCTGCTTGCACAAAGCTATGACCACTTGCTGAACCCCTTTTTTCATGCTTGCATTAGAGCCAAGCTCAATACCTTGATTCTCTTTTTGTAAACTGTTCTGAAAGCTCATTACAACTTAATGAGGCTGAGGGTTGCATGTGTTACTTGTTACATCAGCAGTTGCACTAGCATTAATGGAATAATGACAAGACTCCAGCAGCTTGAGAGAGGTGAATGACAAGTCCCCAGCAGCTGACCCCAGCAGCTTGAGAGAGGAGGTTTAAACTTCCCCATCATTACAAGCTGATATGCAGCTCTGCTTGTAATTATATCTGTGTGTATCTGTATCAATATGTGTGAACCTTGTCCCATCACCCAGCACTAACTGTGACATCACCCAGCACTAACTTGGGCCAAAAAGGTTGTTCAATTTCCCATGAGACATAACAGAGCCCAGCGTCTTCTCTCCCTTCTCTCCTTCCTCACACCATTCTTCTTGGCACATACAGCACCGACCATGGAGGAGGCCTGTGCATATCTTCTATAAGCTTATATAGTTCTTCCTTTTCTGTTCAGTCAAGGCAACATTTAACTGTAGAAAGAGAGTATCAGGAATCTTGTGGCCAGTTCTGATTACTGTATCTGTAGTACACAATGTTAGGGCTCCGTTGTTTTCATTTTACTTGCATTTTAAGTCTCTACTTGGATACATTTTCAAAGGCTATGTCTGGCACACTTGTGAATAGCCCTGTTTGACCCTAATGCACATGTATTTGGATAATTTTAGTTGAAAAGCCTGCTGATAGTATAAATGACTCCGCATAATTAGAGGGGTGAAACTGAGTTCTGGGAAAAAATCTGTTATCCTAAGTGTATGACTGAGTCTTTTGTGCTTTCTCTCCAGATTATCATGGAATGCACTTTCCTTGACTATATCATGGGAGGTTGCCAGCTGAATTTTACTGTAAGTAGACTATAACTCATACTTTAATTGAAGAAAGAGGGCCATATCCACTTGAGAAGAACCAGTGCAAGAGATTTATCATAACATAAGATAGGCAGAGATGCAGCAGTTGTAAAGATCCTCAGCAACAGTAGCTGTGATTCAGACAGCTGGCCAGGGAACCTATGCACTCAAGGTTCAGAAAAGTATGGAGCAAGCATGTTGTGTGCACTGGCTTTATTTCTGCCTGGCACTGGTGGGTGGGAAGCTTGTAGTTCAGAAGTAAAAGTACATATGTACAGACACTCATTATTTGTATCACAAAGGTAGCTTTGGATAGTCAATGTCAATCTCCATCAAAACTCTTGCTGATGTAAATGTTTGCAAACTTAAATGTTTATATTCTGTTTTCCAAGTTGCTCAGGTTAGCATTTTAGGTTCTTCTCCTTCCCCATGTTATCCTCACAGCACCCTATAAAGTAGGTTTCACAGAAAGATCAACTTATGACGGTGTTCCCTCAAATAGACTAACCTGAGGAATTTTTTTTTCATTTGATTTTAAGTTGAGAGTCTGCCATACTCAGTAGACATGCTGTTTGGTTTTATCTAGTTTTTAAACAGTAATACTAAAATTAGGCTAATTGCACAGGAAAACCAACACTTAATACATCTCCTATCCTTTATTCTGCATAGTCCTACTATTGACCTGTATTCACACTGCTAATGAGAGGCAAAGCTATCTTAACACCAGTGATGTATTGTTTTGAAAGGTTGGCATTGACTTTACTGGCTCTAATGGAGATCCTCATTCTCCACACTCCCTACATTACATCAGCCCAAATGGGGTAAATGAATACCTGACTGCTATTTGGTCTGTGGGGATGGTCATCCAGGACTATGATGCGTAAGTTTTCCTTCTATATTTGTCAAACGTTTACGTTTTAAATTGTTTCACATATTAACACAAGTTGACTTGGGGTGGGGAGCTTATTTGGGCTGAAAAGCAACTCATAAAAAATAATTAAATATAGGGTTGAATGCTAAAATAAGTTGATGTAAGGAAGTTTGCTGAAGGATGGTTTTCCATCCCCTGTAGCCAGTTGCAACTGCCAAAAAGCTTCTCCTGTCATAGGGCCCCCTGACCAATGCACGACAGCAAAGAGAATCTTTCTTTATCCATGTACAGTACAATTCTGCATGGGTCTGTTCAGAGGGAAATCCCATTGGATTAATAGCATTTATTCCCAGGTAAGTGAGTTGTGCAGCTCACTAACTAATGATCCAAACCATTAGGTAAACAAGTGACATCCTTACTAAGAGAGAAATGAAGTACCGTTTTGAAAAATAGTCAGAGTTTCATAATAGTACTAGCAATACATTTGCATCTTCTGTTTCTGAATAGTGCATAATTGAACTTTTTTTTCATAATTGCTTTCTCCAAATTGCTTTTACAGAGATAAGTTGTTCCCAGCTTTTGGCTTTGGTGCTCAAATCCCTCCCTCATGGCAGGTAAAGTATATGCCTTCAGAAGATAATTCATCCCAAAAGGCAGTTTAAAAATCCATTTAAAAAAGAAAATGTAATTACATAATTTGGTGGAAAGCTGCCTGAATAGAAATGGATTTATTAAAGAATCCTCTTTCATGTGTTCACAGGTGTCACATGAGTTCCCATTAAACTTTAACCCATCAAACCCATTCTGCAATGGTAAGTTATGAAATTTTAGAATAAGGATCTCAAAGGGTGCCTGACATTTCTAGGCTTATAGCTAATAGTGTGTTGATTTTGTATTTATAAAATAGTTCCATTAAGATTACATGACTAGAAGAAATGCTGGTAGATGTCAGCTGGAGAGTGAAATTTTACTGATCAAAAGTTTCTGGTGTTTTTAACCCAAAAATGTTTGCAGCAAAAGGTTGTAGATAGGGAAATAAATTATTTTTAGAAATGTTCACAAATGTAGCACCTCAAATAAGAAATTCTTAAGGCAGCTGGTTAAATTATGAAAACTTCATACATGTTATTCCATGAAGTTTGCATTTGTGCACATTTCATAACTGGAAAGTTAATGGAACTGAGTGCAAATGCTTTATATAGTAATGAAATTCTCTCTTTAGTACTGTGTTTCAGAGCACTATTTCCAACTTCTTGGTTCTTGAATTCCCACAAAATCTTAGTGATAAGATGATAGTTTCCCAGATTTCCTGGGAGTCTGCCTTTCTCTGATATTTGACTAATTTATTCAATTACCTGTTTGGTGCTGAGGGTGGGGGAGGGGCTCAGATAATTTTTCCTCCATAAGTACTAGCTGTTTTAGATATAAATGCTTACTGAATCTTCAGTGCATTAGAAGTTTCATAAAGCTGTGCAAAGAACCATCAAATTAAAATGTAGTGAGGAATTTTCATTTATTTCCTCTAGGAATTCAAGGTGTTGTGGATGCATATCGGGTGTGCCTCCCTCAGGTAAAATTGTATGGACCCACCTACTTTTCTCCAATCATAAATCATGTGGCTAAATTTGCTGCTGCAGCTACTCAGCAAAGAACAGCTTCAGTAAGTACTATATTGTTAACTGTATGGTTATGTGCACTTTTCCTTTATACTGGGGATAGAAAGGGACAGAATTGCCAAGCTTACCAATAATGGAGAACTGATTTCTACCATGAGATTCATTTAACAATAATTTGTTCCTCACAAGAGAAAAGAAGTTTGGATAAACATAATATTTAAAAATGTCACTGTAAAATTAAGTGATGTCATTGTAGCCATTTGCCAAGCTAAGCAATTCAGTACAAAAATGTGTAGACTGTCTTTCTTTTTTGTTAGATTACATATTGGAGAGACATTTTTCAAAAGGATATCCTAGAACTTATTAGCCTTGTTTCAATTAACTTACTCAAAAATGTCCAGCAACTTGAATATATAACTAATTGCCCATGAAATCACAATATCTTGCTTGAGTAAGCATGCTAGAGTTTAATGTCTTTCCATGAAGGAAGAGTGCATCCAACTCTACACATGCACATGTATAAACTGACTTGCAAGGCTTTTTTCCTAGTGGAGAACCAAGAGCCCACAAATTTCCTGCTCAGAACTGGAAAGGGAGGCAGAAGCTTTATGCTTATAGATGTGCTGGGCTTTGGAAATACTCTAAGCTTATCTGAAGCTGAGTGACATGGACAAAAAGCTGTCCCCTAAACCATTTTAGACCTAGGAGGAAGGCAAGGGTCTGTCCCTGTAGTTGTGCTGGAAATGCCTCTGAAGTCCTTCGTTCCTGCCCAGAGCTCTGCATTTATGGATCCTTGCTTTTTGCCTTGGTTTAATAATTCAGAAGCCTCTAAAACATGGTGCTGCTTATGCAACACAACTTCCATTAAACTGAGTGGGAGGCCAGAGCAGTGGTAAGCACAAAACCACAGCTAAGTGGCAAGAACATTTGGAATATTTTGACTGCCATGAAGAGCTATTGTGGTGCAGTGGTTAACAGTGTGAGACTGGGACTCAGGCAGTCTGAGTTCTAGTCCCCACTCTTCCATGGAACTCATTGGGTGATTTTGGGCTGGTTGCAGACTCTCAGCTCAACTTCCCCCACAGGGATAAGATTGAGAGCAGGAGGAGGAGAAAGATGAAAGCCACCTTGAGTTCCATGGAAGAAGGGAAGTCAGGATTACAAATAAATAAATTCATTTTCTTAAGCTGCCTTAATTGCAAGCATCAATATTGGGCATTGTGAAGGGGCAAATAATATTGTCTTGAAAGTTTTATAGGCCCAGAGAGTTGCTCTGGTTTTGCAAAAGGATTATTTTTCTGGTGAATGCTTGCGACTCAAAGTAAATCAAATGAAGCTTTTTTACAATTGATTTGGTGGAATATTACTTCCATTTCCTACTTTATTTCAGGAATATATTTCTCATCTTCCCTGTTTGATAAAGTATGTATTTGTTCAACAGCAATATTTTGTTCTCCTGATTATCACTGACGGAGTGATAACAGACATGGATGAGACCAGATCTGCCATTGTTAATGCTGCCAAGCTACCTATGTCCATTATCATTGTTGGTGTTGGAGGAGCTGATTTCAGTGCCATGGAGTTCCTAGACAGTGACAGTGGAGCTCTGAAATCTCGTTCAGGAGAAGCAGCTATTAGGGATATTGTCCAGTTTGTGCCATTTAGACAGTTTCAGCATGTAAGTATTGTTTCTAATGGACATTATGCTAGTAAGAGAATATAGTATTCAGCCTTCAGCTTCTTTCTACCTGGGCTGATCAAAAGAACAATGAATGCTAAACTTGGGTGTTTTATTCTGAGTTAGTTGATAAACAAGGAATAGATAGAACAACATTCCTATAAGCCAGAAGGTCCCTATCGGATGCCTGAAGATCATCAACTGAATATCTGATTCAAAAGTTTAAGAGAAACCTGAGCATTCTTGCCCATACAGCAGCCAGAATATTGCAAGACTCACTGTTATTCATTAGCAGAATAGCACAGCAGTGGTTATTTGATAGGGTAGCAGCTCAGGGATCAGGCATGCGCCTTTTGTAAATGCACCTGTTACCTGTTCTGTGCCTATAATTGCTGTTTAAGAAAAAAGACAGACAGCTGGGAGAAGGTAGGAGAATAATTGATTTGTTTTCATTAAGGAACTGTTTGATCAAAATGTAGAAGTAGTTGAGAATTAGCCATAATGTAGGAACTGAGTCATTTGGCTAGTGCATTGTGTGAAGAGAAATCACTGTTGTGTCCTCTGTGTGTGTGTGTGTGTGTGTGTGTGTGTGTGTGTGTGTGTGTGTGAGAGAGAGAGAGAGAGAGAGAGAGAGAGAGAGAGAGAGAGAGAGCGCGCGCACTACCATAGTGTCCAGTTGCATCCAATTAATACGAAAAAGCTGATCAGTCACCCCGGAGTGAAATAGCTGGGGATCACAAGTCTGGATCACAAGTCTATTGCATAAATACCATCTTATTTATGGCAATTTTATTTGTTGGATGAAAGTGAAACATAAACATTATTTTGTGCTGTAGAAAGTACTTTTCAATACCTGTTTGTGTTTCAAATCTTGTAATAGGATTCTGCACATTTTATGCTTCATTTCTTCTCCTTTCTGAAAAGCTGAAATTAATGCATCCCCATTCTTTATTTTCCAGTACTTGCCTGGGAAACTGCCTGGGCAAGGAAGGGAAAAATGTTTGGTCTTTATATGCTGATTTCTTGCCACTGTGTGGTGTACTTTAAACTTTCTAGTTAATAGTTTGCTTTTCTCACTCTCTAACTGGGTTCACTTTCTATGAAAGTTGGATCCTGCTTATAGCATCATATACTTGATTCCTGTAATATATAAGGATTGTCCTTGGAGAAGTAGTTCAAATTAGTATGTAGATCCTATAGGCTAAGGTTCAGGTTATAGATGCTAGGGGAAAATCCACTAATTAAGCAAACTCGGTTGCTTAATTTTTATGTTGAGTTACAGCACTGCACCACGGCAAATTATATGGGCATTACATACAAATTATTCTTTCTGGGTATTCTTATTCCCTGAGATCTGCCAAGCACTTGGCACACTACCTTTAAACACATAAAGCACACCAGCTTTTGAGCAGGTAGGAGCTAGTCAATACTTAGTGAATAACCCTAAACCAATGGAAATAGGCAAGTAAGAGTGAGTGAGTGAGTGTGTGAGAGAGAGAATGGGAGAGAGAATGAGCAAGCTTCCGTATAACTTCCAAGAGTAGGTAGAATCAGGGTAAACAGGGTTGGGACTGGTTGAAATCTGGATGAGTGACTTAATGTTGCGAACTACCCAGAGAGCTTTGGCTACGGTCAGTATAGAAAATGCATTGTTATTATCATCATCATCATTGTTGTCATAATCATCATCAATAATAATTGTCTTCCCAAGTCACTTGGAACTTGGGAAGATTATCCCCATGTGTTTTGTTTGTTTGTCTTCTGACTCTCTCCTTTGTTTAAGGCTCCCAAAGAGGCTCTTGCCCAAAGTGTCCTGGCAGAAGTGCCACAGCAAGTAGTGAACTACTTCAGCACATTCAAGCTCCAGCCTCCAAACAGGCCTACAACCAAGCAAGCGGAGAGCTGAGCAGGAAATGCAGGCGTCAGTTCCTGAGATGGGGGAATCCCTGTACCACCTGCCTTTGTGGTGCCAGTGCAGTGTGGTGGAGAGAAACGCCTTTTGAATGCATTGCATAAGACATGAACTGTAAAGCTAGCCTCACTTACTTTCATTCTGAATTGCCAAAGGTGTATTTTGTTTAACAGTCCATTGCAGATGAGATTAAAAAGTAGTTCAGGCCTACAAAAGTTACAGTATACATCTTCAGGAAAACTGGAGTCCTTTCTTTCCATATTATTTGCATTTTTAGCAAATACCTTCAGCACTGTCTCATCCCAAATCAGAAGCTGTTTTTGAAAATGCTTCCTTGTATTTTGTTGTGAGCAAGCCACAATTATACATATTTCTCCTGGTTTTATTTGTGTGCCATCAGTGAAATTGTTTTGGCTGATTTGTCTAAAATGATTGTGCATTGTGTAATAGATGAATTATGTAAACTTGGTCCAAACAGGAAAACACAAAATCAATGCTAACATGCATGCATGTGCTTTCTTCCAAGACCAAGAGTGCCTACCTTCGGTGCCCTTGTTTCACTTCATGTTGACATTATCCTGGCACTACAATTGTGTTATAGTGAGGTGTCAGGTTGATTTTTTATTGTGACCAATAAATGCCATATCTACTTTTGTGGATAGTAATTCATTTTGAAATATTAGTTGTTCTAATTGAAGAGGTTATCGCTAAAAGTCTGTATGTTCAGTGGGTCTCTTGTAGCAGGCTATTGATTACTTTCAGTTTTTGTTATGTAAACTTTGCACGCTTTTGCATAACATTTTAAATTTTGATCAGTGGTAGCAAAGCCAAGCCACCAGTGACTTAGTCATTGAAAGGAAAACTAAGTCCCTGAAATGTAGAAATACGTTGTAGTCGGCTATTGTATAATCATTATTTACTGGATCATTACTTCCTTCTTTCAGAATAAGCTGCGCTTTGACTCCAAAATCGACTCCATATGTTGAATGATGCCATTATTCATTAACCTGATTTGCCTGAACCAAACAACACACAGCCATGCATGAGTGGGAGGGAGTGAGCATGTTGCATGCAGTATATGAGCTTCTGCTTTTGTCCAGCAGTGCACAGTCAGCTGCTGTAGGTTGCTGAATGCCTGAACTCAGACCTCTGGGTTATTTAGGGGCTCAACAACTGCGCAGTTAACCTGTGGTGTGTTGTTTGCTGTGTTGTATGGTTAACTGCCTTGTTTATCAGTTTTCCTTGGCCTGTCACACTCAGCCACCTATACAGGAGCCAAATGTGAGATATTGAGTAAAAACAGAAATGACAGTGTGCCCACATTCTCCTTCTCCCTCACCCGTGGATTGCCTTACATGTGTGCTGGTTCATTTTCATTCTGAATTTAGCAGTCCTGCCAATATCACTGTATTTTATAGGGAAACCCTACAGTAAAGTCTTATATTCTCCATCTGGGATTTTACTTTGTTTGCAGACTTGTCACTAGCAAAAGAAAACAGTATTTTATACAGGTTCTTATCCCCCATGCACTTCATTCCTTGCAGTATCTAAACTTTGCTGCACCTTTTCTTAAGACAGGCCATCTCACAGCAGTAGTGTGGTCTCAACCTTGCAAAGTTTATAATTGACTGCTAAATTTATGTGGTCTTGATCTTTTGAACATCTCCTGGTAACTTAATTCTAGAGCAAAACCTTTTAAATATTACTAAAAGATTTACTTAGTAACAAAGTTTATTTTACTTTGCCACTCCCTGTGCTTTTTCAGCATGAATTTCTTGACAACACGTTAGCACCACCTTGTGGTAGAATATAATTACTGTTTCTGTAGCAGAAGGAACACCTACTTGTTACTATTTCCTATTTTCAAAGCAGAACTGTAGCTCTGAGGAAAACATTTTGTATTATGGGCTTTGCGTGAACTGCACCAGACCTTTGAGTTCCCTTTTCTCTGAAGTCAGGTAGTTCTAGCTACCTCCTGCTTTTCTACTTTTAAACCACATCATTCACATGGGCATGTAAGCTGCATGTGTACATGTGAAACAACAAATGGAATCTATAGAAGTCTTTAAGCTGAGGTGTGGTGTGTACATAATGAATTTATGTACTGTATTCTTACAAAAGGGAAATACCAAAAGCTTTGGCTGGAATCATGATAAGCCAAAACAAACAGAACAATAGTTTCGTTCTTCAGAATGAATAGGAAACTCAAAGATGTTCCTTGCCCCTTGAGTTCTTTGCATCTGACTGTACAGGACCTCAGCAGTGCAATATTCAAAATAAAAGGTGTCATTAAGGATGCTTGGATGGGGCTTATGCTTTCTGACTGGAAGATTGGGATGCTTCAGGATTTGGCCATGACTGCAGCCAGGTTTTTAACTGGCTAATTCAAAGGTGCACGTGTAAGTTAGTTGGCAGGGTGGTGCCATGGCAATCCAGTAGGAATTGTATGCATGTATGTATGGTTACAGGGAACAAAGAGGGGAAGCAAGTATGTTCTGTTACTCCTATCTCTCTGTGGCAGTTCCAGAATATTAGCAACTTTCCTGGTACCTTTTCAGTCTGCTTCATTAACCAAAAATGTATTCTTGTGCAAAGGTAATGCCTTTGGTGATACCAGTTAAATCAATAGCATGCCATACATTTGCCATACATATTTCAGAAAGCTAGAACATCTGAACCTGCTTTGGAACAAAGGGTAGGCAACCTGTCTTCCTTCAGATGTGTTTGATTGCAGTTCTCGTCTGCCTCAGCCACTGTAGTCAATGGTCATGGGATGTAGTTATCATATTTAGGGGCTGCAAACTTGCCTACCCTGTAATATGCTGTTACTTGTATAATACTGTTTCCTATATTTGATGATGATAAATGTGATAGAATCTTAGTGCCATACAGAACAATTTATTAAACTCCTCATTCTTCCTAATAGTTCTGTCTTTTGCCCTTTTTTTCACTGTGAATATTTATTTGATTGTTGTGGCTTTCTAGCCAAATAGAGAAAATACCTTTGACATGTTGTTTGAAAAACTAGCAGGATTATGGATGTCCAAGAAATCCGGAATGGACTCAAATGCATTCAAATTTCTAAGACTCGAATACTCCAGTTTATCAGCAGACCAGCTTGTGTGGATTATACATACGTGTGGACTTCTTTTTCTGCAAATATGACCAAGAAATGTGCCCAGAGGTTAAAGTGTAAAAATGTGCTTTTCAGTGATTTGGGTATTTGGGGACAATGTGTACATTTCAGGAGTTCAGATTTGTGCAAGTATAAACTTGTGCAAATGCATATGAATGCCGTATCAGTGCTTCAGGAATGCCACTCAGAACCATGCTGTTCTAGGGTTGCATCTTCTGATATATCCCTTGCCAGAAAATAGTGTGATGATTAGTGCTGGACAGGAACCTGAGGGTTATAGTTCTCACTCAACCATGTGGCTCCTTGTGTGACTTTAGGTCATTCACTTACTCTTAGCATAGTCTCCCTCACAGGGTTGTTGTAAGAATAAGTTGGAGCTCTGTAAGCCACTTAGGGTTCCTCACAATTGGAAAAAAGACTCAACATAAATGCACTGTGGAGGTGGTGCCACCCTCAGTAAGTTTGCACATAATGTATGGTGCCACTCTGCTGCACTCAAAATATTCTGTGGGCACCACCATGGCAAGAAGCCACTTGGTTAACTCTGAAAGGCTAGTTACTTATTTTCATTACTATCCCTTCACACTCCAAATAAGATGCCACACTTCACTGGTGGTTATATTCCATTATTTCAGAATCAAATGTAAATTCACACTGTTAAAGAGTAGTAAGAATTTGCTAAGAAGGAGCAGTGTGTGACCCAGAAAGAACCAAGAACTTGAGTTCTGTGCAGGCTGCTTTATGGGAAGGGCTGCAGAGTCCACAAGCAAGACTTCGTCTAAAGTGCTAGGAGGTTTCGAAGTATTGCCTCCTCTCCATGCTTGCATGGTAGAATATGTTTCACTGGATTAACAGACAGAGGCAATACCTTACACAGAAAGCTGTTCAATAGACTATTAGCCACCTAGCTTAGTACTGTCTATTGATTGGCAGCTTTCCAGGGCCTCAGCAAGATGTATCTTCTAGCCCTACACTGGAGGTACCAGAGACTGACCTGAAGACCTTCTGCATGCAAAGCATGTGTTCTGTCACTGTGCTAGAGTTCTTCCCCAAAGATGACTTTCCCATTCAGTGTCTAGGTTTATTTATAGAGCTGAATAAGTACTGCTGTTCACCCACCCTTTGCCTAATGTTTCAGGGCAGGTAACATTTGGACATAATACAAACACTTAACCATCAGGCTTAATGGATAGATAAGTCCTTGTTTTGGCCTCTAAGTTGTCTAAATAACTGTGCAATGTGTTTGAAAGATATGACTGCTTGTTTACCTGCAGACCTTTAAGTATAACTTGATAGGATCAGCTGATAGTGAGAAGTGGGTGAGCATTATGAGTGTTAGCTTTTGCCAAATACAACCATTGCTTTAATGCCAGGCAATCCCTATTTTTATAAGCTTATTTGTAAAACCCCTAAAAACTTGACCCATGTCTGTAGCTTCTCCTGCCTCTTCTGTTTTATCTGTTTCCCCTTGTTAGAACCCTATGCCAATCCTTGAGTATAGATGTGCCTTTTGACTGCCACGTTTCTTGTTAAAAAGTCTTGGTACAGATTAAATCAATTATTATTAATAATAATAGCCTGTTGGTGGCGTCATGAGCTTCAACATCTGAACACTCAATAGGACAAGCAAGTGCTGAATGATCCAACCATGAAATGACAGAGGCATAAAAAAAGCAAGTTAGCTTTTTCCTCATCAGGTAGAAAAAGAGTTCCTGGAGAGTGTCCTATCCTTCAAGTAAAGTAGAAAGTGGGCCAGTTTACATGATAACTTCTTGAGTTCTTGGGATGTCCAAAGCATGATTTGCCTATTAACCACCTGAGTGAGATTATTCTGTTGTCTAGACCCAGGCAACATGGCTTGTTGGAGGGGGAAATCCTCAAGCCGATCACATTGCACATGTGCTGAGGATTAAACAAGTCATGGTGGCTTGTTTAACCCTCAGTGATTGTGCAAGCCATATTAGTGTCCTGAACAGTTAAAGCCTACTTTAGAAACCCTAGTCCAGTTGCAGAGCATATGTTGCACATCCATATGGCCTAGTTCTGAAGCCCCCAGTTAGAAAGTAGGAAAAGACTTGTAGGACTCCCTGAAGAACTGATGTTGGCCAAGATGTAGTAGTGGTGGCTACCAATTGGGATGGCTTTAAAAGTGGATTATTTGGATTCATATAGGAGAAGGTTATCAAGCAATATGCTTCATGGTGGCTATATGCTGACTGACTGGCCATAGCAGCAGCTTTCATTAACCCACCAAATTGTGAGGACGTGCTCTATGCATGAGCTGCTTCCAGTTTCCAGCAGTATCCTATGAATACAGCATTCACAAATTGTTTCTGTACGGTCCATACTTGGGCACTTGACATTGTTTGTGGGTTAAACAACCCCAGCTGGATGCATGGTTTTTTTTCTCATCCCCACAATTCATGGGTTAGTTAACTTTTAAATTACCACTTGAAACCCACTTATGTCTGAAGAGAACCAGGACCTCCTGTAACAGACCTCTATACTTTTTGTTGGAATGCATGTAGGAAGGTGCTGTAGCTCTCAAACTCCTTGTGAGCTTCCTGTGAGCATTAGGTTGGCTATTGAGGGACCAAATCCTGAACTAGAGAAGGTTTTAGGTTGATCCAGCATGGCTGTTCTTATGGCAGAAATATAATACTGGGCAGAAAATCTCTGCTTTGATTTAAGATGGGCAGATCACTAGGGAAATGTAAGGAATCTGTTGGATTCCCTGGCTCAGCTCTGCTGACTCAAGGCCACTTTGACCTGGCCTTGGGTCTGAATTTCTGGCAAGTGTGTCCAGTGTTCATGCAGTGCTTGCCAGGAATGAAGCCCTGTGCAAACACTGCCCTAGCAGTGTCCCTCTTTCAGGCCATGTACAGGAGCCTATATGCTGCTGCATGTGACAAGAGAAGGTTTCCAGTTTCAGGCTTCTCAGTTCAGCTCACTTTCCAGAAGAGGAAGTCTGAATGCTAGAGGAACAGATTCCATGGAGCTTCGGCACATCCCTGCTGATCACACTGACATAACTGGAATAGCTAGCCACATCGTTCATCTGCCTTGGATCCTTCACGGTATTCCAGTGGTGAGTGCATTTTATGGATGCTCCTTAAACTTTAGTGTAGAAATTTCATTTCATGTAGCAGCAAGAACATTGCACTAAATGTTCTTTAACTGCTGGCTCAATTCAAAAAATTACTCCTGCAAGGCACAGATTGTATCTCTTCAGAGGGCAGAGCTGCAAGAACCTGATAGGAGGGAAATCAAATTTGTTAATATGCTAATAGCCCCATAGCAACTTTTTCTGAATTTCTGGCCTGTTGCAGACATTTAATACTCAGGTGCTCCTGATAAGAATGTGAAGTGTCAGAACTAACTGATGTCCCCTTCATGTGATCCTCTTCCTAATCTGATGACATTAGGACAAAAAAGGCTCATAAAGCTGCAGATTGTGTTTAAAGCAGCTCAGTTAGGTATGAACTGACCTTTCTGCCAGCAGTGGTTTATTAGCCTGAGAAGAAATGGGGCTGTTATTCTGAATGGTTACTGCTCTGAATGAAATAGTGGAACAAGACAGATCTATAAGAAAGAGACTCTAGTGGGAAAAACCTATCATGAGTACACATTCCCATAATGTTATTCTCCAAGGTATACGTGCTCACCACTTATGGCTGGGGGAAGTTTTCAGTAGTTGTGAAGCAATCAAGAGTTTTTTTCCAGCAAGAACTTTTTTTTTCAGCTGCCAAACATACCACACACAAGCATTTGTTGTGGTGGTGCTCCCAGTCCAACTTAACTGGTAGTCATGGGGCAGAGGTAAAGAGACGATTGACAATGCGCCAGATGCAAAATGTTGCCTGGAGCCAAAGCTGATCTAGCCTGCATCATCCCCAGCTAGCATAGTAAGATACCTTGGCAGATGTCACACATCCCACCCTCCACCCCAAATCCTGTATCTTCCAGACATGTCCTCTTCAAAAGCCACTTATCCCACATCTTGCCACTATGTGAAGGGAGTATCGTCATCCAAACTAGCTGGAAGGTAGAATGGAATCACAAAGAGTTGCCATTACCCCTAGTTCATCCATTCCTGCCTGACATCCTTGATCTCTTAGATATACTTGGAATAACTAAAACAAGGCCCAAACTGACACCCTAGTTTTAGTCCCCAGGCCAAAACATTGCACAGTAGCAAATCACCCTGCAAAAATGCACAGAAGCTAGCACTGAGTTTTACCTGCAAGGAGGCACACAAAGTTGTAGAGGTAGATAAGTAGTTTATTGAGACGGGAGAGGAATGAAGGCTTATACAATCCCCAAAACACACACCGCACACTCACGGATAGCCTTTGACAGAATATTCCAAGCATCATAACTGAACCTATCCTATATATTGCCGAAGCAAGGCTGTCTCACAGGTCAGGCCTCAGTCTGTGTCACCAGCCTGCAAGCAACTGACCCAAGAAAGCTACTTCCCATCAGCCCCTTTGTCACCCAGCAGGGCAGATTTCCTGTAGCCAGTCCCGGGTCAATTCCAGCACTGGGATACTTAGAGTGGACTACTTTCTCATGAGAACCCAACTGTAATCCTTTGACCCAGCAAGAGAAACCAAGCTTGGCCTTCAGCACTGGAACTATCCTGAGAGTTCAAGTCACATGTGTTTACATCACTGTGTGTACACAGGTCTTAGCCTGATGCCTGGGGCAGCCAGAGGGGAAAATTTACACTTCTGTAACTCTCAATCAGAATATCCAGTCCCAAGGTATTTGTCTTGATATTATATGTACGATATTTTGCCTCAGTATGTTAGTTTAAGAGCTAAAGTCCTGTTCAGAATATGAGTAGAATCCTCGCGTATTAAACCAAAGGTCCACAGCATTCAGCATCTTGTGTTCTACCTGTGTCCTGCCAAATGCCTCTGAGAAATGCTCAATGACAAGAGGTCAAGCAAGCGTGAAGAGTATCTCTCAGACTGAAGGCCCAATTCAGTTTTGGAGAATCTCTCAAAGGCCACCTTCCAGAGATGGATGGGGTGGAAGATAAAGGGAACAGGGACAAAAGCAAAATGGTGCTATTAACCCCCTGCCCCCACTTCCAAAATATTAGTAGCTTAAAGTCTTTACTGCTAGTTAATTTGATTCAGTAGAGACATTTCAGTGGAACAGATAGCAGGGTAACTACACAAAACCTGAGTAACCACCAAATGCTTGGTGGTAGGGGGAAGGGGATGAAGTTGGAGGAAGACGGTGTGGTCTCTTGGTGAATCTAGAGGGCAGGATTTGCCCCTGGAGTTTCCCCACACCCACTGGTTTTCAGTGCTACATTGCATATTTTGGAAAGTTCTCATTTGAGCCCACACAGTCTTAAATTGAAATTTGTCCAGTTATATGACAAAATCTTGGCCTTTACTAGAAAATAAGCATCAAACACCCACAACTGTTTAATGTGCTAGCCAAGCAAATACTCATTGCTCTGACTCTTATGTGTGGTACTGTTAAAAAGTGGACTACAAATCTTTGTGATTATGTTTTTATTTACTTGTAACACTGATTCTTTCTACATTCTTTCTACAAGGATCCCCAAAAGTATTATGTACGCAATTGCCACATAGTGTCCAATCCAAGATACTCCAGGGACTGCATCTGCTTACCTTTAGCAATGGAGCTGTGCCATATGCCTGCCTGCCTTTCTAGGGGCACCTTTAGATGGCAATCGTATGCACATTTACCTGGGAGTAAGTCCCACTAAACAAAAGTAGACTCTTTTCCAAGTAACCCTATGTAGGAGGGAGCTGTTGGCTGGGCAGTAACACTAGTGTAAAAGTACAGTTATAATGGGGATTTCCATATGAATTTTTCTTTAACCTCATAATCCTGATCTGCTCTTCCCTTCTTTTATACATGAATGGTTTTCTTCACTGCACATCTCCAATGCTGCTCACTAAGGCATCGAAAACAAGGAATGGATACAGAAACACACTTCATAGGTAGCCTTGTGTCCTTTGCAGAGGACAGCCCTCTGTGTGAAGGACTATGTAGTCCAAGTCTAGCTTAACAATACAGAAGCAGGAGGTGGAGCTGGGTCTTGAAGTTGTCTCGCAAGAGAACTTGAAGAGCAGACCCAGCAGTCCCATAGCTCACCTCTTCAGTCTTCTTAGTTGCAGTGGGATGCAGGGGATATTGAAATATTTTCTTAAATTTGCATGCATATAAATTAACATACACAAGTTTTATGCAAATCAGTGTCCTCTTTTCACTGTATTTTGATTGAGTCATTTCTTCTTTTGGATGATGCATAAGTGACTAGCCTACACTTTTGTCAAAATATAAAGGAAGCCAGAAAAGAAAACCAATTAACCCACATACTAAGTAAGATGTGCATCTACAAGTAGAGCTGTGTGAAAGAGCTTTAGAAGGAAAAAGGAAACATCAGCATAAAGCATGTATTTGAGCTGAATGCCAATAAATATTTGAACTGATAAATTAATATATGGATATTTATTATTATTATTTATAAAGTGACAACCATTTATATGGTGGCTTACAGAGTTAGACAAGCAAAACAAGACAGCTTGCTGTTTTCAAGGAGCAGCCATGTGACTGCTGTTTAGGTGGAATGAAGAAGTGAAAAGGCTAAGACAAAATGTGGTTCTGGGAGCTCAGTAAAAGCAGGTAAAAAAAGGAAGCTTTTGTAACTTTTTTTTAAAGAACAGCATTTAAACACCATACTTTTCTTTTAAAACTAAGTTGGTTAAAGAATAATCTGACTAAAGAAATAAATCTATCATTATTCTTAAAAGTGATGCTCTAGCAGAATTGAAGTTGGCTAAAGTCTAGCTAAGTACTGCTATCTAAGTACTGCTGTATTGATGAAGAAATTAAAGCTGTCAGTTCCAAAATTCATAATACTACAAATAAAGTAAAGTATGCAGGCACACCTCAGACTGCTGCAGCCCTCAGCTTTTTTCTTTAGTTTCATGTGATGGTGTGTAAACAAAGAGCTGTCAGTTTAGCAAAGATGGTGAAGCTATAGTAGATGGAATGCCAGCTCCCATCACCATTCTGGCTGGGGATGCTGGCAGTTGGAGTCCAACACAGTTGGAGGACAACCAAGTAGGCTGGCAAAGATTGAAAGAGATACAGCCTCCACACATAATTATTTCAGTGAACTCAAGGTGCTTCCAGACAAGGCTTTCATTTGCTTGACTCATTTACTAAATTTTACCAGGAAGGAGTGGGGAGTTTCCTTCTGTCCACCTGTGCCCCAGACGATATTATCCTCCAGTTGTAGCCCTCCCATGTTTTTCCACCACTTCTGTCTTTTTCCCTACTGCATAAAATCAGTAAAGAGAATCCTCTGTCTGGAAAGCCCCCTTTGTAGACACTGGTATGCATGAAGCTCAGATTTCAAGCTGATTTGGGTGGTAAGTGCTGCAGTGAGGATGCAGTGGGCCTCCCCCTTCCACTGCGCATGCAGAGGGCTAATTTGCCCTCTTTGCCCTTTAAAACAGAGGTGCCGTTTTTAGAGTGCTGTTGTGGACACTCAATTTATGCAGTCCCGGCCATCATGCATATCAGCAAGATCTGCCAGTTAAGGCTGTTTCCTTTCTTTGACTTCAACAGTAAGGATTTCTCCTTCTCCAGGCATGTCAGAAGGAGTCATGGTAATGATGAGGGACTGGTTAGTGATTCCTCTGAGCAAAGCTGGTTTAGCAGGAGGAGTTGTTTGTGGTCGGCTGTTGGCAACTGTCTTTATTTCCGGGGCAGGTGCTTCACCATGTGTTTGTGTAGTTTTGGCCTCGAGATCTTGAACAGGGCCCTTTTCTGCAGGTTTGGTTTGAAGCTTTGCTTTTTCCTTTTCCTTCTTTTCTTTTTCTGCTTTTTCTCTTTCTGCTTTTTCTCTTTCTTCCTTTTCTTTCCTTGCTTGTTCTTCCTTAGCTTGCCTTTCTTGTTCTTCCCTTTCTTTTTCTTCCTGAAACAAAAACAGTTAAATATTAACTTCTGTTTTTCGTTTTTTCTTTTTCTGCTTTTTCTTGTTCTTCCTTTTCTTTCTTTGCTTGCTCTTCCTTTTCTTTTTCCTCCTGAAACAAAACAATTAAGTGTGATTAAGTACAAATCCTTGGGAAATCAAGACCACACAGTTTGCTTTGTCCATAGTGAAAAGGTGAGCACAATTCACCAAGTGCAGCTAATCAGCAAGCCCGATTCATTTCAACATGGCCTAAACTGCATTTGGAGTCCTTCTCAAGTTTACCAAGTTTATGGAATGCTGCTTAAACAACCTCGTAAAAGTATACAGGTGAATTTTTCCCTAAACATGTTGTCAGTATGATAAGGTGAGGCATGACCACATTCTGTTAGTTTTCTATCGTTTCTATGAGGATGCCATGTGTAAATTGGAAGGCAAAGACCACCAAAGAGTGACTTGTCCTGTTAAAGCCACTTAAGCCCAGGGTCACCTCTATATTTGTTGCAAGGAACTACCTAAGTAAATTAAGGCTAGAACCCTACACATACCTACTGGGAACTTCCTATCAAAGGATCTCTGCTAAGTTCTGTCCCTTCTTAGATGAATGCTAAAGAGCTTTTTATCCTGCAAATGTGTTTCCTTGAATAATTTTATTTCTAACTTTTAAATGTTTTATTTTTATGCATTTTAATTGAGATTGTGGATTTTGTTACTTATATGTTCTTTTGGTTTGCAAACCAACTTTGAATGTTGTAAAAAGTACTGGTGAGATATCAGTGATTTAAAATAACTTCATAAACTCAAATATGCCAAAAGCCCCATTAATTTATGAAGCAGGGAAAAAGTGTCAAGGCCAAATACTTATTCCCTGTATTGCTCCTATCAGACACTGACTCCATCTTGACACTTCTGGCTTGCATTTATAGTTTCCCATTCTACTAGTTGGTTCATCAGCCTTAAGACAGAGTTCCCTGATTCATACCTAAAAGAGAATGATAATTTAATACAAGCCAGGATCTTCACTATCCAAGGATCATATTATTGATGTCCCTTCATGGCTTCATGATTTATGAAGCCAGGAATGATCACTCTACCTGGCCTAACAAGACCTACTTCTATGAAAATAAGCTTTATTTGGTTGTGCTTTGTGTTGCATGTAGTACTACTTTTTTCTGTCCTGAATCATGACAGCTGTTTTCATTAGAATGGTTTTAAAAAAAACTCTCTTCCCTTTAAAAACTGTTTCCAGCACATCAATTTGCACATTTTCCTGTATTTATAAATCCAGTGTAAGTGCCTATGTACTTAGTGCATGGGCATGGTTGAAGGTGTGCATAACCCCATGGCACGGGAAAGACATGACACGTGAAAGTGTAAGATTCATGTTTTAAAACTCTTAGTATGGCAAACAAGCAAAGGCAATAGTGTGTGTGTGAGAGAGAGCGACAGAGAGAGAGAGAGAGAGAGAGAGAGAGAGAGAGAGAACGAACCACCAAAGATTCATAGGACTAGATTCCTTACTGTTGGATGTTCCTTCAACTTGACCCACCCTGAGATGTTCTTCTCCCTGTCTGTTATCTTTTCCACCTTGCACACTGCACTTCCCAAATGTGTGAGTACCTGGGCCTCGCGCTCTCTCTTCAGCTTGATAACTGCAGCCATGCCACCACTTTGCCCACCAAGCAATGCTTTGAACATTTTGGGTGGTTCTATTTTCTGTGTGAGTAGAGAAAGGCCTTTGACAGGTTGTGGTGGTCCTCCAACAGGCTTCCCAGTCTTCTTTATGAGTGCTCTAGATGGGTGGATATAGAAAAGTACATGTAAATTCCAGTTCAAAACTCCCAGAACAACCATGTCTCTTTAGAATATTTCTTCCATTCTCTATTAATCTTTCTGATTCTAGTTTCCCAGCCAGCCAACAAAATATATCCAGCTTTCTCACAAGTTTTATTTAAGGATCAAATGATAAATGCAACAAATACAGTAGATCAGTGCAGCTCTTCTGGCTGACAAAAGTAGCCATAAGAAATTAAGGAAAACTTGGCTGGATCAGGTCCATCTCTTCCAGCTTCTGGTTTCCCACAGTGCCCAATCAAATGCTTCTGGGTAGCCCAAAAACATGACAGCAACTGCCCTTTCCCATTGATTTATCCTAGCAGCTAGTACCCAGAGGCACAAGCCGTTTGAAGGCCAGCTGCCCAGGTTCTCTATCCAAGTTGCTTTAGTGGGCATTTTTATTTATATACGTATTCTAGGAGATACAGTACATGCACATCTTACTGCATATGTATCTTAGAAACCAATTATTGTAACTTTTGAAAGATGAATGCTTCAGATATCCAGTAACAGTCTTAAAAGTTGAAGCATCTGCAAATACCAGTTGTGAAACTATGCATTCCAAAGAAACTTTGTTTTTATATTAGAAGATAGTTTTTTCTATATTGTCTTCCAAGATATGTTACATTACTTAAGATGGCTCAATAGAATAAACAATAAAAAGATAAAAATAACACACCAGATTCCTTCTGTTTAGATTGTACTTTTCTGGTGCATTCAGCTTGAGTCATCTCTCATCCAACATTACTGTGATAGGTTAAAGCCATGTGTAACAATTGGGAGTGCTCCTCGACCCAGAGCTTTCATTGGAAGCTCAGGTGACAGCAGTGGCGAGGAGCGCTTTCTTTCAGCTTCGGCTGATCCATCAGCTGTGCCCCTACCTGGAGAACGACTGCCTGGCGACAGTGACACGCGTTGGTGACTTCCCGACTTGACTTCTGTAATGCACTCTGTGTGGGGCTACCCTTGAAGATGGTCTGGATACTTCAATTGGTTCAAAATAGGGCTGCCAGGCTGCTGACAGGAACTGGGCGTTATGTTCACATGACTCCAGTCCTCCGTCAGCTTCACTGGCTTCCCATTGAAGTCCGGGCCCAAATCAAGGTGTTGGTGATGACCTATAAAGCACTTAACGGCTTGGGTCCTGGTTACCTGAAGGAGCGCTTACGTCCATATATGCCCGCCCGTCCCTTGAGATCTGCAGGAGAGGCCCTTCTCCAGGAACCCTCCGTGAAGGAAATTAGGAGGGTCAGTACTTGGAGGAGGACTTTCTCTGTGGTGGCGTCCCATCTATGGAATGCGCTCCCCAGAGAGGTCCGCCTGGCGCCGTCGTTATTTGTTTTTCAGCGCCAGGCAAAGACCTTTTTATTCAAATGTTATTTTAATTGTTAATATTATTTATTCATTTTATTCTTTGGCCAGGGCGACTTAATTTATATTGTTAATTCATATTGTTAATTTATATTATTCTATCTTGAAGTTTATGGTTGTGAGCCGCCCCGAGGCTTCGACGAATGGGACGGCATAGAAGTCTCCTAAATAAATAAATAACAATAAGCATGTTTGAGAAGCAAATAATTTTCTACATGTGTTGCACACAATTGCCTCTATATCTAAGACAATTGCTATATAGTATTGTGGAATGACCTACTTTCCTTTCTTCCTCAAGAGCTTTTCAGAGTCTGGATAGTGCACCAATATTTCATTGAGAGTCTTTTTGTCAAGAATAAAAAGATTGGCAAATCCATGGGCCACCACATTTGCTGTCCGCCGATTTCCTCCACTTGCTGCTAATAGGCTAAAGTGGAAAAGAAAATAGACCTCACACTCTAGTTCCAATTTTCATCACTCTATGCAGCTTGGTTAGTTACTGATCTTTCCTTTCAAGAAATTCTCTAAGGATATTTTGAAATCTAAATTTGTAAATCTATAGCCTGTACTCTGTCAATACGGAAAACAGGTGTTCTCCAAACTCTTTCAGATATAATTGCAAACATTTGAAAAGAGTATATCTGCACCCCGTGTTCTTGGTTTTTATGGTTCTGACTTACTTCGATGATTTATTCAACTTACCAGCAGTCATCCTGAGCTGCAATGCCAAGTACCGAGCACAGCATACTGTGTAGCAGGTGGGATTGTGCTGGCATGTGTTAATTGGGGTGAAGCATCGTTCTGCTTTGCTTTAAACTGGGAGTCTCACTCCCTTAGGTAAAAGTGGGTGGAGACCAGCCCCCCATCCCCATCTCTCCCCTTCATCATCCATTCACATAAAACACACACACACAAACATGAACTCTGTTCATTCTTCACTCATTCTTTCTGTCCCAGTTCAGTTCAGGAGAATATATCACAGTGGCTTATTTCCACTGTGACCATGCACTGGGGGATATGCATAATTACCCGCAGCCCTGTAGCATGCTGTGTTGTGCAAACCCATCTGGGGTGGCTTTGTTAACCCTAAAACAGCTCATGCATCATGTGAACCCAGTCTCTCTGTATTGCATCCTCTCTCTCTCTCTTATGCTGTGTATGTGTGTCGCACAGAAATGTACACATGTATCCTATCACTCAAGGCTAAGTTTAAAGAGGTTAAGAATCCCAGTTCATTTCTTAATTCCTGCTGCCTGCCTTTGGCTATGTACAGCAATGACAAGAATTGTTGCCTTGATCACAGACAACAGAGAGAATCAAGTATTCTCTGGATTCCTGAACTGAGAGCAATCGTCTCCAGAAACAGAGGCAGAGAGACAATGGAGACCTGTAACAGAAGAATAGTACACATGTACGGCATCAGTTCTGCCTGCCAATTTCTGTCTTCCCTTCCTCCCTATGGTAGTGGCCATGGTTCTCTGGATGCAGGAGAAACAAGCCTTGCACAGAGCTAGTTAAGCAGCAGAGAAAGCTGTCTCTAAAAAAGACAACTGGTGCCAGTGTCTGCTTTAGTGTGAGATGCACACAGTATATTTTGCATGAGTGGTGGGCAGAATCATGGCACATACAGGAACTAGCAGAAGTTCTCCAGGGACTAATGCAATCTCTCTTGGCATCTCAGAAGCCAACAGGCCTGGACAAGTACTTGATGTACAGATGAAACTTGTTCTCTGAGCAAGTCTGGAAAAGGCATAGGAGGCACATGGAGAAAGGAAGGTGGAGGTCAAAACCTGCATGTTATTCCCAGTCCATGAGTTTCCCACCTCTGCATTAAATTTTGTACATAGTACTGATGTTAACACATATGATAGAATAGCATATAAATAAATGCAGTGCTGCTTCTGAAGTTCATATATAAATTAATGCTTGTGGGTGATAAATGGCAGTACAAGTATTTTTTCTTTGAAAAGATTAGATCAGGCCCGTACGATTTGTTGTCCATTAAGCTAAATAAAGCAGAGTGATTTTCTATCCTTATATACTATTCTTAACTCTGGAGAGCCACTGTCCATGGATGGTAAGTTGTCTATGATCAGGGTTGGGGAATGCCAACTAAACAAACACTTTTTGTCAAATCAATGGATTCTACTTCAGTGCCACAAAGGAGTAAATTCATCTTTGCGTGAGTGGGGAAACATATGGCTCAGCTCAAAGACTAATTTACAGTACCTTAGAATTCCAGCTGTCAAGGTCTGTGGGAATAATTGACACTTGCTTATCAGACCTGCTGGGCTCAAGGATGCCTCAAGATGGTGGTCTAAATGTGTATAATTGCTGGCAGCTGGAGAACTTGTCACCCCAGGATTGGTGGAGGGATGTCAGACCATTAGGTCAGTTGATGGAGGAGGGGGAATAAAGAACCCAAGTGTTGAAAGCAGGGTTGCTTTTCTTCTCTGGGAAGATTGATCAGCCACCAGCTGAGAGACCTACTGATCTTGCACAAGATGGGATTCTAGGCATCACAGTATTGTGAGTGTGTAGTGTAGTACAAGGCTAGCTTTATCATTTTGGGGTCCTGGCAGTGCAACAGAGTGCCTTGGGCATCAGGAGGAAATAGATGGATGTCTATGCAATTGACTGTAGCTGCTATCCATTTTCCCTGGCTAGCTATGTAAACCCCCACCCCTTTTATCCTTCCCTTTCACCCCTATGTTTTAATAACATGTCTTTTTAATTCTCAGAGCCTATGCTTGTGTGAGTTGTGTGCTAAACTGGTGTCTTGGCTGTGGGGCAGTCACTGCTTGGAGGAAAGCAAGTCCACAAGGCTTGAGAGGAGAGACAGGGGTATCCCCTCAATCCAACATTACATTCAGTTCATAAAGAGGCCCCATATTAAAGCACAGTAGATGCACATTTTCTTCAGAGGAACATTTTTGCCTATACAACATTGCAGCAGATGTACTTGGCAGAAAGGGGTGGGGTGCAGACACTCTCTCAGTCTGTGATGGTTGGTTCTGAAAGCTCCACCTTCATTTGATCAGAGTGAAGGTGCACTCTCCGAGCCATTGACTCAGCTGCAGAAGCGCTGCTGGAATGCTAAATTTGGGGTCACACTTTTACACTAAAAATTAAAAAAAGATTTTCAATTCACCAACTTTTTTTAAAATAAAGAAATTATCTACCTTTTGCACATAGCCAGTCACTCTACACACACATAAACATAATGGTCGCCGCTGACCAATCCCAAGCCGAGCAGTGTCGCAAGCCGAGCAGCGGCCTCATAATCAGCGCGGACACACAAGCAGCCCGCATGCACTATTTTAATGATTTTTGCCACTGACCTGCTACACCTGACAGGGTGATTCAAAATCACTTGAAAAAATCCGTTGGAAAAATCCGTCAAAAAAAAGGTGCCGGAACGTTGTTCCGGTGCGTTCTATGACAAAAAAGCCCTGGATTTGTGCAAGTGATTGTCTTCCATGGAATTATGATAGCAAGGGGATTTTTACAATAATTTGTTAAGTTGATAATAGGTTTGGTCAATGCTATGAAACAACAGTTTGCCCAAAACAAAGAAAAAATACCTGATCTCTCCAAATACAGCTCCTGCTCTTAGTGTGACCAGTACCTTGGTGCCATCAGGACCTCCAAGAACTTGAACCTCACCTTGCTTAATGATGTACATTTCTCTGCCAATTTCTCCCTAAATGCAAACAAATACAAGAAAACAATGGGAATTCATTGCCGGCTGATATTCAGGAAGAATGACTGTTAAATTTAGGGACCTAGTTTTTCCCAGCTGAATTTTCTGCAAATTGAATTCCTCCTATACACAGCAGAGAATGTAGTTTCTTGAACTGTGTGGAAAGATGACTTTCTTTTCAAAGCTTTCCCAGAGATACATAATTATTACAGCTGCATCCCATTATTTATTACAACTGGATTTGGGAAGGCTCCATTGTACCATACTGGCATCCACAAATGTTTATTTATTTATTTAAAACTTTTATATGCCGTCACCACATGCCTCGGCATCTCGGGGCAGCTGACATGTTGACTCGAAAGCCCATCACACCTCCCCCTCACATCTTTTAGGTGGTGGCCTGAGGGCAGTGAGCCCCAGTCAATCGGTACTCAGAATAGCCAGATGGAATACTGGGAAGGAGGTGACTTTTTCGTTATCACAAGGGCCAACCAATGTGTACTCTTTGAAAAAGGAAGAACTGGTTGCTTCTGGGCTTCATCACTTTGAACATGTGGTTCCTTGTCCAAAATGAGACCACTTGGCTCACAGCAGGCTTGCCTTTCAATGTTTCTACCTTTGTCTGAGGCCTAACACATGAATAATATTCAAACAGATCCTGGATTTTGAGATAAATGAATCTGGTTGCAGAAAAACTTTAAACGTTTTTCCTTCTTTTTACTTGGAAGACATGGAAAGTTTTTAATCTAATAGAGCCTAGTCATATACTAGAAACACATCACATTCACACATCAAAACAAGCAACCCTGAATGGCTTCCACACTTCACTTAGCTTCACTTTTCTTTATTTATTTTTTTATATGGATGTGCCTGACACATGATCAGGCTCATTGTTGTATCCTTCCTCCCTTCTGCCATTTCCTTCCCTCTCAGTCCTCCAGGCAGTATCTGAGGAGGCAAGGAAAGGAATGAAGACCCCTGTATTTGACAGCTGTGATCACCAGACAAGTTTGGTTTGCCACAGCTGTCAAGCAGTCTCTTTTGTATAAACAGGACTCATGAGTTCAAGCTGTTGGGAGCTAGGTTTCGGCCTTCATACCTTCAATCAAAAGACCATTCTTTGGCAAAAACATTTTATCCTCCAATACACATTCAGGAAGCAGAGTCATCATGGAATGAGTCTCTGAGCAGGCACAGAACAATTCATTGAATCCAATCTAGCAGCTACTAGATTGCTCTGTTTGAGCAGCCCTGAGAGCCCTTATGGAGGTGGGCAATCTCTTATCAGTATACTGTCCCTCTAGTCGGTTAGCCTCTCTCTCCTGATGCCACATCATGGGGTCAAGAGTTGTACCAGTCTTGTCTGGCTCCTGTCCCATGTCCAGTCCTAGCAGTTGTGGATCCTGACTATTTGCATAAACTATCTGAACACCTGGAAAGGGCAGCCTTGATATTTAATTATTTAATTTAATTTAATTAAAGCATTTATATGCCATCCTTTGCAGCAGCCTTATTTCTCCTATCTCAATATCTGGAGGCCCGATTTCCCAGAGCCCATCCTCCCCATCAGAAGAGTATGAATCTTCCTGACCTTGAAACTCATGCTGAGCACAACTGCTCTTTCATTCCCAACAGCAGCCTCCAACCAGGCACTGCTGCCCAGCTGATTCTGGCCTCTCCTGGTTGTGCAGGGGAAGCAGCAGGGGAGCGCTGCCTGTTTCCAGCACCGGCCAGGTGATCTGCTCCTGCCCTAAAGAGGTTATTCAGGGTGGGAGGCGGGCAAGGCAGGGGCATCTCTGACAGTTGCACAGAATGGCAGCTGCCCGTGGAGTTCTCTAGCTAGTCACTGACCAAGAGGCCACCATTTCCGTTCATGCTTTCTAAAAACCCAGCCCTGCTGTGACAGGGTTTGGATGACACAACAGACAACGAAGATCCCTGCCCTCCCTCCACCATTGCTCTGTTGCTCATTGCATCATGTCACCTCCTCTCTCTTACTCACCAAGATAAGCACAGCAACAACAGCCCAAACAAATGTAACACTGCCGATTCAGATGAATATCAGTGTTTTAAGTATTTTTCCTAATGATCATTTGCATAATTTCAAAAAGGAAAATCAAGAATAATCAACCTACTAAAGCATCTGCTGTTTCTTGCATATTTACCAGCTCATTTGTAGCTGATTAGCATCCAAATGAAGCCAATTATACCTGGACAAACAGGACTGAAACGTCTCAGCTTATGATATATGTGTCCCAATCAAAGCAATCTAATATGTTATAGAAGAAAAAGTAGCATCAAACTGGGATGTGTTTATCATTTATATTCTTATTACAGTCCAGTGGACTGAGCATTTTATTTTACATAGTAGATTTGGATTTATATGTAGATAAGTAAGGATTTGAGCCTCAGAGCCAAACTAAATATGACTAGGAATGGTAAAAAAAATCACTCAGTTTTTTTGATGTTTTGCCTGATCTATACTTTGTAAACATGAATACAATTTGAAGTTGGAAATCCATAGATTTTCTGAACTTGTAAGACATTCTGTGATTTTGAAAACTATCATGTGCTCATTTGAAAACTGCACAAAGAAAAATGTACTGGAATTTTATTTTATTTTATTTTATTTTATTTTATTTTATTAGGGTACCTATGAGTTGCTGAGAACCATCCAGCATAGCTTTGGCTATTGGGCAGTATAGCAATGAAGGTGGTGGTGGTGGGGTGGGACCTGGATGAAAGGAGCTTGATAGTGGAAACACAAGAACATTTGACACCCCACCCATTGCCATACCATAAAAGCACTTAAGTATCCATCCTGCCTGATTTATTTTCTTTAAATGACAGCTGCTCTATGTTTGTGTGGCAGTCAGGACTTGAACTGTGGCACACAAATCAACACTTTGAACATTTACCACAGAGATGGAATCGCAAGGAGGATGATCCTCTGAAAGTGGCTTTTTTTCCCTCTGGGAGGAGTGATTCTCCTGCTACTGAAGGATATTCCTCCTCCCTGGCAAATAGCCACCGAGGTCAATGCTTAATCAGGGCTGTGGTGCAGGAGATGAGGATTGATGGGAGCCCTCTTTGTTGTGTGACAGGGACCAGCCCCCCTTCCCCCTGAAAAAGTTGCTATTTCAGTAGGAGAAAGAGAGAACACAAAACATAACATTAAGCAAGGTGTTTAACACCACATAAAACTATTGACCTTCACCCCCAGGATATTACAATAGACATGCTTATTTATACTAATTATTACTGGCTTAGTACAGAATATAAACTGTGTTTCTCAGGTTTCTCAGAGAGAAGACCAAGGCTTTTACAGTTTGGTCTCACATGTCCCTCTATGTACTTTCGTTTGTGAAGTTTTGTTCCTGAAACAATTTACTTAAATATTGAAGCCTAACGATATGTGGCAATATATAAGTCATATTTAAATATCAATTGGTCATGAAAGTAATAAAGTTCACATTGTCTCAACCAAATCTGAAATTTGAGAGCACATTATTATGATTGCACACTCCACTGTAATATGATATGTAATTCATCCATGATTAATTTTGTTCAAAATTTATTCTTGAGTGAAAGCTGAACTCTTCTAATGCCCCATGATTCTTGCATTTGTAGGAGAAATAGTCAAGATCACCTTTTTGCAGACAAAGTCCCCAGGTAAATACACAATGGATTTCAGTCTCAGAAGCATGTCATATATCATTTGGGTATCACATCCCTGTTTTAAAAGAAAGAAAGAAAGAAAGAAAGAAAGAAAGAAAGAAAGAAAGAAAGAATCATAATAAGAGGGAATGTATTGTAGGTGCAACATTTACTAGTAATATTACACACCACCACCACCAAGTTGATTTTTAAAAAATGGTTACATCTAATCTTCATGTGCACAGACTGCAGAAGTGACTGTCATGCAGTAGACAGAATGCAGAAGCTCAGCTAAGATAGCCTTTTAACAATTTAGTCCCAATTTTGTGTCCAATTAATAGATTGAGTTTGTAGTCTAGAAGCTGCAAATGCAACATTCACAACGATTTCTAATAAAGAAAATTCATATTTCAAATCCCAAAACTTGAATGGTAGAGGCTTGTGTCACCAAATTATCACATCATTTTCTATAAGAAGACAATTTAGCAAGAATCTTGCCCTCCTATCCAGAACATAGGAAGCACTGAAGCAAGAGAGATGCAAAGGACTCTTTTCATCACAAAGACTTTATCACTGAGCGATGATCAAGGCCATGCAGAAAGAGGGGCTGTGTTTATACCATATGACAATCAATTCTGCACAGTTACCATGGTTTGCATGTTTTTACCATGATCAAATGGCTTCTAGTTTATCATGGTTTCCACCCTCCCTGCTCAGTCCTCTCACTGTTGACATGTATCCCATCAGCTATTGAAGTGGTTGCTTCAGTTGCCACTCTTCCCAGAGGACTCTGTGATAATTGCATACCTTGACCATGGAAACCATGATTCTGGGTTCAGACAACATGGCAAGTCATGGTGGTAGAATTTAGGAATGTGTGAGGAATCTGTCCATGGGTAGGAACCTAGATTTCCTGAGCTCTGCCCCCAAGACTCCAGTCTATGTTGCACCGCCCCCAGTGCTTTTTTTGTAAAAAAAAAAAGGTGCCGGAACTCACATCTTGGGGTCACACTTTTACACTAAAAAAGATTTTTGGTGTAAAGTCAGTCACTCTACACACACATAAAGCCAGTCACTCTACACATACCTAAATATAATGGTTGCCAGTGGCCAATCTGGTGCGTTCTATGACAAAAAAAGCCCTGACTGCCCCAGAGTCCAAGTTTCTGATGAGTGTGCCCAGTATTCATGGGGCACTCACCAGGAATTGAGCCCTATACACTGTATAAGCAATGCTCTTGTCCTACAGCTGCTCTGAGCATGCTGAAGAAGGCTGGATATGAGGAGTTTGCCAGGAAAGGAACCCCCAGCAACCACTATATAAGCAGTGTCCCTCTTCCATGCAAACTGCAGCTATCTATCTTTTGAGTTGCTGCAGAAGAAGGTTGCTGGACGCACAGCTTGTGGCTGGCAAGTGTTTGTGGACTTCTTTTCAGCTCTGCTCACTTTGAAAGACTGACCTGAGCACAAGAGAAAGCCTGTGAATACTTGGAGGGACAGATTCCAATAAGGCAGTATCTGAGGACATAACAAGCTAATTGTTTGGAACACCACTGCCTCTGACATCTTCCTGCTTTCTCCCACTTTCTCTCTCTTAGTCCCAATCCCCACTCAGTAACAGGATCATGGCTGTGTCACTGCTGGGACCAAAATTAGGACTGCCAGGATGCAGGCAACAACACTGCTTCCTGTCTGACTGGAGTCAGAGGGGGCTTGCCTCATTCAGCTTGCTGCATGGGTGAATGTCTTTCATGACTCTGACATGAGAAGTGGTTTGACAGTATGTGACTCATGGAGGCTAGATTGAGCCTAATGAGATCCACTGATAACTCCATCCTTAGCTTTCTGTCTGCCAGTGGAGTCCTAGATCATGTTCCCCAGCATTAAAACTAGCATGTAACTTGATTTTATCTGTTGTATTATACATCAAGATTCCATACTGTGATCAATTATTCTGCAAAAAGAAAATGCCAATGGGAGTTATTAGATTACACCAAAATCTACTTACTTTGAACAAGTCAACTTTATTGACAATGGCAAAGTTCACATCAACTGCAATGGCAAGCTGCATTTTTCCAGGCATCTGCTCCAGCAATTCGGATTCATCTGTGAAAAGAAAAAATAGAACACTTTTTCCCCACAAATGCTGATACTATATTGGGTGGGTTCACAAGTAATGCCAATCCACCAGGGCAATCTCCTTTTTTTCTTCTAAGTACCAAAAAGTGCAGGGAGCTGAGAATGGTTCTGCCTCAAGGGGAAGCAGTGCTAGCTATCCACAAGCGTTGCTTGGGCACTTGCAGGGCGGGTGGCCCTCACAGCTTAGGAAAAGCAGTAAGGGGTTCCATGCTCCTCTTTTCAAGCAAGTCACTGGGTGCAGGCCTTTACCTGCGATGGGTAGCGACCCACTGTGAATGAAAGAAACCCAAGAACAGTAATGGATTCTTACTGCGGCTAGGGCATTGAACCGAGCTGAGCCAAACCAAGCAAGCCAAGCCAAGCCAAACTGAACCAAGCCAAGCTGAGTCAATCCCATGATGAATAACACATGATGAATTTGCATGATATGACAGCCAACCATGGATTATTATTGGTGGTTGGCTGTCACATTGTGTGAAAACAGTAATCAACAGATGGTGAGTATCACCCCATCTCCCAAATAATTTAAAATAATTACAAGAAAGTTCTAGCAAAGTACTTCTAACAACAAGTTTTAAAATTAAATTATAAAAGAAAAAGTCCAGAATTAACATTTCTACACTATAACTTAATGAGGCCTAATCAAAGGTCACAAAATACTGTGTAAGCATTCAAGTTCTCCAGAACTCTCAATCAGAAAAGATATTAAATAAAATGAAAAAGGATTACAAGGACATTACTAGTACTTAGTGAGCCTCTGAAGAGCATAGTTCCAATTTCTCATGTATGTTTTTTTTTTAAAGAAAAATGCTATAAAAATAGGATGGATTATTTAAATGGAATTAATTACTAATGACTGCTGTCAATTCCCACTCCATTTCTGAATAAATAAAATTAAATTGATATTCCCAATAAAAATGTGGGGATGGGAGGAAGATAAGGAGTTTTCAATTATTCTGAATTTTACCCAGCATTCCTTGTGAATCCCACGTATACTCATACCAAGTTCGAACACGATTCTGAACAATTTTTGGAATGGTATAAGTGTTCATGTATGACACTGTGTTATCCATGCAGGCACGATAGTAGTTCTGCCCTGCTGTTGCTGCTCCAATAACGTCCCTCATCTGCAAATGACAATCATTACCATCAAATGGGTGTTATTAATAGTCAGTTTAGATGACACCTCCTGCAATTATATGGCTTGCTTGTTCTGCTGATTTAATGGTGGAAAAGTAAGATATAAAATAAATAGAACACTGCTTCCCAGTAGCCAATTTGTCCATCTAGCCCAGGACTGTCTACCCTGTCTGGCACAGCTCTTTCATTTTATTTATTTTTACATTTATATCCCTCCCTTTTTCCCCTAGTGAGGAAGTCAGTTATTTCCTTCCTGTTGTACTCCTCTTCATCATTTTAATCTCACAACCAGTGTGATATGGTGGTTACAGTGTTGAACGGGGACATGAGAGATCTGGGCTCTAGTCGCCACTCAGCTATGAAGTCATTGGATGACTCTGGAACAGCCATGGACTCTCAGCCTAGCCTCCCTCACAGAGTTGTTGTGGTGGGAAGAAAATAGAGGGGTAGAAACCCTTGTAAGCCACTATGGATTCCTTGCAAGTGGAAGAAAGGTGGGGCGAGTGAGTGACCTTTGTGAGTGGCCCAAAGTCACCCTCTGAGATTCCTGGCCTGACTGAGGACTACAACCTAAGTCTGAGCCCAGTGCTGTAACCAGGATGCCTTATTGGCTTTCCTACTCATTTCCATATCTTCTTAAGTGGAAATACCAGGGGTTAAACATGGAGTCTTCTGCATGCATAGTATGTGCACCATTGATAAGCTGTGTTCCCACTCCAAGGAGAAAGAGAAGGCAGAAAGAACTGAGCAAAGTAGACTCGTACCTCATTGTGCAACACATTTACTTAGACTGGTAGCCTTGCTCCACCTCCTCATGTGGTCACCCATCCAGCTGCAGGCCCATACCTTTCCAGCTTAGCAAAAAGTGACTCCACAAGTAGCTCGATGTATAGCTATGCAGGCAGGCAATCTTGCTGGAAAGTCCCACTAATTTCAAAGACATTCCGGATTGCGGTGTCAGTATCAAATTGTTGCCACCACTCAGTGAGCCCTGCTAGGCCATCTGAAGGCATTGGCTTCCTATGTCAAAGTAAGGTTTGGAGATATATGATTCAGACTTGCACACTCACTTGTCCAACTGTGTGCTCTGCTTATTAAGGAAGTTCCTGATTCCAGTGACTTGTGGTTTTCCCTGATTTCTAATCCAGAGAATTCTAATTCAGAGAATTTGTTTAGTGAAAACGTCGTTCCCCCACTTCAGTATCCTGCATTTCTGGCCAAATGCTTCTATTACCCATAATTTTCCAAATGAAGCAATGCATATCTTTGGGGGTTGGGGGAGCAAGAAAGTGTTCAGGACAGAAAGGAAGAAGATACTCTTTTGAACACACAGCTCCCAACTCCTTCTCTAGGATTTCAGCTACATAGAAAGTATTCTCACCCGTGCATGTACACATGCAAAAAGACAATTTGACTGGATTCCTGTTTTTCACAAACCCCCTTCTGGGAGTCACCCCACAGAAGCAGCATGATTTTGAGAAAGGGGTGCTCCAACTGATGTGCCTTCATCTTCCCACTTTCAGAACACAGGACCAAATGACACACATTACATATATTACATAGTATCCAGTCAGCCTCTCTTTTTGCTATGCTTTTAGTGTAAATGTGTGTGATCCTAATTCACATTGTGACCACAGTGCACTGGGAGCGATGAATCCTTCCCCACATTTGCTCTTCAAATTCTCCCACCTGGTTGTTAAAAATGGAAGAAAAAAACCGTCCATTGACACCCACAGGCTCCCCTCCCCCTTTTATTAACCCCTCCACCCATGGGGAAGAGGAGGAGTAATCTTTTCCTCCCCCTGTGCCGTGGTCCTGTAGATTATCCCCAGGTTCTGAACTTTCACTTGCACATGCTCCTATAAGCTGTGTTACAAAAGAGCAAAGATGAGCAATCATTTTTTGGGAAAAATAATTACATACGTTTCCTCCTCTTTTCCATCTTACTTCCCCCACAATTTGTACTTGCAAGATTAAACTCCCTTTTATCCACAGAACTACTTTCTTTGCTACTTCCAAGGTTTTTCTAGATCTGCTGCTGCACTTTCTTGTTGCTGCAAGCTCTCACAACAGGGGAAAAACTCACAAGGGCAACGTTAAATGGGACATTATTTAATTTTGTAGTTCAGAACAGTACTTCTTTTTAATTAGCCTTTATTTTATGCAACGTAGGGCAGTATTCCAGCAAAACATCAAAAAATTAAAGTGAGCCCTTTGAGGCTGTACCCTCAAAGGAACTGAATTCAAATTTGCTGTTCATACCTCTCAAACTGTAGCATAATTTAAAACATGTACATTGTCAAAAATTATACAGAAAATTCATTTATTGGACAGATAACTTTCATATTGGAATCAATCATGAAATGTCTGTTCACATGCACACTTACAGCAGAAAAAGGAGAATATTTGTAGCTTTGAAATTAATATTGGTTAATAAGTTACATTTAAATGTTAATTGGTTGTGATATCAAAGACAGCTCTAGTCTTTTATCAGTTTTAATTTACTGCGTGGATTGAACAATCTTGTGGTCATATTTCTGCTGGGGATGAGGAGTTGGAATGTGCCTTCATTATCGCTGCAGAACATCTGCACTATCCAAACTACTGTCAGAAAGAAAATGTATGGCTGGGGAAAGAAAATGTATGGCTCCAGTTTTGGCCACATTACAGAGGCCCAGGGGGGTTTATTAAAAAACAAACAAACAACAGTCTGGCTCTTAATGTCTGTATGTGGCAGATCATCTGGAAACAGATCTTTCTGATGTCTTCTTTTGAGAATACTTTATAGAGCAATAATGTGAAGGTTGTGGAGCAACTGAGGATATTCCTTGCCAGAGGAATTGCCAGTTCCTAAATCTTGTTGGCTCGTACTGGCTAGGAGAGAGAATGGGGAGGAATGGATTCATTTTCCCCTCTGCCATGGACAGAGGTTTCCTAATTCTACCTACCATCCACTGATCACAATGAGCGAGAAATTAACAGACCCAGATTATTTGGCCAGTTCCGGGCAGTGTCAGGAACAGATGTCTCTGGCCTGCTTTCAGACCACCAATGCAGAGCAGTCACGGTGGTTTCCGCCACTGCAACAAGGGAGGCCTCCAGTAGCAGACTTCCCTTTCTGGTCATGCAAAAGGAGGTTAACATATTAGGGCCTTGCTATTTTGTGGGACCAAAGGGTTGTGGAGTTGGTATGTTTCCTTGCCATACTCCTCCAGTAATGTCCCAAGCCCCAGCTCATGCAGTGAAGCCAATAATGCAACATTTCTATGCCAGTACTATAATCTTTCTAGGGGAGAGTGCCAAGTGCAATTGCCAAGAATATGCTTTTCATGTAGAAGATCTCTCGTATCAGCTTGAAGTGTATTGAGTATGAGGGCTGGGAAAGGAAGGGTTTCCGTCTGGGATTTTGGGGAACATCACCTGTTAAATGGTACCAAGTTAGATGTCCCCCCCCCCCTTTCTACAAGGCAGAAACTGATATAAAATATACAAGGGTGCCTGAGTTAACCCTTACATTGCAAAGGGTAGGGATGGAGAGAATCTAAATGTAAAGAAAATAAAGAAATGCAACCATCTAGTTATTTTAAAATGGACATTCTAAGTCAGCTGCCACACATAGTTCCAGATCTTTATATCCTTTAAAGCAAGATATTGCAGAGTGGAGGTCTATGCTTTATTATATGTCTTTATGAAAAAAAATCTTAAATTCAAGGTTCAGTTTAAAAATAATGTATGTGTTTACCTGACCGATCAAGCTGGAGAACACAAAGACTCCTGAGAAAAAATTCAGGAGCTGAAAGATGATTTCAAACATGGTTACTGGTTCTGGAAGTCCACCGATAGTAATTAAAGTTCGAACTGCCCAGTAATAACATCTTAGATACCTGTAAATATAAAACAATTATTGATATCATAGATGTGTTTTGTTCATTTCAAGATTAGGAAAAGAGTCCTTTCTCTTGGAGAACACTTCTGGCCCTGGCTGATTTTCCTCCTGGAATACCTCCTAGACATCAGATGATGGAACCCTCAGTCCTTGATGTCATCAGACTCTTCTCTCTGCATGGAAAAAGGGACTGTACCATCTCTGTCCCCGGAGAAAGCAAAGCCTTTCCTGCTTTAATGCTGGAGAAAGGCTGTCCCAGCAGAGAGGAAAATGGATGTTCCCATGTGCAATTCCTGTCCCCGCCCCCACTCCCAGCTAATGTTGTGTTGAGGGCCAAAAGACTCGTGCATGCTTGACCTAGGGGTTTTAGTAGGCCAAATGATAAGATGACACAGGGCGAAGCTGCTGCTGCAATTGAACCAGCTCTGACCTCATTATGTATACATGCAGTGCCGGCTCTAGGTTTTGGAGGACTCTTAGGCAAAACACAACTGATGGGTCCAATCCCTCTGCGAGTCTGCCATCTCACTTCCATTCATCAGTTGTGCTTCATCCTCTGTTTCATCACAGCCAGCACTTGTTGACCTGGCAGGTTGAGAACCAGTGGGCAATTCAACTGTGGCATCTACTCACTACTCTTCCATCTTATCACCACTGTTCTCTGGGCTAATGTGAGGCAGGGGTGTAAGTACTTGGCAATACTGAAGAGGAACATCACCTTCAGGGGGCTGATCTCAGTAGGTTCTTGTTGTGTAAGCCATTGGCAGTTGCCCAATCATGCCTACCCTTGATACTAGTCCTAACTACATGACTGAAGCCTGAGACAGGCTTTCTTAATTCACAGAATAGTGTTCTTCTTCATCCTTTTTAACAAATTAGAAAATATGGCTTCCTAAAATAGGGTCTGTAGAAATCAGGAGCAGCAAACCATATATCAAGCTGGATAGCTGCAAAATTATTTTTGTACAAACAAAGCAAATACAGGATTTGTCATTTCCTGTTGTTTATGATGATGGAAGGTACGTTTGGCTTTTCAACAGTCATATCTTCACATTTCCTCCCTTAAAATATGGCAGATATAAAACTGTTCATGGACACATCAAGAGAGTTATTGATTATTCTGAGGGGAAATACTCTCTTTCTAAAAGGTTCATTTTATAGATAGCAGCAGGATGACTATGTGGCTCTCATTCTAAAAGTCAGGAAATGTCAGGTGCCATCTCTGGCACTTCAGCGACCTGTCTCTGGTAATGGCAGAAGTGTCCATGGAAGAATGCTAAGGCAGCATCTGTATATCTGCCATTTAGAGCGCTGAGTGGGCTGCTTCAGATCAACAGAACTTCTCAGCATAAACAACAAGGCGTTTCAACCCATGTGTGAAGGATTGCCAAGCTGCATTCAGGAGGCTACCACAATACCTTTAACATTCCAAAGTGGAAGAGACACAGCACCTCTTGTCTCCTGCACATTTCCTCCAACTACCTTTCCCTTGTTTGTTATAAAGACCCTTGAGTAGCATACCTGCATTTGAACCTGTGACACCCAGTGGGATCTTGCAGCCACATATGCAGAGCCTACCAGCTTCACTGGGGAATTGCAAGTGAGAAAACTGTGTCCAGTGGGGTGCAACGAGTAGCACCAATTGCAATTCACTAGCAGAAACTACACTAGTGCAAGGCTAGTAGTGTTAACTGACATGCTATTTTCTTGCCAGTGTATGGCCACAAACTCTGCAAGGTCGATTTTTTGCACTAATGGGGGTGATTACGTTCACTTAAACTTATAGTGTAAAGTGGGATATTGATCTAGGTACATATAAGGAAGCATACTGTTTTGGTTTAAGTGTCTATGCTCAGTAACTCCAAATAGGACAACATCATAAGTCAGTGTGATATATGTTTGCCACAATTTTTCTTCACAACATATCTATGGTTTGACAATCAGAAATACAGTACACATAATTTCTCCCATGGCTGCATTGCTACAACATCTGAGAAGGTTGCATGTTGGAGTGGATATCTGATGAAAACCACAAACTACACATGTGTGTGTTATAAGCCATATGCACACGTACAAGTTCCATTGAAACTGTTGAGATTTGCTTTACCTCAAAACATAGATTGCATAATAATGCCCCCCACCACACACACACACAATTTCCTTCCATGTTTTTCCTCTTGGCAAATGTAGAGCTATTGCTTGGCATCTCTTCTTCCGCTGCTTCAAAAAGCCATTTGCATCACACAGTGCCAGCTCCCATTGAGGATTTCACTTCTTACAGCATGTTGATAGATGCCCTTTATCATATGTAAGGGAATGGTGGAACCTGACCCTGAAAAGAACCTACTGGGAGTAAAATCTTTTGTTGCAATCTGCAGGTTGGATTGAGTGTCGCAATTGTACTCCTCTGACCCTTTCCAAGTGGCTGTTTTCTTATGCATGCAATATTTCTTTTGTGCATGCCCAATCAATAATTTTAATTTATGGTCCTTGTGCTTTCTAAATGTTTAATTAAGTTAGTGATTAGAGCTGACTCATAAACCCATAAAAACTCAAAGTTGTAAATGAATCACTCACTACACCTGCTTTCCACATAATTAGCATTGTTCGTTGCCACCAACTGGCAGCAATGTTGCTAACAGTTAGTAACGCAAGCATTTGTGAAGGTTTAGCTCTTGATCAAATCAAGGAGGGGACACAGAAAAGCACTTGCATGTTTCCTTGGCCATCATAAACCCATCTAGTGCTGCCAAGTCCTTCATAGGTTGAGGCCCAGTAATAAATGCATGCATTAACGTGTAAGATGAACAACAGATATCCAGTGGTTCGAATGACTCTGTAAAAGAACAAATAAAGAACAGTTTATGAAATTCCAGCCAGATATGCATTTCTGTGCTTACCTTCTTTTTGATTTTGATCAATCAATAGTGGAACAATACCTTGTGGCAACTTACAAATACAATAAGCATGGACAGCGGAAAAATCATCAGGTAATCTATCTTCCCCTTTGTCAAAAGTCAATAGAATAATTGCGGCATAATAAGTGGTGCCATTGCATTATCCCAGGAATTAGTGCCTTAGACATGAACATTTACTATTCACTTTGATTTTTCTATTCAGACTGTCTCTAACATCGAGCACAATTACGAACAGAGACTTACCTTCATCCTGCACATGAGACACCAGTGAGTTAGGGCCTGGCAATGTTCCCCTTTCATGCACAGAAGGTGAGGTTGCAGCAATGCTTTATCCAATGTGAGAGACCCAAAATGCTGAAGAGTATGATAATAGGGCACATGTAGCACATACCTGTAGATGTATGCTTTATCCATGATTGCCTCTAACCGGTCATTGAATTCAAAGAAAGTGAGATGCTGAATGTAAATGAAAAGTGAGGAACAATCAGATTTATATTCACTAAATATAGCACACATTTTGGACATAAACTGTCTGGTTTCTACAGAAATCTTTAAATTTTTGGCTTAGAAATGAGCAAATTGCTACGTAAACTGGCAACAGCCACCCACAACTACTTGACATTTCAAATATCACTTTTTCCAGGGACTGAATTATGGAGGAGATTGTTCTATTTAGCAGATCAGTGATCTTGATGAATTATGATGACAGTGATATTTTACTCAATAGACCAAACTTTCTTGCACATGAAAGTCAGTACATTTTTTTGTTTTTGCTTTGCTTGTGTATTATTTTCTGTGCTTCCATATTACTGGCTTTTTGAAATAGAAGTAACAGTCTAGATAATCAGTTGTTAAAATTTTGCCCTAAGAGGGCTTGTTTAGATCAGTAATTTCATATTGATTGTCGTGCCTGAAGCCCTGACAGAGACAGCACCTCACAAGGAGGTCTTGTGCTTAGGACCCTGTATCCAAAAGCCAGCCCCGCAACCTAGCTTGGGGGTGGCTGAGCAGATAGCTGCACCTCCCACTGACTCCCTGCCCATTGAGCAAACACCCGAGCCCACATCAAAGCAAGAGAGCCCCGAGGGAAAAGACACTACGAGTTCTACTCAGAAGGAGTCAGAGCAGGCTGTCCTTCCTCCTACTGACGCTGAACTTCCTGAACATGACACAGGAGATGCAGGGGGCGTAATAGTTTTCTCTAGCAACCAATTGTAGAATTCTAAGAAGATACGAACAAAGGCAGACCTTGTTATGTCAGAGGGAAGAAAGGTGTGACCAGGAGGGCTAGTCTCATGTGGGCCATTAGAGGATTAACATCTGCATTCCAAAGACTTCAACAGAAGAGCTTATCTGTAGAGCTGTAAATCTTGTAGATAAGTAGCAATAAAGGACTTTAGTTTTATTGCTTGTGAACATGTGGGTTGTTTACATTGATTTAGATAAACTGATGCAGGAGCCAAAAAAAGTGTTTTCAAAAATTGCATCAGTTAAAAAGAAGTAGTATTTGTCCTAAACAGTTTCATACATGCTCAATTATGTCGATGCTGTTCATAACTAATCTCTACCCGTAACAAATTTTACAGAACCCAAGAGAGTTCTACTGAGCCATGAATTTCATTTTGGGACTTTAGGCTAAATCACTCTCTCTCCTACCCCAAAGAGTTGCTGTGAGGATAAAATGTGAGGAAGACCCATGTATGGCACTTTGTGTTTCTTGGAGGAAAAGCAGAATATAAATTCAATTAATATATGTATTAATGACTCTAACAGGCTACAGTACAAATGGATTCTGTGAGCACATAGTTCCTAAAGTTAAAAAGTTCCATACAACAGGTGGGACTGTGTGCAGTAACCGGTGATACATCATTATCATCATTATTTTCTATGCCACATTTCTCTGGATGAAGACGTCTATGGGTGGCTAACCCAATAAAACCCACTGCAATACATTTAATCCACAGCATACAGGCTAAATATTTAACTTAGCACTGTGGGGAAGACTATGGCTGGGTTCATATGCCATGGCAAAGCAACCCTGCATGGTTTCCATGGTGACTGCATGTTTGCCTGAACTGCTCAGACAATTGTTTGGTTCCCATGGCAATGTGGTTTTGGCAGTCCCTTCTCTCACCATGCATATCAGCAATCACAGATCTGGACCACTGGACACAGGTAGGTGATGTTAAACCTCCCAGCCGAGCCTCTTCCTATCTTAAATTCTCTGTGTGCAGGAGGAAAAAGAGAGAGGGGGTGTGGGGAACTACAGTGGCATGAATGTGAGTTTTTCTCTTATTGTTTTAGCCCTTGTGCACGGAGTTGGGAAATTTAGGGGAGAGGAGTGGCTGGACAGGAAGAATGAAACCTCATCATTCAATATGTGCTGATCCTGAGCAAGATGGGGGCCTGAGACACAGAGGGAAGAAAAATTTGTGAAGGTCAGCTGCATGATATGTAATAATATATAATTGCTGTTTAGTCTTCAGAAGAGCTAGAGTAGATACACAGACTTTATTTTCAAACTATGACATCTGTGATATGCACCCTGAAGAGGTTTGCTGAACCGTGTCTATTTGGAAAAGGTAGAACTTTTAAGAATGCTTAGGGTGGTCTAGAGAGATGTGTGACTTTAAAGGTGGTCTAGAAATAACAAACAAACAAACATCAAATTCCTGTACTGCCCACTTGTCTGAGTGAGCCACAATAAGTATATACACAGATATTCTCTGTGTAGAGAGGGACTCAGACACAGTGTAAGAACTCTGAAAAAAGAGGGAGACCTTTCAGAGCTGTGGGGAGGCTATGGTGCTCAGTGACCCAGTTGGGAATTGACAGGCAAAGTAAGCAGATCCATTATGAAGTTTCCGGCATTCTTGCTATCTGTTCCTCAAGCAGCAGGAGCCACCCCGAGGATGGAGTGAGGACTGTTCCTGAATGGGAGAGAAGGAGGGGACATTTCCATTTGGATACATTTCTTTCCATGGCAGATGATTCCCCCACATCTCAAAAACAACACACTTCAGTTTATATTGTCTGTAACCTCTTAATCTTTAACAGAAGGACTGTGTTCTATAGTTTCATCTGAGCCTGCCGGAGAGGAAAAGAGGGAGGGAGAGACCTGCCAAGACACTGTCCAAGGACTGCATCAGAATGCAAATCATATCAACATACCTTCACCACCTTGTTTGCTCTGAATACTGCATTGAACCCAAATACAACATACAAGACATCAAACGGTATGATGGATAACACATCAAGCTGTTGAAGAAAAAAGTCAAGTTACAATGTTGCACTGATACTCTCAAGTTCTTAAAACTGCTTAGGTTCAGACTGCAGGACACTTGTTTGCATACATGTTTTGTCATTTTCTTTGAACTGCTTTTTGGATGCAAAGTATTTATGCAAAATGCAGTAAATAAACCAACTGTGACCATATGATAAGTAAAGAAGGCAGAACCAGGAATTATTTACTTTTAAAAGAAATTCTATTGTCCTGATTCATATTTTACTAAGGGCAGCTAATGATACTTGGAGACCTAGTACCTTCAGTTTATGATTCTTAATCTAGGACATTGTTAAGAAAATAATGTATTCAATAAATTATAAAGTGTTGATCTTCAGGTGATCTCAGCAGATGTCAGGAATCAGACATTTTGTCATTAGGTCACATCCAATATTTGTCTACTGTAAGTTGTACTAACACTGGATACAACCCAGTGTTTTAATACCACTTCTTGAGCTTAAGGTTAAACAAAATATTATTACTGAGGTCAATTTTTTCTGTCTCAGGGCAGGTATGATATATTAGATAGCCTGTAGGTTTTTTCAGTTGTATAACTCTTTGGTCCCATGCAAACAAAACTGACCTTGAAATATTATGAGTTCCAAATATCTACTTATCGATTACCAGGGGAAAAAAACAGAACAATCTATACTGGATATGATGCAGGACTAGAGATCATAGCTTGTCTGACCTCATATTCCTTCTCATCTCTAAACCTGACAATCCATTAGGACCATTTTCCACATTGCAGTTTCATTTTCAGCCTCTGGAGTAATTCCTTGTGATGAACCTAATAAGTTATGAAAGACTTGAAGATTTCCTGAGCTGCTCAGACACAGCACCTCAGTATCAGGCCTGCTGGGAAGTAGTCAACCAATCCAGCAAATATGGGTTGAAATGGAGGCTACAGTAAGGAAGTCAGGACACAGCATCCTGCTGTCTTAACAAGGACATATCCTAGGTCGACCCTGTCATTTAGCTAATGGGAAGGCTCTCTGAGTTGAAAGGTAGATGGCCAAGGTGCAAAATACATACCAGTAAAATCTGATGTGAACTTCTGGACTGATGCATTGGCCTATTTGCCAGGTTGAAAAATACAAATGACAACCATAAAGCAAACTGCTGCACGATAGCCCTGTCCAAATAGGTTTCTGCCTCACAAACATGCCTAACTTATACTTTTTTCACTTACCCGAAATTTTAATGTACTCCGGTAGAATTTCTTCATTTCTACTCTATCTGTCTAAAATTAGAAACAGAGAAACAAAGTCAATGGACTAAAAGCCTCAACCCAACAATATATTGATACCTATTTGATATGTCTTGTCACTGAGATAAAATCTCTTGCATACTGAACTAGCCTGGGATTACTACAGAATACGTGCACAAGTCAGAGGACACAACATGATTGGTACCATGTACAGAGCATCCTGCATCCCAAAGTAACTGTTCAGATAACTGCTGAAGGGCAAGGGTTTGGCAAAGCATTCTGGACCAAGGTCTCAAATAAATAAACATTCAAAAATTGTTTTGGGCATTTTTTCATACAGTGAGACAAAACTAAGGCCTAAGTGATGCTTCAGTCCAGCCAACCCAAGTTGTGACTAAGTCCCATGAAAAGCAATGGGTCGTAAGACAGCCATAGCAAACTTCAATTAGTTAGAAGGTTACAGCAAAAAAGTTCTTAATGCATAATCTGACTTTCTTGTGTGGAACTCAAAGCAGTGTATATATGAGTTATATGCAGTCTCTGAACCAAGCACCATCTAAGCCTTGTTTGAAAAAGATTGTTGTGTCATGCACTATACATGTAGATAAACAGGTCCTTGGAAGCTGGATGGATGCACTTTTATTAGCATAGACTGGCAACACTGTATCTATTAATAATTACATGATTGTCTTCAAATGACTCTATGGGAACTGACTCCTTCATGGATCACTGCCTTGTCGTGGCGAAGGGGCTTGCGAAGCTCAATGAAGCTATGAGCTATGCTGTGCAGGGCCACCCAAGCCGGACAGGTCATAGCAGAGAGCTCTGACAAAACGTGATCCACTGAAGAAGGAAATGGCAACCCACTCCAGTATCTTTGCCATGAAAACCCCATGGACAGTACCAAAAGGCAAAAAGATATGACACCGGAAGATAAACCCCTCAGGTCGGAAGGTGTCCAATATGCTACTGGGAAAGAGCAGAGGGCTAGCACTAGTAGCGCCAGAAAGAATGAAGCGACTGGGTCAAAGCCGAAAGGACACTCAGTTGCAGATGTATCTGGTGGTGAAAGGAGAGTCTGATGCTGTAAAGATCTATACTCCATAGGAACCTGGAATGTAAGATCCATGAATCAAGGCAAGCTGGATGTGGTCAAACAAAAGATGACAAGACTGAACATCGACATCTTAGGAAACAGTGAACTAAATTGGACAGGAATGGGTGAATTTAATTCAGATGACCATCAGGTATACTACTGTGGTCAAGAATCCCTCAGAAGAAATGGAGTAGCCTTCATAGTCAATAAAAGAGCAGGAAGAGCAGTACTGGGATACAATCTCCAAAATGACAGAATGATCTCAGTTCGAATCCAAGGCAAACCATTCCACATCACAATAGTCCAAGTCTATGCTCCAACCACTGGTGCTGAAGAGGCTGAAGTTGACCAGTTCTGTGAAGGTCTACAACACCTTCTAGAATTAGCACCCAAAAATGATGTTCTTATCATCATGGGGGATTGGAATGCTAAAGTAGGAAGCCAAAAGATAACCGGAATAACAGGCAAGTTTGGCCTTGGAGTACGAAATGAAGCAGGGCACAGGCTGGTAGAATTTTGCCAAGACAATACGATGGTCATAGCAAACACTCTTTTCCAACAACCCAAGAGACAACTCAACACATGGACATCACCAGATGGTCAACACAGAAATCAGATTGACTATGTGCTCTGCAGCCAAAGATGGAGAAGCTCTATACACTCAGTAAAAACTAGACCAGGAGCTGACTGTGGCTCAGATCATGAGCTTCTCATTGCAAAATTTAGGCTTAAATTGAAGAAAGTAGGGAAAAGCACTAGGCCACTCAGGTATGACCTAAATCACATTCATGATGAGTATACAGTAGAGGTGACAAATAGATTTAAGGAATTAGATCTGATAGACAGAGTGCCTGAAGAACCTTCTGAAGATGGAGGTTTGCAATATTGTACCAGAGGTAGCAACTAAAACCATCCCAAAGAAAAAGAAATGCAAGAAAGCAAAATGGCTGTCTGAGGAAGCTTTACAAATAGCTGAGGAAAGAAGGGAAGCGAAAGGCAAGGGAGAAAAGGAAAGATACACCCAATTGAATGCAGAATTCCAAAGAATAGCTAGAAGAGATAAGAATGCCTTCTTAAATGAACAGTGCGAAGAAATAGAAGAAAACAATAGAATAGGGAGGACCAGAGATCTCTTCAAGAAAACTGGAGTTATGAAGGGAACGTTTCATGCAAAGATGGGCATGATAAAGGACCAAAATGGCAGGGACCTAACAGAGGCAGAAGAGATTAAGAAGAGATGGCAAGATTACACAGAGGAACTATACAAGAAAGAGCTTAACATTCCTGATAAGCACGATGGGGTGGTCACTGACCTCGAGTCAGACATCCTGGAATGTGAAGTCAAATGGGCCTTAGGAAGTCTGAGCAACAACAAAGCTAGTGGAGGTGACAGTATTCCAGCTGAGCTATTCAAAAACTTAAAAGACGATGCAGTAAAAGTGCTACGCTCAATAAGCCAGCAAATTTGGAAAACTCAACAGTGGCCACAGGATTGGAAAAGGTCAGTTTACATTCCAATCCCAAAGAAGGGCAATGCCAAAGAATGTACAAACTACCGCACCATTGCACTCATTTCACATGCTAGCAAAGTGATGCTCAAAATCCTACAAGCTAGGCTCCAGCAGTATGTGGACTGAGAACTATCAGAAGTACAGGCAGGATTTCGAAGAGGGAGAGGAACTAGAGATCAAATTGCCAACATACGCTGGATCATGGAGAAAGCTAAGAGTTCCAGAAAAACATCTACTTCTGCTTCATCGAGTATGCCAAAGCCTTTGATTGTGTGGATCACAACAAATTGTGGCAAGTTCTTAAAGAGATGGGAGTACCAGACCATCTTATTTGTCTCTTGAGAAACCTATATGTGGGTCAAGAAGCAACAGTTAGAACTGGGCACAGAACCACTGATTGGTTCAAAATTGAGAAAGGAGTTCAGCAAGACTGTATACTGTCACCCTGCCTATTTAACTTATATGCAGAGCACATCATGAGAAAGGTGGGGCTAGATGAATCACCAGTTGGAATTAAGATTGCTGGGAGAAATATCAACAACCTCAGATATGCAGATGATACCATTCTCATGGCAGAAAGTGAAGAGGAACTAAAGAGTCTCTTGATGTGGATGAAGGAGGAGAGTGCAAAAGTTGGCTTGAAACTCAACATTAAGAAAACTAAGATTATGGCATCCAGTCCTCTCACTTCCTGGCAAATAGATGGGGAAGAAATAGAGGTAGTGACAGGTTTTATTTTCCTGGGCTCCAAGATTAACGCAGATGGGGACTGCAGCCAAGAAATTAAAAGACGCTTGCTCCTGGGGAGGAAAGCCATGGCAAATCTAGATAGCATACTAAAAAGCAGAGACATCACCCTGCCAACAAAACTGTGTATAGTCAAGGCTATGGTTTTCCCAGTTGCAATGTATGGCTCTGAAAGTTGGACCATAAGGAAGGCTGAGCTCCGAAGAATTGAGGCCTTTGAATTGTGGTGCTGGCGGAGACTCTTGCGAGTCCCTTGGACAGCAAGCCGATCAAACCGGTCAGTCCTAGAGGAGATCAACCCTGACTGCTCTTTAGAAGGCCAGATCCTGAAGATGAAACTCAAATACTTTGGCCACCTAATGAGAAGGAAGGACTCCCTGGAGAAGAGCCTAATGCTGGGAACAATAGATGGCAAAAGAAGGAGGGGACGGCAGAGAATGAGGTGGCTGGATGGGGTCACTGAAGCAATTGGTGTGAGCTTATGTGGACTCCAGGGGATGGTGGAGGACAGGAAGGCCTGGAGGAATGTTGTCCATGGGGTCGTGATGGTTTGGATGCGACTTTGCGACTAACAACAAATGGGAACTGATGCTTTCCTCTTACCAAAGGAGGTTCAACAGAGGTCTAAAAATAAATTTATGTTTATATCTTTACCATTTGGCAGCACCCAATGTCTTACTGCAGGGTTCCCAATTCATTTACAGAGAATGGTATGCATGGTTGGAGCTGCCCTCTTTGCTCAAATTGAGCAGGAATCCACCTATGGGTAGGTTGCCTTGGTCTGCACATCAACAACTCACATGTCCACATCAATTTACTAGATCAGGGTTTACATTGTGCATTCACTTTAGAATCATCCCTTTTAATTTGTTTCTTTGAAATCTTCAGGTGGTACTTACTACCATGGTGAGAGTCAAATGTGGATTGTGAAGCTTTTTTAAACTCATTTTTAAACCTCAAATGCTACCATTTTCCCCTGCCACTGAGAAGTGGTTTTCCTTCAATGCCATTAATAATATAATGTTCACTCCAAGCACTACTATTATTCTCCTGATTGGCTAGGAAGTTCTCAGGGATATGAGAACCCTACCTATACACAGTGTGCTTGCAGGCAGCTCCTGCTATATATCACAGAACTGTTTGTTCTCCTCCTCCTGAAGCTCAACTCTGGAGAAGAAAGGTGAATTATGTTCAGAATGCCCAGGATTGGCTGACAGGTTGCATAATGAGTTGCTTGAGACTTTTCCTTCCTTCCTTCCTTCCTTCCTTCCTTCCTTCCTTCCTTCCTTC